GCAGTGTGGAGTGAGATTATTCGGGAATCCAAGCCAAACTTTTTTCACTTAATTTTTTTAGTTGTCAAAATTATAAACGAAATGTATATACTTACAACATGAAATAAAAAACAACCAAGTAAAAAAATGAATGAAACTTTTTTCATTCAAAAAGATTTGACTGAATAAATAAACAAAATCTTCAGTTACAATTTGCCGATTGCATGCAATGATGAAAGTGAAGAAAAATTAATTAAAGTAATTATTTTAAATATAAAAATTTTTCTGGTTTGACCGTATTTTGGAAAAAGCATGACATTTTACTTCTTAAGCGAAAAAAAACCAGACATATTTCAGATTCAATGTATTTGATGGATAAATTATGATAGAAAAAAAACAAGATCAAACAATAAATGTTTGATCGATGTTTTCATATGAAATATATTCTTTGTTTTGCTATATCATATTATATGGATAATGGGAAAAAATGAATGAAAGAAAAAAAGGAAAATGTCAAAATGATTCATATATTTATCGATGTTTAGCTATCGGATTCGAGGATCTTCATCTGGACATCACCGACAACAACAACAAAAATAATAATGAGCTACAAACTGGGTAAACTATCAATATCGTTGGACAAGTCACGTTTCGGTCAATTCTAATCATTTTTCATTGATAAAAAATGTATATATACAAAACAAAGAGGAAAGCAATCCTTTTCTTTATTGAATGAATGAATGATATTTTGATCATCATCATTATCATCTCAATATAAAAATAATTTTTCAATTTCAATATACAAAAATATAATTATTATTCGACAATCGGTGACAATCTGTCGGTCATCTTTGGGTCATTCATTTTATCTTGGATTTATTTTCATTAAAAAAAGATGTTTTTATCATTCGAAATGAATTGAGTAACAACAACAAAAATGATACTCTTGTTTTGTTGTCTGAATGTTGGTACAACTTTATTCATCTTGTATTTATGAAAGAAAAAATCTTGCCAATAATAGATTTCTTGTTCTGTATGGACGGTCAAATATGTCGTCAAACAATTCATTCAAGATTTTGCTTTGTTTTGTTTTGTCGGTTCATTTTGATACCATACTATAGTAGTGATGTTTGTTTCCATAATGATAATGATGATATTGTCGATGTCGATGATAATGATGATTACAGTGTTCAATTTTTGGCTTTCATTAACCCGAAATAGAAACAACTCGATTTAGAAATTGATATTTTTTTCAGAAAAAATATGAATATTCAAAATGATTAGTTTTCTTTTCTTTTCTTTTTCTTGAAAACAACAAAATCCGGATGTATAGAGAGAAGGGGATGAATTGGTTAAGAGAAGAAAAAAACTATTTATTATCGATGTAATCGATTGAGCAGAGCAATTTTTATTTGTCATTATTTCCTATTAAGCTCGATAAATCACGTGTTACGTAAACGTAGGCGGACATTGTTTCTAAATCCAAGTTTCTCTTTATCTTTTTTGTTGTTGCTGTTGAATTTTCTATTCTTATTTCTGCGTTTGAATTGTAAAGTTAAGGGAAAACAAGTCATTTTTTCGAGGATAAATACCTTCAATCTTATTTATCTATTTGAACTTGAAAATCAATCGATCGGAAAGTCATTCCACATTTTTTTTTGTAACAACGGTCAATTGGATAAGAAAAATGGGGAAATATTTTTTTTCTATTTTTAGATTTTGAAAAAAATGTCAATGAAATGGAAATAAATAACTAGATCATGTTGTATGGACGGTTAAAGTGCTAATTTTGAATTGTTCTAACTTTCCGTTTATCCTGGTTATCAACACGATCATCTATATTAACAAAATTACTTGAATGTTTTTTTTTCATTTTTCATCGGTGATAATGTCCATTATGAAATGTACATATATGTTCTTCGTCGATTGATCTGAATTTTCTATTGATTAGCTGTGTTTCAAGTTGTTTAGTTGTTTTTTTCCACCCAATAAAGATGTTCCGATTAGAATAAAGCCCAAAAAAATTATCATTCGATCTAATTAGTTAATAATGATGATTAAATCGAATTGAATCGACCTTAATGAATGATGGAAACATTAATGATGATGAACAAATCCAATGATGGAAAATTGATTTCCTTAAGTATGTTTGCCTATGGGCAATCATTTAATCAGTTACCACCACCACCACCACCACCATTATCATCAGCATCAACATCGTAATCAACATCATCAATTCAGAAAAAAAATTAAAAATTTAGACAAACTTAATGAACACAACACATTAGTTTGGATATTGAAAAACAAAAAAACAACAACTGATTAGAAAGAGAGCAAAAGATCGAAGATGATACTTTCCAAAGAAAAGCAAGTCTGAAAACGTTTTTTTTCATGATTGAATGGATGCACAACAAATTTCTTTAAAATGAAAAGAAAAAAATGTTTACGAGTAAAAACGTTTTCCGGTTTTTTTCACTGTATCGTCAAAAACCACTTTTTTTCAATACTCACCGCATACATTGTGGCTCATCATCACTATCAATTGCTCTAACTTTTGAATCATTTATTTGGTTGTAAATTTTTTTTACACAAAAAAAAATTTTCGTAACATCAATAAAAAGCGATGATTATGATCAATTTTTCAAAATACTTTGATCATGTAATGAACATTGAACAAAATAAATTAATCGATCGAAAAAAAAGATAGAACAAAAATTGAACCTTTACGATTGATGTAAATAATAATAATAATAATCGAGAATAAAAATATCAAACTACACGCTATTTACCCATGTCGTAACTAACTAACAAAACCGCAAAATACTGCCAATATATTAATTTTCCAAAAAATATCCACAAAAAAATATATTTAGTAAAAAACGTGTTTTTCTTCAATGTCCAAGACGGTAGTTGTTGCTATCGTTGCTGTTGTTTTGGTCCGATCAATGCATTCGACTATACTGAAAACAAAATAAAATTGATGAATAATCATTGGAAAAAATAGAGAAAAATCTCTTCTTTTCATTCATTCATTTTCCGGTTGTCGTCATTTTCATTTCAAAGATTTTTTTTCGTAGACAATATCATTTGGTAAAGAAAAAATATCGAAAGCAATATTTGTAAGCGTAATTATTATTACGATGATGATTACGATGATGATTAGTATGATGAAAATTATTATCATATATGAAACTTGTTGCTTTTGGTCAATGTGTTTGTGTGCACATTAAGTAAAGTGATTAACACGAGACCATTATCATTAGTTGTTCCCATCCCATTTTTTTTCTTTGTAGCATCTTTTATGTGAATGTACGCCCGATAAATGTGTGTGCGAGTCAAAATGTCATCATTTTTTATTTTGGAAAAAAACGGGACCGTCAATTGACTGAAAGAAAAAGAGTAAACAACAACAACAACAACCGAATACTGATCTAAGATCCGATTAGAATCTTTTTTGCTTAAAGATTAGATAGTGTTCATCATAATGTGTAATGAAATACATTTCATAAATGTGAATTTTCATATTTTTTTTCAATCAGAAAATTATCGAAAATGGAGTGAAAATTTTTCTCTTTTCCCTTTCATATCCGAGCCAGTTTCATAACAAAATTTTCATTCAGATTCCAATCAGCATTTTTGTTGTTGTTGTTGCTGATTTTCATCATTTAACATAATGATAATAAATGGCGCTCGATATTGATAAAATAAAAATATTTTTAGAACTATATCATCACGAATATTTTTCATGCGTATGTTTTTCAACAGGTATCGATTGATTTTTTATTTCTAATCATCAACATCATCATCATCAATATTGGTTATTTCGACAATCTCTTACTACCGGATATATTATATATGTTGGATACGTGATTGTAAATGTCGAATAATTGTCTGTTCTTGTTGTAGTGGTTGATGATGATAAAATTTGTTTAATCGAAAAAAATTGATTCAAATTCTTGGAAAATCAGATAACCAAAATAATGTCGACAAATGAAAAAAGATGATTATAAAATCATAAAATCATGAAGCTGTTGTTTATTTATTATGGAACAAAAACAATCATCTTTTTTACATCTTTTAATTAAATAATAATAAGTTAATTTCTTTTTAATCAATAATAATAATAATTGAACACCATTGAGATGTGTAATACATCAAAATTGAAATATAAGAGAAAAAAATTGAAATTCATAAACAAACAAGAGTGATAAAGAAGAAAACATAGCTATAAAATGTTTAGTTAATCAATCATTATTAATTTGTTTGTTTCAAATATTGTGGTCCAACTTTGGGGCATTTGACAAACGACAAAATTTCAATATTATCATAATCAACAGTATAGTGATGATGGTGGTGGTAAGGTGAATCAAATCGTAATCAGTAAATCCATATTGTAAAAAAAACATTCAGTTTGACAAATAGAAGAAAAAAATGATGATAAGTTGATCAGATTGCATTTAAGATTTTGAATTGATGTTTACAGAGATCAGAAAAAACAAGAAATATTTCGATTTACATTCTGGTCATCTGCTTGTTATTTCAAATATTTACAGGTCTATTTAAATTAAAAATCATTTAATACAGTGATGATTTATTTCATGTTCGACAACACCATTATTATCCATATAATATACAACAATATGAAGATTATTTGATAGATTTTTGTCGTTGTCTTTTGCGTTATATTAATATATTTGTATACTGTATATATTGTTGTATCAAAAAAAGGGTTGCATATAGTTGTGTTTAAATGGTGACATGAATATAGTCGTAAATAGGAAACCAAAAGGCCGATGTGATTCTGTTTATTTATATGGATTATTTATTAAGCACAAGAAAAAGAAAAAAAAAATCCTAACAAATAGCAATAAAGTGTTCGGTGATTATGTGCGTGTGTAAATAATAGAATCATATCAAATTGTATAAGATAATTGTCATTAATAATAAAAAGATAATTTAATAATGAAAAAAAACAGAGATCAATTGAATGAAAAATTTGTTATGTCTATAAATTGATTGTTGTACAAATTTTGAGACATTTTACAAAAAAAAATCTGCAAAAAAAAATAATTGAATTAAGGTCAAGATGATGATGATGATAATCGTGGCCGTTTGAGCTCACTTTTTAAATCTTGACTTTGTTTAGAATCTTCATTTGAACTAAATTTACGTTTGATTGATGTTGCTAATTTCAAATTATTATTATCATTATTTGATGAATCATCATTGTCACTCGAATCCATGATGATATCATTCTCATAAACAATAGCTATTTCAGAATCGTCGGATTCATTATCATCATCATCTTCAAAGTTATTGATATTAATCGAATTATCCAATGAAAATAATTCAAGCTGATCATTAATTGATTCCAAACTAAACCTAGAAATCGAAAGTTGTGCTTGTTTATGTCGGCTTACAACTTTTTCATTTGATTGTTTTTCATGATGAATTGGTTTAAAAATGGCATATGGATTACGACCAGAGTTTATTGCTGCTGCCGCTGCTGCTGTCGATACCGACGATTTTCTCGACATCGATAGTTTTGTTTCATGAATATTTTCCACATTCATACTATATGTAGGATGATGAAATAAAAATATGAATAGATTACAAGTGAATCAAGTATAAACCAAATACATACATGTCTCGTGTGTGTCTTGTGGGCCATTTTAGTGTGTAAAAATATTCACCATTCGATTTTGTTTTACAAGCAATCACCTTAATAATATAAAAAACAAAGCAAAAGAAAAAATTATTAATTATAATTCACCTATTACCATAATCCAAAATTCAAAAAAAAACTTACTTCACTTTCGAAAGGCACATTCTCTTTTCGGCGATTTAAATCGAATAGTTCTTTTTTGAATACATTATAAATCTCAAACGTTTGAGATAATGATGATGATGATTTTGATGTTGAAGCTCCTTGTACATTAGGCTGTTGCCTATCGCCAACAACATTGCTATTATTAAATGATTTATTATTAGAGGCAGCCGTGTTGATTTTTTTATCCGACTTTATCTGTTTTAAAAATGAAGATAAAGATTGGTTTTTTGGTATTCTTTCAACGGAACCGTCGGTCAATTTAATATAACGATTATATGGTGGATAACTTTTTAGGCCAGCCATTAAGGCTTCACGTGTTCGTAATTCATATGATAATTTCAGCGCAAATTCATCGTCCAGATAATCGGTATTGGCAACACTTTTCACTAAAGTGACAAATAAACAGAACTTTTTAATTCAAATTCAATTGTTTTTTTAGTAATGCAAATTACCTTTTGTTGCTGAACACACTGGTTTTTTATTCTTACCCGACTTGGATAATGTCATTGACGATATTTTGGAAGTAGTAGACGAGGATTGCTCTTGTTGCTGTTTGGACAGGCAACAACATGCAGTATGGCAGTGAAATTCAAAATTGTTAAATTGTGTAGAATTAATTGTATTTGAAAGACATTGTTGTTGGGTAAATGATGATGATAATGGTAATGAAGACATTTGGGCAACATCTGAAGATGATGAACACGAAGAATGAAGGCTAACAATCGAATCAACACTTGGACTTCGATTGGTTTTGTCGGTTCGTTTTGATGTTTGATGATATTGCGAATCGGCTTGATTCGACAATGAAGACATGCTGGAATTATCACAATGGCTCGACAATAAAAACGAATGACATTGACATTTACAACAGTTATCGGTTGTCGGTCGATTCGATTCTATTATCGATGATGATGAAAAGGATGAATTCAATAGAAATGATGATGATGATGGTGATCTTGGAATATTTTTCATCATGGAAATTTGCTTGAGATCTGGCGGAAGTGATTGTTGTTGTTGTGATGGATTTGATTTAAAATGCATGTTAACATGCTTTTCCAATTGATTCTGTGTTCGAAATCGTTGTCCGCATCCATCAACAATGCATTTAAACGGTTTCGGACCAGAATGTTGTTCGAGTACGTGTCGTTCGATCCAATTGCGGGATAGTGATGGTTTACCAAAAACCTTACAGCCACGCCATAAACAGACAAATTTTTCAAGTTTTTCATTGTTTGAACTATCATCATTCATCGAATTTTTCTTCGATGAACGTCGTGATGAAAACTGATAATTATCTGCTGACATCATGGATGAACAACCAGAATCACTTTGAAAACGCCGAGATCGTCGTCGAGTTGCCATTGATGAGATTTTCGATGATTGATTATCATCTTCCGTTGAACTATTAGAACAATCTTCTTCATCAGAATCTAAATTTGTTTCATCATCCATAGTAGTCTGTGAAGATGATCCATCAAAATCATCCATAATTGAATTGGCACCAGATTCATCATTATGATTATGTTTACTCGATTTGGCTGATGTTGATGATGATGATGAAGATGATTTGGGACGTTTATTCCATTTGATGACTTTTCCATTTGAATCCAAAAATGGCTGCAATTCAACGTGTATTTCGCGAAGATGTTCAGCCAGATCTTCATAGTTACCTGGCCAATCACAATCATGCCATTGACAGCAAAACGTTTGCTGTTTTTTAGCTATACCACCATTATTATTCTTATGAATACTTTGAGCTTTCATTTTTATCTGTTTGATCATTGTTTGCATATCGGTCGTTGCTTTACCTTGTGTACGTATTGACATTTCGAACGAATCAGCAAACGAATCTGATTTAGTCATGCAATGATTGGAATTTGATGTCGATTGATCCATAGGGAAATCAAAACCAAATTCAAAGCCATTCGACGTTAATCCTGTCTGTTCGTCATGTTCATCATAACCACTTTCACCATATGTGGATCCTTGGTCATTATCAGTCGTTTTCTCAGATTTTGGATCACAATACATAGCTTGCAACGCTAAATCTAATCCATCAAATCTAATATTTGGAACAACAGCTTCAATTTCTTTACTGAATTGAAGAATTTCATCGTCAATATCATTGTCGTCTTCTTGGACAATAGTTCGGTTTAATTCATCTTCAACAGTAGTATCTATAGTTTCGATATCATCCAAAATATTTTGCTGTTCCTTATCTGTTGTTGATTCGATATGTTTAAATTCATTGTCTGATTCTTGATGATTTGTTTCAATTGATCTCCACATTGGTTCCTTATCATTGGTAGTAATTTTTGCTGTCATTTGTTGGCGATTATTTTTCAACTGAATCAAATCTAACAATGAATCACATTTATCACCGCTAACATAATGCGGAATGATGACGTTGTTTGTCGCTATCTCCGTTATGATATTATGATTTTCCACAGGAGATTTTGCCGGTGTTGGAAATATCGATTGAAAATAATCATCCGATTCTTCATATAGACTTTTACCATCAGGACTATGAACAAGTGATCCACTTACACCAGAATCTGGAGAATCAGGTGAGCTAACATCTTCATCACATCGTAATAATCCGGTTACAGTTTCAGTCATGTCACAACATTGATCATGATCAGAACTTTCGCAACAACTCGAAACACCGGATGAAGTTTCAGAATTTGATGGCGATCTGGCAGTACGAAGTTGATTATGTTCCTCATTATTAATATTATTATGATGATCAACAACCGAATGATAAGAATGATCAAATGTATTTGTCGTTGCTGTTATGTGAGGTATAATTTTTGTCGATGTTAAACGGAAATCCTCTTGATTTTGAAATGGCTTCTTGATACATGAATTCAAAGATTTAATATTATTATTTGTATTAATCACATGGTCTTGTATTTTATGAAATTTTGTTGTCATTAATGTTGTCGTATTGTTTGGCAGTGTTGTTACAAGATTATTATTATTTATAATCGAAGGTAGTAGTAATGATTTCGATAATGGCAAAGAAATCGTTGATGATGATGATGATGAGAAGGAGGAGGATGATGAGGAAGATGATGATAAAGAACTAATATGACCGGTGGACATTGACATCATTTTGGCTGATGAACAAACGGATGTAGATCCAATATAACCGCAGCCATCGGCACCAACATCATCTTCACCATCAATGTTTATGTGCATAGTTCTAAAATAGACAAAAACAAGCACAAAAAAAACGATTAGTAAATAAACAATTACAAGCAAATTGAATTGAAATAAAACATATGATTAAATTCAATCAAAACAGAATTTTTTTCATTTTAAAAGACATACTATTAACAAAATAAAACTATATAAACTAGTAATCAAATCCTATCCTATTCAAGAACCAAAATGATATAATTTTAAAAGGTAAAGAGTTTTCTGTTTTTTTTTCTTTACAATTTAATAAAATTGTTAAACGACAGTAATAGAAGCAGCAGCAGCAGTTTTTCAACATTACATATCTAAATAATAATATCCATGGTAGCCAAAAAAAAAAAAAAATCAAGTTGCCATGTTGGATGTAAACAACAAAAAATTTAACCTAAAAAAATGTCTATAGAAAAAAAAAATTATCGATCCAATTGACTATAAATATAATAAACTACTATGAGTTTTGAATATCAACAAAAACAATTTTTGTTTTTGTTTTTCGGGTTCAATGAATTCCCTTTCTAAGGAATAATTTCTTTTTTAAAAATTCCATTTGATTGGACCACCATTCTTAGATTTGAATCATTTGATGATTGTAATTGATCATAAGCCAAAACATGATCAGAACAAACAAAAAATACTCGGACAGACCTTTAACATCGATGATGATAATGATGATGATGATTTAGGGCGGATTCTATTTTCGTTTCATTCGAAAATATAAACAGACGTGGCATGATAATCTCATTTTCTTTACCATTCAATTCAATTATTCTTTTACATTTTGGTTGTTGTTGTTTCCAAAATTTTTTCAAATTCATTACACATCTTAATCATCCTACATGAACACACACACACACATGAACTAACCACCATTCGATACCGATTCTTGGAATTCAAAACAACAACAAAAATTAGGATCCAAAATATTAAAAAAAACAACCATAAAAACGACCAGAAAAGAAAAAATTATTACATCCTGAGAATAAGGGATAAATAGGAAAAAAAAGCCAACACACAAAAAAATAAAAACATAGACCGAGGAGAGGAATAGAATAATATCCGAAAAACCCAATCAGCCTGAAGCCAGTCACATCAGCAGCAGTCGCCAAACAACCAACAATCCATCCATCCATTCAGTCAACCATTTATATTATCAAGGGATGGAGCTCTAACACACACATTATAGACTTTTGAACCAAAAGAAAAAAAATCCAATATGAAATGTTGGTTGTATAATATATACAATTCATGCAAGTGTTTCTATACTGTACAAAAAAAAAGAACAAAACCTAACCATCCAGATATATTTTCGGGTATAGAGTTCAACATACAAACACACACACATATACTTTTCATTCAATTCGATTCAAGTTTAGGTTCAGTAACAACAACAACAACAAAAAAGTATTATCATCATCATCAAATGATGGTGATGATCGGACCGAAAAAAAACCAGCCAAAATAATAATAATAAAAGCAGAGGCAATAATCAATGCTACAATCAGATTATTTTTTTTTATATAGAAAAATGAGGGCGGATCATAAAGATGTATGTGCCTATATCATTTCATTCAAAAAAAAAACAAATCGAAATTACCACCACTACGATTATTGTAACCCCCCAAACATCGAAATCCTACCCAGTGAAAATTTTTGAAAACATCATCGAAAAAATATCCACAATGAGATTGTCAAAAGTATATGACCCCTCTTTCTCATTCTCTTTCTTTTCGAGCATCATTCAACCGCGATCAATCAACCGACCGACCAACCGACCTAACGCATGTATGTATGCTTGATGAACACCCGAAAAAAAGTTCATATAATACTTGGAAGATCACCATTTTCATCAAAAGAAGAAAAAAAGTGAAAATATAGGTGGTGGGTAAATGATGTGTACAATAATAGTATCCTGGCCTACTACTTTCTATGGATAAAAATCCCGTTTCGTTTGAAACACGAGTTGATGTGATAAAGTATCAAAATCGATGATGATGATTGTCATGCGTGTTGAACAAGAGAACAAAATGAAGAAAAAAAAACATCCGAATTCTGATGAAATGAAATTTAAATTTTTTTTCAAAAATAAGAATAGCGCGCGTGAGAACAAAAAACTTTAAACTTTGGTGAGTAGTAAAGTAACCCGAACCAGAACTATCGTATAGAAAATCATCATTTAGCTTTATGGATGGACAGATAGATTCAATGACTCCTATATGAAGAATTCAAAAAAGAAAACTGAACAAACAACTTCAAAGAACGTGTTGATAACGCGTATACATGAGGCGTATTTTTTCTTTAACACCAAACACATTCACATTATACACATCATTGATCATCATCATCAACATACAACCTTATGGCCATTGACCATCCATTTATTTTCACGCAACCAAAATAACAAAAATTCAAATAACAAGTGAGAGAGAAAAAAAAGGTCAGATATTAGGTTCCTTCTTCTTTTCAAATTCCACTTAACAATCATTATTATCATCAATTTAGAATCTTTACTTTTTTATTACGAATTTTTTTGGAAAAAAATAATGAGCCCAAGCTTATTATTATTAAATGAGTTGAAAACAATTTTAAATTTAATTGAACCGAAATTCAATAAAATAATGAGAAATATTCAACATCACATAATACTTTTCTATGTGATTGAATTTTTATTATCATTTTTTTTACAGAAAAACAATTTATATTTAAAAAAAAAACAAAAGAATTGACAAAAATTATTTTTAACGACAACAACAACAACAAAAACCTGATCAAAACCATTAAAATCAATCATAAACATGAAAGAATTTCGGCCAATAACCTGAAACAGACAAACAGAGTGATAGGATAGATTCTTCATTCAAATAATCATTCATAGTTTGATGATCGAATCGATTTTGTAATAAAGAAAAAAAATATACGATTCTTTTCACTTCTGTTCTGATAATCAAGGTTATTTTGATTATTTATTTATTTCTCTTCTTTTGATTTTTTTTTCTTTTTTTTTCATTCACATCCTATCAAACACACAAATTTACAGACAATTTTTTTCCTATGCAGACGATTTCTGAAATAGCATCATCATATATCGTTAATAAGAAAATAAAAACTATACAATCAAATTTTTATGGCGCCAAATATAAAATTTATATTGAATTTATTCTGAATCAAACAAACAATCTTTTTCTATTATGATATGAATGTTTTGTTCTTCATGATTCATGAATAAATACTGAATGTAAAAGAAAATTGTTTAAACAAAAACATCTCTTTGATGTAAACCAAATAGAATATGGATACTATTTATTTGATGCACACACACACGTGTCACACAAAGAGATTTCACTTTTCAATTTTTTTTGTTCCTGTGAAAACTGAAATGGGTTAGTCATCAACATTTAATAGATAGCCAAACAAACAAACAAACAAAACAAAAAACGAAATTCATAAGAATCATTTCCGTTATGATGGACCACTCAAAAAAGATATATATCGTTTGTATTAACTAAATTGATGACAATCTCATTTCATTTCGTTCGATAGACCAAATATAAAGCCACAACTTTTATTTAGACAAAAACAAGCATACACTAAGAAAAAAAATCAGACTTATGACGACGACCAAAGACGACAATAAACAAAATCTCAATCATTGTCGCCATAATCATTAATGACGACGACGATGTCGTCGTCTTAGCTATCCAAATGATATCATTAGAATTTCATTTATCATAGGCAATGAGAAACGAAAAAACAAAACAAAACAAAACTCGACCTGATACTGAATAACAGTAGTAAAAAAAATACCAAAGACAAAAATCTACTTATAAAGTTTCTTATTTAAAGTAATAAACCGGAAAAAATGCATCTTTACCTAAGGAGAAAAAACTAAACTAAACTTTCAATGCTAATGTCCACTATGTTTTTTTCGAAAGAAGATTCGGATTGTGCGGCAATGTGGAATGTGTCATCATAATTTTTTCAAAACATTCGAAGAAAAAACAACAAAAATAATGAACCAGAAAAAACAAGTTTCTTGTCTGACATTGATGACAATTAATATCATCAATTTTCAAAGATTTATATTTAATCAAAATTCTTTTCTAATAGAAAAAAATAAATGATCTTACCTTTTAATTGGATGTTGTTTTCGTTGGCCATCATTTGATGAGATGATTTTTGGATTATTCTTAATCAAATCAGCATTATTATTATTATTATTATTATTATGGTAAAGATCAATTTTTTGTCGTTTTATCGTTTTGTTTGTTTTATCATTAATATCATCAGTATCATCATCAACCAATATAATCAATGGAATATTTTTCTTCGTATTACATTTACGTTCAACAAAAATAACATCATCATCATCATCATCATCTGGAATTGTTTCAATTTGGGATCGATTTTTCGAAAGTTGACTATTATTATTATGATGAATGCTATTAGAAAGATTCAATTTTGATTTTGTTTCAACAACAGTCGATATTGATGATGTTGAATGTTGTCGTTGCTGTTGCAATGATGATGTTGATATCATCAAAGACATTTTTTCACATAATCGAATCAATCGATGTAATCAAATCGGACATATAAATAGTGTGGAGAAGAAAACTATACAATAGATATAGATGTGATTCGAAATTAAATGTTGTTCAAAGATTTTTTTTTTACATCGATATAATTATAGTGATAAAATCGACAAAGAATATGAAGAATTGATTGATCAAATTAACTAGAGTAATCCATAATGTGGATGGATTTTCCAAAGAAAAATTTCCAAAATAGAGGTAAAATGTACTCAATATATGATCTGTTGATCATTTATAAATATATAAAAATAATAATAATTGACAGGCAACATAAAATTGTTGATGATGGCAATGATAGTAAAATGATTGTCGTGTATGATTTGATATGGATTTTTTTTTCTTCAAACTCAATGTTTCATACCAACAATAATGACAAAATTTTATGTTTCTTGTTAACGCCCTATCTAGGTTATGATAATGATTTTATTTTTTCCAATAACCTAAATGTTTCTCCAAAAATATATTTATTTTCCAATGAATTCCAATTTTAATTTTTCATATAAAATGTATCTATATTGAATAATTAATTTAAAAAAAACAATTAAAGTAAAATTTAAAAGAATAAAATTCCTAGAATTATAGAAATTTTTCAACAATTTTTTATAATTTCAAACATTAAAAATTACCATATTTCTTTTTCCATTCTTTGAATTTTGAAACATTACCAATGATGAAATCATTAGAATATTAAACACTGAAAAAACACCAAAGTTCAAAGATTACTGAAGACACTTATTTGTAAATTCGTCGTTTACTGGAATGATTTTATATCGATGGATTCTTTCTTCTCTAGTTGGCAGTTTAAATCCAATCATATGGGGATGCATCAACAAAAATCTAGATGGAAAAAGCCAATGACGAATCCATCATTAGCAAACACACACAAACACCCACAAAAATACGGACCAAAGATTTAACTACCAACCCGAGTGCCTAACACGGGTACGCACACAAACACAATTCGATGGAAATAAAATCGGTTTTGACCAGGAAAAATCCATTCGATAATACAAGCAAAACGATAAAGAGGAGCATGTAATAATAATGATAATAAAACACCAAGGATTCGAACGATTCAGATTCAATTTTTCGTTTTTCCCATTGATTTTTTAAAAACTTGAGCTCCTGATACAATACACACACACTTAACACAAAAAAACACACACAGTGAGATAAAGAAGACGACAGAAATGGTAGTGGCTAACCCGAATGATAATAATAACCGCGAGTTTTTATTTTAAGTCGTTTTGATGGTTGTCGTTATCGTTGTCGTCGTACCAGAAACCAGACTCAGCATGTCATGGTAAATGAAATTCGTTGTGCGCTTAAAAGTGTGATTCGTGTGTTGGTGTGTGTTTGATAACGCGAGCGAGGCACCTCACACTAATTTACGAACCGCTCAACGAGAAACGAACAGAACACAATGACCAGGCCATAGGCTAGGCCAAATGGTTAGTTAAGTTTGGTAATAGTCATTGAATGGATATTGTTGTTGATGATAATCACACGATGATAAAAAGTATGTGCACAGTATACAGTATATCGACCGATTTCCTTTCACTTGAAATGATGAAAAAAATTTTACGATCATCATTTTTCATTCAGAATATTTAGACCAGAAACTTATGATATTTTTTTTTGTTATTTGAACTAATATTTTTCGATTAAATTATCAAAGTTTTATCAAATTTACAATGTCATTTTAAAAAATTTTTGATGATTTACATTTAATGTTGAAAACAAACAATAATAACGACAAAAATTGAATTGCTCTATCATGTAATTCGAATTGAACGAATTCGATCAAAGAATCGATACCGTTTGTCGTGTATATACTGTATCTAATGATATTATCCAATGAATGAGCATAAATTGGCATTTATACCTACAGGTAGCGGCATTATAAACGTTACTTTGCATGTGCGACGACCCCATAATACGGCTATTCCTCCGGATGTAGCAAACAACAACCGAAAAAAACACGACTAAAACATGAGAGTTTTCATTTAAATTATCAAAAAAAATAGTGATTGCGCATGTGTACAATCAAAAAGGAAAAAAATTAAACCATCCTTTAAATTCATTCGAATAGACCAAAGTTCTTTTGGTGTGTGCAAAACAATGGTGTGTTTGTATTGTTGTTGGATATCAGCAGTAGCAAATTTAAATTGCTCGATCCGTATATATCTAGTGGTATTGAGATATTGGTCAAAGGTTAAAGGATATGACAGGAATGGAGAATGATCATGATGGTAGGAGGCACTACCATCTGGCGATGATAATTTTGTTCCGATCAATCAATTTACGATTCATGCATACATTTTAGGTAAATGAATGAAAAAAACATTTTAGCGCGCAAACATACATACGAGTTTTTAATCATGGCCGCATACCACTGCTTCAATGGTTACGTGACTTTTGCCCGATCAATACAATGACCAAACTTTGATAATAATAAAATTTTTTTCTCTTTAACGCCCTTTGTACTTTTAATACGAAATTCTGGTTGATAGAATATTCGTTTATGAAAAAATTTGCAACAAGTGAGAATAACTAATCGAACAAATTCCCAAAACACTGCCATCTATCTTTTATAATGATTTTTCATAACTATCATAGTTCGTAATTTCGTACGATAGATGGCATAATAACGGCCATTATATTTTATGAAATGGATCTTTTTCCGCAGAATTATCAATAAATTACATAATTAAGGAGACAATTAAATTATATGATGTTGAACAATAATAATTATTTTATTGTGATAAAAACAAATTAATTTGATAAAATAAAGGATAATTTGCTCTCTTTTTTTTCATCATTATGAAGAATTTTCTTCTTCTTCTTCATTTATTCGTTGCCAAGATTTCGATCATCATTCGTCGAAAGAATTCTTCTCTTTTTTCTGATTCATTTTTTTTCTCATTTATTCACCATTTATCATCGATGACAATATATTTTGATTCGATTCCATAATTTCAATAAAATTGTTTTCAAATCTGACTGTTTGATTTGTGTTTGAATATTTAATTCAGGCATGTTTCATTTGTGATATGAAAAAGAAAAAAAATTAAATTAAATACAATTGATTTGACATTTGGAATAATAATAAAGAATTTTGGCAAAGGATTCATTATATTCAATCAATTATTTTTCTTTTTTTCTTTATTCATTTGATTACTTACCCGAAAATTTTTACTCATAAATGAATAGATGATTGGATTCATAAAACTATGTGCCATCGATATCCAATGACAGAAAAAATAGCTACCAACAAAGGCATAATATTTGAATGAAGAATCAACATGAAGAAAATTTCTTTTAAAATATATAAGTATGTTGAATAATTGTATTGGTAGCCAACAGATTGTAAATACACTGATTATTGTAATTAGTATTTTCAATATCTATTGATGTAGTAATTGGAGAAAGAGAGAAAGAAAAAAAATTGAAATTAAGTTAAACACATCTTTTCTAAACAAACTTTAAGATCCATTAGTTTTGCATTGAATAAATAATGAACAAAAAAGATATCTATTTTGCTTGATTTATGTTAGATCTCATTATCGAATTCTTATCATCTAAATTCATTAGTTTTAAAAGACTTTTCTCATTTTGGGTTTCTTTAATTTTTGTTTCATATAATGTTTTTTTAATTGGTGAATTAAAAAAGCTTAGATCATGATGATAGAATACAACTCAATTACTTTTTTAAAAATAACCAGTAAAATGTAAACATCCTAATCGATTCGAATTAGCTTTGAAATTGGGAAAAAATTGTGGAAGAATATTCCAATTATCATTGTGAACAACAACCGTTGTAAACAAAAAATTTAAGAAAAAAAATCATCATTATACTAACCCTATAGCGACGAGTATTAATAAATTTTGTCGAATGCTGTTGTTGTTGTTGTTGTTGTTGTTGTTGTACAGAATCTGACGAATTTATCCTTGTTATAGTATTGAATGATTTTGTCAATGGTTGATGATCAAATTTTTTATCATTTAAAATCAAAACATCTTTATCAATATCTGAACATTTCAAATATTTGACATTTAATTCCAAATCATTATTTTGACAATGATTTTTTGATTTACATTGAACACAATGTATTAAATGATTCGATGGAAAAAATTCTGAATAGAATTATGGAGAAAAGAAGATTTCGAAAAAATATGAAATTGAAAAAAAATTGGAATCATACGTTGTTATAAGATGTATAAGTGAAACTTACTAATTTGTTTATTATCGGTACATTGATCATTGTTATTATAAAATTGAATACAAAGAATATTTGCATCAATTGTTTGATAATGATTATGCGAATCATCCTCATCATCGTCATTATGATCAATATCAGCCACAATATTATTATTTTGTTTGAAATCAGCTTTTCATTTGAAATCATTATTTTATTTTGTTTATTTTTGTTGTATAAAGAAAGGAATAAAGGAAAAAATTCAAATTAAAAATGTGAATATTAATAATTTTTCTTTTTTTAAAATGATGTTGAGATTCATACACTTACCATCATTGTTAGACATTATATTCATATCATTTTCATTTCTTACCATACCACCATCGCTAATATTATTGTTAATGATCATGTTGTTATTTACAAAATGATAATTCATATGGCTACATTGATTTGATGACTCTTCATCATCATCATCATCATCAAAAATTGAAGTCTTTTTTTGAATATGATGATGATGATGGTGGTAATATAAACGTTGATTATATTCAGGTCCTTGATAACGAAATATTTTCCAACCCATTGCCGTATATATAATACAAAGTGTTGACATTGGTATTGCAAATGTTGTTGAAAATATGAATATTGTATATAAACGTCCTTCAATACTTTCTGGTTTCCAACGTTCACCACAATAAATATATTGTTGTCCATTATAAATAAATGTATATGTTTCGGTTACAATGAGTTGTGTGATTCCCAGGCAAACACCCGAAATCCAGATTAATATTACAATGAATGTACGATGCCGTTTGAACCATGAAATTGATTGACGTAATGGATGCATTATTGCTACATATCTATACAAATAATAAAAACATTCACATTCATTATTATGTTGATGACAAACGATGTTGATAAGAATCATCCAAAATAATAATAAATTAAAACAAAGGGATTAGATGAAACAAAATGTACAAGAAGATTATTTTGGTGAAGATTTAATGTTGTTGTTGTTATCACAATGATTTATTTTTTTCTAAATAACTTTTGCTAATATTTCATACACACACACCTGCTTTTTAAGAATTCACATGACAAATTGAAGAATTGAAAGAATGCACTATCTTCATTTGAATGATTTACATGAATGAAATTCATGAAATTTTTTTTTCATTGATAAATTATTTATATCATCATTATATATTTTAATCAATTATCTATTGATCAGTAAGAGAATAATAATTTCAAAGTAGATAAATCCATAAATAAATCCAAAATGCCATCACGTTATTCATAGGAATACAATCATTATCATTTAAATGTAAAACAATGCAAACTATTGTTCTGTTTTGTTTTGCATAATCAGTACTTAATATTTGATTTGCGATCATAAACTTAAACATATTCTCATTAAATATTCAGAAAAATGATGAAAAGAAAAACGGAAGAAAGACAAAAATGATAATGATTGTAAAGGCAAGACATTTTGTTATTATATTAATAAAATATTGATCAGTTTGTTATTTTTAAAATGTTATATCAACTGGAAAAAAACAACCTACAAACAATAGGATTTTTTTTTCTTTTCTTTCATAAATAAATTCGTTAATTTCAATAATTTACATGACATGATGATGATGTTTTTGTCATACAGGTTATCCTAACGGATGACAAATTTCAACATCCATCAAGCATCACAAACACACACACACACCAATTTTTTCAAAACAAGTTGGTGAATATTTTATTTGAAAACAAATCAAAACAAATGTATTGTGACTGAAATAATAATGAAAAAAAGATTCCCAAATGAAATACAATTGGATGCATTATTAAACAAAGAAAGTGAAAAAAAAACAAATCAAATAAAAACAATCCATCCACTGATCTTGATCAAGTTAATAATGGTGATATTTTTTCTGTTTGATTATTTGATTCAGAAAAAAACAATGTGAAATTTTATTTTCTTATAATATATGCTGGAATTTTTGTTTATTTTGCATCAAATAACTGAATGAATTAATTAGATTTATTTTTTTTTCCATTTAAATTTTTATTATTTGACTTACCGATCGATTGCGATTGCAATTAATGTATAAATACTAACAGCGATTGTTGTCAATTGTGCACAATTAACAATTGGACACATAAACGATATGAATATCCATCTTCCTAACATATAATTTGTATATGTAAATGGTATGGTAAAAATTGCCATCAATATATCGGCAATTGATAGATTAACAATAAATTTTCGCATATCACCAATACAACGTTTACCATTCATCATAACGATAATGGTTAATAAATTTGAAATAAATGCTAAACAAGCTGTTAATGAATAAAGAATGATTAATGATACTTGATAAGGATAATCTAATGCTTCTAATGGCATAGTGTTTGTTGTGTTTTCCATTGTTGTTGTTGTTGTTGAATGATGATCCATAATGAATGATGAACATATGATTGAAATTGAACAAAAAGCAAGTAAAAATTCCAATAAAATAATTCATAAAGAAATTTCATTTGAAAAAAAGTTTTTGTGTAAAACAAAATATAAAGAATTTGGATCGAAAATTGAAAAATTCACTGAAGTAAAACGAAAATAGTTGTAGAAACTAGGAACATCAAACAATTTGTAAATAATTTTAATACAATAAAAATTTTGTTCGTTTGTGGATTCGATCGAATAATCTTAAATGTTGGTTTGTCATGTCAAAAATCGTTTAATTTTATAACTCTCATTGATGCTTCTGAATATTGTTCAGATATATTGCAGCACAAAACATAAAGAATTTTTAATCATGATACTGATGATCATAAACGATGTCACTAAAATCACATTTATTAATACAATAATAATTCACAGCGATTTTATATTGATGTAATTGCATACATTTTACTGGTATATAAACGAGAACAAGTAAGATATATTGTATTGATTTCATTTTTCATATTTGGCTAAAAAGAAATTCATATACAAACGGATGTTTGAATTGAGATATTACAGAATTATAAATGTCTATATTTAACTTATCTACCTAAACAACAATTCTTTTTTCTTTTCTTCTATCTTTCAAATATGAATGATTGTGTGTGTGTTTGTCTATTGACAATCTTTCAGTCTTTATATATAAATAAAGATAGATATTTCAAATGGAACATTCGATGTGGGTACATGATGCGCAAGCTCTCTTTTCATTATTATTTTTTTCTACATATCGTTTTTATTCTTATCGGCTAAATAATTTTAAAATTGAATTTATTCCAATGATGATGATTTAAATCAGATTATCTCAAAATGTTCATATATGTTATTTTATGACAATATTTTTGTTACATTTTTATTGATTTTTTTTTTCTTCGTAAAATTGTTCTAATCAAATTTTTCCTGAATTAGATTACTGAAATATATATTGAAAACGATTGTCATAAACAAGTAAAAAAAGTGAAATGGAATGGAAAAAAAATCGATAAGATTTTCAAGCAAATAAAAAAAAATAATTGAAAACATTATTTTTCTCCATTTTTTCCGTATTTGTCAGATGAATAAAATGCCTATATAGATAAATGGATCGAACAATGATATATCGTTGCAAGACGAAAAATATTTTTCTATTTTGATATTTTGTTGGATTTAGTAATCTTCATTTGCTGGTGCAATGTATTTTCCCTTGAGATAAACAAAATTGATACTCATTATCGTCAATAAAATAAGTCAATCGTTAGATTTTTTTTTATAAAAACAACAACAACAAAAATCTGATTGCCGTTATTAGGATTCAAACTAACCATTAAACAGCTTGCTATTTATAATCATGCAATCATCGAAGCATAGGTTTTAGAACAGCGTATAAATACAATACAACGACGACATAAAACAATGTCCTTTATAACAGACAAAAATTTGACCTTGGAATTCCTCGTATGAAACCATTAAAAAAATTTTAATTTAAGAATTTAAATATTTTGGAAAGAAAAAAAAATGAAAAAATTATTCGCCCCCAGTGGGACTCGAACCCACAACCTTCCGGTTTCACACGTAGAAATCAAGAATTTTTAAATAATTTCTTTTTCTTAAGAGCCGGAAACTCTAAGCCGATTGAGCTATGAGGGCAATTGTTACTGCATATCAGTGACTTTTTCTTAAATAAATAATTTCTGTTTAAATTATTAATTTGGCAACAACATTATTATCGCTTACATTTAATTCGAATGTGATATGATTAGATCATGCTTTAATGGATATATTTTCGGGATAAAAATGTTTTCGAAAAAATTTTTACCAATAATGATAGAAAAATAACGAAAATAAAAATAGAGTACAATGTCCAAAGGCAAATACCCTTTTACTCAATCTGAATGGATCATGATAATCACTGTATACAACATTTTAAAAAAATAACATCTTGTTTTCCAATATTCGTATAACTGTTATACTATAACATATGAATCCACATATGAATGATAGTGTCACAATTTGATTATTTATATTCAAAAAATTCAATGACAAATTTATTATAATCTTTCTTTCTTTTTCACACATAGAAATCCAAAGACAAGAACAAGACTCTTCATTTATCGTTAAATTTAAAAAAAAAACAATGAAATCCATGATTTTGTAAAGATAAGGCGACAATTTTCATCCGGCAATTAATATTAATTATGTGTTTTATATTCATAAATATTTTCGTTTCAACAAAACAAATGATTTTTTCAACAGTTGATTGGTTGGTAACATTTTTCATTTCATTTGATATTCATCAACGGGTCAATGATGATGATGATGATGATGATGATAATGGATAATGTTGGAATTAAATATCAAAATGTTTTTATTTTATTATTTTTTGTCTGTTGATATTCTACAAAATAACCTTTTCTTTAGAATGATTGAAAACAATCATTTTGTTGTCGTTGTCATAACTATTTTATAAATCATTCAGTGATTTAGCTGATTCTAATTCAGATTTATAGATTTTTTTTGTTGTTGTTTTGCTCTTTGCCAGGTTTCATTTATTCATTCGAATTTTAACGCTACAACGTAAACGTTATCAAACAACAACAAAATTGTAATCCAAAATTTTTATTGATCTATAATTTACATATAAATTAAAAAAGAAAAAATACTAAAATGTTCAACCAAAATGGTCATTTGATTTTCATTGAAATAATGATAATTACATTGATGTCAGTATCTATATCATATCAACATGGTAAAATGATGGAACCACCAGCCCGAAATTCAGCATGGCGTGCCGGTTTTCCAACACATATTGATTATAATGATAATGAATTATTTTGTGGAGGTCTTACGGTAAGTTTGACAAAATTAATCGCATTTTCTCACCATTTGAATACAATTTTGCATTTTATTTTTGATGTTTGTTCAACCGAATAATTCAAGACAATGTGGCAAAAAAATAATGGTAAATGTGGCATTTGTGGTGATTCGTATTCATTAAAACAACCAAGGCCATATGAAAGTGGTGGTATTTATGCAAAAAATGTCATTGTACGAAGTTATCGTATTGGATCGAAAATCGAGGTAATAATTTTTATATCGGCCAACCATAAAGGTAACTTTTCATTCAGCCTATGTCCTCGCAATGATCCACAAAAATTAGGTAATATTTTCATATTGATTTTTTAAAAAAACAATCATTTATCAATTCCTATTCGATTTACAATGGAAATTTCTGTACATTCGATTAAATATTAAATCAATTATTTATAAGAAACGGAAAAATGTTTCATTCCATTGATGGTAAATGGACAGAAAAATTTTGAATTACAATCGAATGTTTTTGGAAATATTTCTTTATCAGTGACATTACCAAAAAATATCGACTGTAAACATTGTGTGTTACGATGGCATTGGCGTGGAGGTAAATATTTTCATATTTTGTTATCATATTTAATGTCAATGTATATCTACAGGTAATAACTGGGGAATGTGTCCAAATGGTAAAGGTGCAATTGGTTGTGGACCACAAGAAACATTTCGTAATTGTGCCGATATTGTTATAAGAAAACAAATGAATAATTCTAAAAAAACAAAAAATACTACGATAAACGAAAATATAAATATTATCAATTCTAAACGGAAGGATAAAAAGAAAAAAACGGACAAAAAAATTATCAATATCATCGATAATGAAATAGAGAATGAAATATCAAATTCGTATGAAATCAAAAATACGAATGTAAATCTTATTTATGATGAAACTATTCATAATTCGATTGATGATAATAATGATGATGATGGAGAAATTTCTAAAAAATGTTCTTGTACCTGTTCAGCTCCAGAAAAACCATCATCAAATATTTTACCATCAAAATCATCACCAACAACTTCATCAAGTTTTATTCAAGATAATAAATCGATGACAACCAATCAACCTGAACCATAATATGGATCATCAATATTTTTGAATTTTTTTCCAAATGTTCTTTTTTTTTGAAGCCAAATTAAATTTTTTCTTTGTTTTGCAAAATATTATCATTGAACACCATCTATGATCTAATGTTGTAACCACAATGAGTGAGAGTGTTTTGGTTTTTTTTTGTTGTTGTTTTGATTTCGAAACGTTCGATTCGGTTAGATTTTTGATTTTGTTTTGCATTCAACTTGTATCGATTTGAAATGATTTAATCAAGTCATCCGCATTAATATCTTCTATTGACTTATTATTCTACATTTACATTGTTGATTATCATTTGGATAAAAATTCAATTTTCTTATGAAACAGAAGAAAATTTGGCTCGTGTAATTTAATCACGTTGGACAAAACGAATAAAAAAAATTAACTACCGTATATCATTAATTGTTATCTTGGCTGTTTTTTCCTATTTCATTCACTACACCATTAATTTTATCATTCAGTAAACATTCGAAAAATAGAGGAAAAAAATTATTGATCCTTTTTTTCAAGGATTGACTACTAGCGGTGTGAGTTTTAATCTTGATTTTTGAAATTGTCTCTTGAAATTATTTGTTTTCCGGTATCGTTTTTCTTTTCATTAAAGAACTTATACCAAATATTTATCTTTTCGTAAGTTTACTTTTTTTTATAAAACTTATTCCAAAAAAAAATCTCACTATAGAATTGTATTTTAAATTGTGTATTTGGTTTATTTTATGAAATTCATGCCGGTGTTGTGTGATTGTAATCCATACAAGTACATCACATACATAAATGTTCCATTCAAAAATCATTACAGATTTGATGCCATTTTGTTCTTCATCATTTTTATTAAAGATGAAAATAGCAATACAAAAATTAATTCTTCTGGTTGTTTTGTTGTGTTGATGTCAATCAAAAACAAAAACAAAATGTCAACTATCAATGATTATCTATCTAGTCATCATTGATGATTGTGTGTGTGCTACATAAATTCTTCCTCATTATGATTACAAGTGATTCTGTTTTTTTTCATTCATTCATTCGATCCAACAATTTTCTCCAAATTAATTTCATTTCTTTTGCTATGAATATTTTTAAAAATCATTTTCGATCAGTAACGTCAATCGATTAGAATAATGAAGGAATTTTTTTCTCTAAAAATAAACATCCCGTTTGGATCGTTTTAGTTTTTGAAAAATTTAAAATTATATAGACAATGTGGCCTGTAATGATATTGTATTGAATCGAAGTTTTTTTGCTTCTTTTATGATTTCATCAAATATGTTCTGATGTGGGTGTCATATATATCCCTCTCTCATCATCTTATATAGAACTATTTTAACTATATAAATTTTGCCACTGAATGTTTCTGGTGCCATTGCATTACACTGAAATAAAAATGATGATAAAAATATAAATGAAACCGAAAATAATACGTTCACAATGATGAGCATATAAGCAATATTGCAGCCCATAGAAAACAAAATAATTATTTAAAAAAACGATGTGATGTTTATATACACATCTATTCTTTTTCCATCGTATGTATAATAAATTGACAAATTTATGGTGATTGGATTCGGTATTTTTCTGGTTACTTTGGCTCATCACCATCAACTTTTTTTTATATAAATGTTTATCACATTTACCAGACGACAATAATAATAATCTATAATATCATAAACATAACCATAAACAAACTTTCTGGTTACAACAACCAGCATATTTTTCCTTTTTCATTAATTTTAATTTTAATCATTATCGTTGTAAATATTAGTTTTGTTGCCCTATGTTATATTATTCAATTGGTACAATTAAACTATCATAATCATCATCATCATATTCGTAATTTGTTTATGTGTATATGTTTAATCTGTTATCATTTTGTCACCATTTTCCTTTAGAATGTATGTTGGTTTTAATGTTTATTTTAATTCCGATGATATTTTGTGATTCGATCTGTTTGTGATGTGTGTTTAGTGATATTAGTATGTTGTAGTTGCAATATTGGGAATTGTTTAATTCATCTAGATTGATTTTTTTTCTCATTGTATCTATTTTCATTTAGATTTTTCCAAGTTTTCATTTGAATTTGTTTTATTGTTGGAATCGTGGAGCTTTTGATTGGCCGATTGATTGTTTTTCTATATAGAACTACGTTTATCCAGAATCAAATCAACATTTGGAATCATTCGTGAACATTCATCACTATTGACTTTGGTCATAATCACTGAGTAGAAAAAATCAATTTATTTCTTCAAAATTGTTGCAAATAAACCGAAAAAAATCTGTGATTTGAAAAAAATTCATTATAAAAACAGCAACGACAACATTCAGAATTCTGAGAATCCGAAAAGATCGCATAAAATTTTATAGAATCGTTTCGTCAAATCAATCAATTTTAATCGACAATATGGCTTCTGTGAATGAGAATCCGGTATTTATTTTTTTTTTAAATTAAACAATTCAAATTCATTATGACATTGTTTTTCTCCCAAAAAGGAATCAAAGATTGCCGAAAAAGAAGAAGAGAGTAAATTGAAAGCAAAATATCCACAATTACAGCGTCCAGGACCACAATTCTTGCAGAAACGTCTTCAAAAAGGAGTATGTTTCTCATTTATTGCCAATTCTTTTTCAGATTATTAACTTTATCTTTTTGAAAATTATAGCAAAAATTTTTCGATTCAGGTGATTATAATATGGCCAAAGCAGCGGCGGCAAAAGGTGGAACACCAAAATCACGTTTATCAGTAAATCAGTCATCAACAGGAGCTGGTCCTGCGGTTAGTGGACCACAGCCACCATTACCGCCAACGGTTGTCGCACCGGTTACAACTGGTGAAGTGATACCAACACCTGATTGTCTGGCAACACGAAAAGCATCAATTCATGTTCCAAGTAAATTGGTTTCGGGTGGACCTTGACTTAATAATAATTATCATTTTTTAAATACAATTAAAATGAATGAATGAATGATGATTGAATTGTTTGACCATCATCTTATAATTCAAATACCTGACTAATACAAACCCTAAAATCACTTATACGCATTTCATTCATATTTGAATTCATAAACTGAAACTCATTCATATACACCCACACACACAATTTTTTAAATATACCATACAATTATTGTGATTATTCTTATTCTTATTATTATTATCATTATCTCTATAAATATTCGAATTTTCAATTCGTTCGTTTTTTTCTTGTAAAAAAATTTCACAAAATGTACCGTCCATCAATCGAATGAAAGTATGTTTGGAAATGGAAAATTTGTCGTTTCATTTCCATCATCATCATCATCATCAATATCATAAAACCTTGATTGATTTTTTCTAAAAATCCCAATTTTATCGTTCTTTTTTTATTATGGTAACAAAGCAAGCAATTCAAAATAAGCAAACCACACATGCCCTCTTTTTACCATCGAATCAAACAAAATTTTTTGAAATCCTTTTTTATTTGTTTTCTGGCCTTGCATTCACCTTAATTATCCATAATATTATTCAGATATGAACCAACACCAGGGATAACCAAGCCAAAAAAGATTAGTCTGTAAGTTTAAGTTTTATTTAATGATAAATCATTTTTCATTGTGGCCATAGAATGATGAATGACATTCCCTCGTATTTATCCTTATCCTTTTTCACCAAAAAAATGCAACTTTTATCTGCAAAAAAATTTGAATTTAATCAACTTAATTTATTTGCCAACAATCTAAAACTATCCACATTATTATCTATAATTTTTAAACTAATTTGAATATTTTTTTCTATTTTTTCATTTTTTCACCCTTTTTCTAATTCATCTAATATAAGGTTTCAAGCGACATTAAGCAAGTATTAATGGCTTCGAATTTCATGCGGAATATGATGACATTATAATGTTTTCAATCTGGCTTATATTTCCACAAATTTCCATTAGCTTAGAAGAAACAAAAATTATCCGGAAAATTCATTTATTTTATATACAGTACCTATTATAATACCTGATATTATCATGACAAGAGATAAAATAATTTTCAAAAAGATTCATGTTGCCTTATTGGCAATCAACTGGGATTTTTTTAAAAGTTTTTTCTTTCATTTCACATTCATCATTATCATTTCGAATTGTAATCATTTATCATTTCATTATTTGATTGTTTTTCCCTTTCGTTATGATTTTTGTAAATATTCTTTTTGTTTTTGATAATTTTCTTATGTTATCATTGATTTAATTTCGGTTACAATCAAAACAATAAATCCACCACCGTGAACATTCTATCATTCTTAAAAACAAAAACGATTAATTTCTTCACAACAAAACTGTATGCAGTCACATACTAAAATTATAATTGATTTGAATTTCTAATTCATTCAAAAATACCTAAAATCTACCACAACATGAACAGTTGAAATTAAAACAATTCAATGTTTTTTTCCAATTCATTCAACTATAAAACCAAAAATTCATTGTGTTGATTGCGAATTCATTTCTATATTTCATTTTTTATCATTTATTCAATTCATTTACAAATCAAAAAAAAAATTGCCATTTTCAAGGCCATATAAATTAGAGCAGAAAAACTAAATACAAGGAAAAAGATATATACAGTGATTAATCATAGATAAGATATTCTAAACAAATATAGCTAACATCATTAATCGTCTTTGTACATTGGATTACAATAAGCAGTTTCTTTGTTCAAGTTTTCTATTTGTTGTTGTTGTTGTTGAATTCTTTGGTTTTTCATATGACGAACCTGTTCTGAATTGATATATTGCCCATCTATTGTTGATTGTTGATTCATAGATGCTTGCGTTGGCGTTGATACCATTTTCGGTATTGTCATTTCAATAGAATTTTTTGATTTATGTGTTAGAGTAACATTCATTAATCGACTATCGTTTGAATGATAGTTTGAAAAAAATGGATTAACTATAAAATTATCATCTATGGATTGATGATTAATGACTGTCACAATTTCATCATCATTATCATCAGCAGTTGTCTCATCATTATCAATAGTGTTTGGTTCGATTGTTATAATGGCTGATTGAAGATGAAATTGTACAAATACAACTCGAACTTCAATTACAATCAATGTTGTGATTAGCATATCCATGATCATTGTGGTCATCTGAGCCCAGAATCCTGGTCCACGCCATACTCGATAATTCACCTGTGCCATATTTCTTAGCAAATCGGTATCTCTTAATGATTGTTGTGGCGTTAATGCTCCAGCCAAAGCTAACATTGTTGATAATACTTCACAAGCAAATTTGTAAATCAACTAATTCATTTTCTAATACAATTTACTTACCTGCTACACTGATGGCATAAAGTTTATTACGAATTTGTGTTTGTACATAATATTCTTCATCATTTCGCGTTTGAATACGATTGGCCATCAAACGACTGGCGATAATGAAAAATCTTTTCATTTTTGTTGTATTCATTTCAAGATCATCAGAATTTGTATTCCAACTATCATGATACAATTCAATTAAACGAAATAAAATCATCGAACAAAAAATAATTAATGCCAATGCATGGCAGATGACAAAAAACGAAATGAAAACTTTTGGATGATCAGGAGTAAAAAAAGTGTCCATCGAATCACAATCTGAATCAATAATGATTCGGCCATCATCATCAACTTGTGCTGGAATTAATTTACGATATGTACACATTGACCATAGACCGTAATGACCATGTTCTTCAATCAAGCCAAGTTCGATACGTGATTCGAATGATGCCCATCGTGCTGAACAAATAGCGTAGAATTGTATTAATAAACAAGTTAATGCAAATGTAAATTGAATAATCAAAACGATTTTTGACATTTCCATGATTTGATTTGATGATATTTCTCCGTTTTCTTCGGATTAATGATGCAAACTTGAAGCAAATTCATTTCAAACTGAAAATATTCTATTTGAAGACCCGAATACATTCACAACGAATCATTATTATTATTAATGTTACACTATCAAAGAACACTTGTTGAAAATGCATTGACGCGTATCACCGCATAGTTTGATCAAAAGTTGAAAAAAAAAACAAAACAAAGACCCGAGGGCCAGTCAACCTTGTCGTTGTGTTGTATTCGAATGATGTTTAGAAAAAAAATCTCTGACATTAAAAGCTAAAAATTCACCAAAAGCAATACAATTAACTATGTAATATTTTTTTTCAAATGAAAATGACACGAAAACAAAATGCCATAAAACTATTATAGTTGTGAATTAAAGTTGACATCACGAAAATACGAATGAAATGAATGAAATAATAATGACGAACGATGTTGAAAGTGATGATAGCAAAAAAGGAAAATTAATTCATTCGTATCTTGAGGTATCCATGTACGATTGTAGTTCTAAATATAAATTGAATCAATATCCAAAAATTGAAAAAAATGAATTACAAAAATAAATAGCGAAAAAACTAGATATTTATCATTATAGCTGTCTTAAAAATTTGAATTAAGATAGAAAAAAACTAGCTATGTTCGTTCGTACAGCACATTAAAACTTTTTTTTTGGACAATTTTTTTTGAAGCAGTTTACCTTTAAGCTACACAACGGCAACGATGAGCAACTCTACTCATTGATCTCAATCATTGAGAATGGCCACACACAACATTTTGCCTATATGGCTCGGTTGTATAGCTGACCATTAGAAGAAAATGGTAAAGATCTAGATATTGAACAATGATAATCTTCATCATCATAATCATTCATTTATACGTAAAAAACAGGATACGTTTTGCTTTTCATTTTGTCTCGCCTTTGTCTTTCCTATGATTTTAAACGATTTATTATGAATGATTCATTTCAATGTCGACAATTATCATACATAACATCATCAACATTCCTCTTTTTTTTCTTCTTGATTAGAAAATTTTCGACATCGCCCTATTGTGCATCAAAAAATGAATTTATTCATATAACCATGAAATATTTTGAGAAAATGAGAAAAACAAAGAAAAAAATGCATCAATAACTTTAAATTATCAAACAATAAAATTTTTCAACAGTTAAAATGAAAACATTTCATATTATGTTTGTTGTTTGTGCGATTAGATATTTAAGTAATGTTGCGAATTATTGATAAAGATTCCATTAGGATTTAATCAGATTGAAATTATTAATTGAATGTTGTATCCATTGGAAATGTAATCTGAACAAAACGATTATAGAAACGATGAAATGCACGACCAACTGATTCGGCTACATCTCGAGTATTAGAACAATCAACACCTTTAAAAACATGACATGCAAATCTTGTCTGAATAGATGGATGACGAGTGATAAATGCAAAATAATAGACATTATTTTTGAATTGATAACCACAATATGTGATCTGTACTAATGCGAAAAAATAATCATGTTTGTTACTTGTTGTTCGAGATTTGTTCGTAAGATTTGTTATATTAGAGGAATTATCAATCATACGTATACCAATATCGGACACTTCAATTAGGCAATTAAACGGAATATTCATTGAAAATTTTGCGGATGATTTCATTGTTGATTGTTGTACACCAATCGATACTCGTCGTATTGATTCATCTAATACATCTTCACCTTTTGCTTTGAATACTTCGATTGATCCAAGAAAATCCAAATTAAAGCGATCACGTTGTATACGAAAATCAATAAATGGATTCGAATCATGAAAGATTGGATTAGCATCCGTTTCGAACATAAATTCCGAATAATTGACATCGATGACCAATGATGAAGGAAATATTCCTCGATAACCTGTCCGTAAATTAAGACCATCCGACCATTGATCATCAAATTCTTCGTACAAATAGATTGCATCACCAATTTGCAGATCGATTTCATCTGGATGTCGGGCACAAAATTTGAACAATGCTCTATGTGTTGCATCTGGTAATTTGTTCACAGGTTTCAAATTTGTTTCTGATTGTGATTGTTGAAGCTGAGATTTTTGTTCATCACCTTCGTTGTCACAATCATCATTAGCATCATTACTCGTCATGGATGATTTTGATTCGAAGAATTCAATCTTTTCATTAAATGATGAAATAGCCGTCGTTGATGGTGAATCAATGTTGGATGAAACTCCTGAATCGCTACTTGTGTTTGTCAATCGAGAATGATGCTGTCGGTGACTAGATTGTTCCGTTGTCAATGATGATTTATCCGGTGATAACATCATCATCATCGACATCGTATCATCATGACTCCAATCCAATGATGAATGATCATCAGATATTGTTGAGATAAGATTATTTGTTTGTTTCTGTTGTGAATGTTGTTGTTCCGTTGAAGAGAAGATAATATTTTCTTTGTCATTATTGCCATAGTCATTATTATTATCATTTTCTTTCACTTTATTATTATCATCATCATCGACATAATCATCATTGAGCATCTTAATCGAAAGGGTTTTACCGGTGGATGAATCAGTTTTAATTTCTAATAACATATTTGCCATTGTTAATTTCCATCGAAGACTTTTGGCCAAATTTTTTGATTGTTGATCAATACTATTTTGTCCCATTTGCCATATTTTTCCGAACGCTATACAATGAAAGATAAAGATATTCATTTCTTTGATGAGTGAATTAAAAAAAATATTTACGTTTTTTATCCGATGGTATTTTTGGCAACTGGCGACGTTTATGTTGACAATTATTTTTGGGTGTACTATTGAAAATTTTTTTGTCGGATGTTAGATAATCATTATCTTTGACATCATTTTCATAATCATCTTCATCATTGGGACTCAATAGATCATCGGGTACTAAACGATAACATTGATGTTGCATCGAAACTTTTGTCTTAAATGAATCGGGTATCGTTTCCAGATTTAATTTCATGAATGGTTTTGATGATTTTTGTTTATATGAATTTGTTGAATTCATTGGATTTTCAATTCCACTAGTCATCGTTGATGTTGATGCCATTTTTGACAATGTTCTTCTGATTGGGCTTTAGGATCTGATCACGTTTTTTTCATTTCATTCCTTCATTCGTAATAAAGAAAAAATGTACATTATGTATTTCTTACTGCTGCTTCGATGTTTTTTCTGGAACAGATGGAAATCAAAACAAACAATAAAAACACACATACATACACACCTTCATGCACATACCGACAATCCAAAGGCATTATAACCAAGGCAGCCAAGGTCCAATAGTAATTGTTTTCTAGGGTAGGAACTGTGTTTTGCCTATCAGAACAAAATAAAATAAAATGAAATAAGCGAGGGTTTTTTATAAAACATAGTGTGACAGGTAAGTGACCGTAAGGTAATCATTTTTCATTCATATATTTTATAAAAGTAAAAATCAGTGAGATAGAGTGAGAAAGAAAGCTAAAAAAAAACCAGAGATCACCCAAACAATTTCCGTTTGATTGTTCTGTAAATCATCATCATACTTTTTTTCATTCATGTAAGTGGTACTGATCTGGTTTCTACTAAATTTTAAATCGGAAATAAATTAAAGAAAAGGTAGTCGGAAAAATTTTCAAGCCATATGGTACCTATCAGATCCTGAACTAAGTATGATATTCAATGGAAAAAAATACCAAGAGAAATAAACTAGCACAGACACTTTAAAACATTTTAAATCGTGCATTATTATTGCACAATATATAATCATATTATACAGGTTTGATTTTTATGGGCAAATATTTTTATAAATGAAAAAATAAATAAATAAAAAATTACCCTTGAATTACCTTATAAATTGTTTTGGATTATAAAAATCATGAATGTCAATGAGGATTAATAATTTAGTAAATATGAAAAACAACAACAATAAATACAAATGACAGGTACAAATACTTTTTAATATCACTTTTTGATACAAAAATTAGTTTTGCCACATTTAATAGAAACTAATTTGATTCTTTTTTGCAAGTGTAGAAAATTAAAAACACACCCGAAAAAAAATTATATGACACAATAGATAATATAAATAAACGAAGAAAAAAATATTGAAGAATTATAAACAGAAAAAGGATAATAATTTTGGAACACTTTTAAATGACATACGAATACACTAAAAAGATAGAATTCAATTGAAATATTCAGTTTTATTACTGCTATTGTTGTTGTTATTTAATGTCCTTGTCCATACAGTGTTGCGTGCACTATGAATTTATTGTGTAATGAAAAAAACCCGGTTCCGAATTCTTCATTCTTCATGAGCTGAATAATTTTAGCACTGTTGTCCATAGCTGTTTTTGTTGTTGTTTTCAGCCTTGCAAACCGAATCGTTAATAATGCGGAAATTTATTTCAACGACAAGTGTATATATGTTCTATATATACATGATAATGTTCATATCATCGAAAATAAGCTGAAAAAAAAGAATCATATAGATGTATAAATGAAAAACCGGAATTCCTTGAGAATGTATTTTCATTGGAAAAAAATGAAAACATTTATCATGTACAGATGTTCGAATCTGTTATAATTTTGTACTTGATTCAGAACTAAATTCTCAACTATCGAGTTAATTGTTCTTGCGTAATAATAATAATAATCGATTCTATTGAAAATGTTTGTTGTTTTTGGCAAACCAAAAAGTAAAGAAATACAAATATTACTGGAATAACAAAAACAGATTCAAAGATAAACAAAAACAAAAACTTACTTAGCAACTAGCCAAATTGAATTTTTTATTATTTCACAATTTCTATTAGCGAATTTGTGTGTCAGTTTGTGTCTGTGGATCTAAAAATTAATCAATCATAAGATTCCATATAAACATATAATAATATGACTAAATTGATTCGCTAATTATAGACTGAAAAAAATTGAAAGATTTTTTAAACAAAATTCTATGCTTCGTTTATTTTGGAATCCAACGGTTATACCATTAGGAATATGATATGAGATCGATTTAGATTAATCAATCAATTGATCAGACAACAATTGTATTTTTCATTTTAATCTTTTTTTTTGAAAAAATGAAATTATTTTATTTTGAATTATTGAACTAAATTGAATGAAAATTATCGTCTTGATAAAAGAAAATTGAAGTCGGCGTCATCATTTTTTCTAGTTCATCATAAAGATACACATGTGAAATGAATGTGATTAGGTTCTCTGTTGTTTCTTTCGTTCAAAATATATCATTTGAAAATAGAAGTGGTATGTTTTAGTTTTTATCCAAGTAAATTGTCGTTATTATTATCCATCCATTTAATGAACGTATTGTATCTATAGGTTGCATATTTGATGATTGTTGATTGCAATATTGCAATTGTATTTTTTAAGATTTCATTGTATACAAAGTAAGTTGATCGAATACAATCAAGTTAGATATGTCGCCTTTTGCCGTTGGTGTGTATATGCGTGGCTGTTGGTTGATATCCGTAGGTTTGGTCTTTGTTTTGGTTAATAATTGTATATATATGATGATAGTATGTGGTATCTTTGTGTCTGCGTGTCTTGTATGTATTTATCGTTGATGCGCCTGATTTATTTGTATCTGTATCCTTATGGTAAATATGCTCAAAAGAGTCTATCTAGTTTTTTTCATATATTCCTATATAGAATATTATTAGGTATTAGGTTTAATTTTCTGTTTTCTGGAATCTATGGTTTTGTTTTGGTTATTTTTTTGTTTTCTGGTTAACTACTGCTATCGTTAATATTGTTGATATCAGTTGATAAAAATGATTGAATGAATTTCATCAACATCAACAACAAAAAAAAACAAACGTGAAAATAAATATCATTAATTTTAACCATAATCAGATCAAAACAATTATAACAACAAAAGCAAAATAGAATTATTATCATCATCATTCAAAAATTTTGTTGAGAGAGAAAGAAAAATGTTTACAATCATCATCATTATCAATAATCATTGTATGTTTATCTAATTTTTTCATCATTTGTTGTTCATGATGTTTGATTTGTGTGTGTTTCCATTCTGGTAATAAATCATCCTTTTTTTTCAAATAATAAATATGATTACTATTTTATTCTCTTCTCCTATTTCCTCTGGTAACATTTTTCGAAACCGAAAAAATAGAAAACAAATTGTATCGATACATTTGATCGATATTAATAATGATTTTTTTTTTGAATGATGTGATCAATGAACGTATGAATGCATCAAGGCGACAAGAAAACAAAACAATCCTCACAATATTGTGACAATCAATTTGTGTTGAAAAATTAACAAATCCTGTTTTCGATTTGTCAACGTCAGCAGAAAAAAAATTTCCATTTTGTTTTGTTTTGTCGACAACAACAACAACAACAAATTGACAAAACAAATTAAATTTTTTGTTGCATTCATCGATTTTGACAATTTTATTTGAATTTAAAGTTTTTAGCTGAAAAAAATTTGACCAAAAAACAAACTAATACAATCAAATTACATGTATTGCGTTCACCTGTTGTAGGCGTCATCGGTTTCATCACCTGGTTTTTATCATTTCCTTTACATCAAACAAACCGAGTTTCTTTTTGTGTACTAATTAATAATGATGACAAAATAATGACGTGAAGAATGAATGAAATCACAAATTCCGACTAAAATCAATTTGATGCTAATTTTTCATTAACTAACAGATTATACAGATACATAATACCATTCAAAAAAAACTACTAGCCGGCTAATTTGATTGGCTTTTTGGCTTGTTGGTTAGCTTGTTGTTGTTGTTGTTTTCTCATCAAAAAAAGCTAGCTCACCTTGAAACGAAAAAAAGCAGAAGTAAAACGAAACACCTGATTTTTCTTTTCAATCAATCCTTCGGTTGTTTGTGTTTCGTCTTCCTAATTCATCATCAACATTATCATACAAATAAAATATCGACTCGTAAACACGTAGAATTTAATGACAACAACAACAACAACAGTATTATTAATGAGGAACGACGCCCATTTTGGGTGAACGCTAACCAACATTATAATCAACAACCTAATACAAAGATTTCGTCATCGAGTTTTTAAAACATCTTGTTTTTGGTTGTTTTTGTTGTCGTCGTTGTTATGTGTTTGTATGCAACTAACCAAAATCCCTTTTTTCATAATTATGATGATGATGATGATTTACAATGTAATTGTATAAATGTCAAATAACATCAACAATACAAAAAATAGATGTTTTTTTAAAAAAAAGAAAACATTTCGTAATTATCGTCTAAACTGTTTGTTGCTATTATTGTCGTCTTTAAAAGAAAAAATGATAATAATCATAATGGAAATTATGATGAAAATCAGCCATATCAACATTATCATTATTTTCAATGCAATAAAATCTTAATAAAACGTAAAAAGAAAATCCTCATCAAACATTTGGCTTCAAAATGTCGAAAAAGAAACGAATGAAAAAAGGTTGTTTTATTTGTTGTGATTATGTTTCGAATAACAAAAACGAATGAATAAATTGTTGTTTGTTCTTGTTTTGTTGTCACAGTTGAAATGTCATAGTTTAGAGAGAAAACAAAAGTTACCATCGATCATCGTTTCAACAATCCAAACAGATTGAGTAATATAACTGTTTTTTTTGGGAAAAAATAAAAACAAAATAAATGAAATTTATTTGAAAACTTATTGGTGAATATTTGTTCATGTGTATGTAAGTGTGTCCGCCCGATCCTTTTTGATTCATCACGACAATTTCTTCGTTCCAAATTCTGGTCATTTGTATAGATATTTTGTCTACGTCAATCGTTGATGAAGAAATTTTTCTGAAAAATAAATAAAAAGGTTTGTCTCCGAAAATTTTTTTTCACCATTTTTCTTAAAAGACTTGAGCCATAAAGTTGTTTCTTTCGTTTTTTTTTTGTATTAGATCCAAAATAAAATTCAGGCGTGTTTTTTAGCGACAACAATATTAGCTCAAAATTAAAAATAAATGTTGCGTGAATTTGAGCGAATATTGACCGAATATAAATTAGCCTATTATTTCTTTTTTTTCATTATTTGATAAACAGTGATGACAAAAATAATCTCGAATTTTAAAAGGGGATTTTCATTATTTTCAAATTATTTTTTTCTTGTTTTGTTTCCTGTTCATTATAAAATATCAAGATGAAAGTATGTATGTAGAGCAATATATTTGAATAATGATATGAAAAGAATTTCCGTTATATATTTCCGATTATTTCCGAATATACCATGTGTGATGATAATGATTATTCCGAACAAGCGGTTTCAAATCCTATCAAATGTTTTTTTTTACTTTCACCTTATTTTTTTGTCATAAGCAAATTAAGAAAACGATTTTATTCGTTACATTGCATACTAATGCAACTATTTATTTTCAACACTAAACAATTCGTAAGGCTAGTCATTCATTTGAATTGAATGAAATTCTCGGAATATTTCGTTGTCGAAATATTAGTTTTTTTTACCATTTCTATATGTTTATAATTCGTCTACGTCATTAGTTAACGACAATTTTTTTAAATGAATTTTATTCGCCATTTTTTTTCATCGATTTTATCGACATGTGAATGAAAAAAAAACACAATGTGTGCATGTGTATTTCTAATGTGTTCCATTGTGATGGAATGATAATAATTTCATCAAACAGAAAAAAATTACTTGGTCTCTAAGCTACTTATCATTCACATTGGTCGCAAGCAAATTTCCATGGTAGAACACAATCGGTTATTTTATTAATTAATCAATATATTGATAGTTTTCAATCTATTTAATTATCTAATTATCATCGACGTATTATTTATTGGATTGTATTTATATTATTCGTCTCAATCATTTCGATAATAAATCTAACCTTTCAACATATTTTTTTCCAAATGACAATTTGACGTCATACGAATGACAGAAAATTTTCCCCTTTTTAATAATAGTAATTATGATGAATTTCAATGATGGTTACAGAAATCATTTTATATTAATGTCAATCATTTTTAAAAAATTGAAAATTTTGTTTGGGTTTTTCCCATCAGGTTCCAACTTATCTGCCAATCAATCAATAAATTACTGAATGATTAATATGTAATTATATAACCTGGAAAAAGCGGTTTAGGTCCAAAAAAATTGTCCATTCTTGTTTCATTGTTGAATATTGAATTCTTTTTTTTTTCATTTTGATTTGTCATTAATGATGAACATTCATACAATGTTAATAACTTTTTTTTCAATTCATAAAATTATTTTCCTCATTAATGGTTAATTTTTTTTCCTACTTTTTTCCTGTAATTTTTATCCAATCTCCTTTTCCCTCTCATTAGGAATTAATATTCATCATGATTTTATCTATAAACCGATTAAGTATTCAAAACAAGAAAAACGAAATAGACATGTCATGATAGATCATGAAAAACAAATAACAGTCAAATCACCATTAATTTGCAATTTTATTCAAACAATATAGCTCACATGTATCACATTTATGTGTTGAGTTCTTCAAATTCACAAAGCATTTTTTGTTATAAAAAAAAATTCACCACAGTTTTTTAAACTATATCGATTATGAATTGTTGTGTATAAAAAAAAGATGGCCAAAAAAATAAGCATCAAATTTACTCCCACATCACAGCAACAAAATAGATCTTCATTATCACCGCCAGATACGCCCACTGAATTATCATTAATGGGTAGCCCGTTTGATGATTTTGCAATCACTTCCGAAGATGATCTTGGTTCTGTACAATTATTTTCAATCACTGATGAAGAAAGTGAAGATAATTCCGAATCAATTGGTGATCCAGATTGTCAAAGACAGTCACAACAGTTACATCAACAACAGAATAGACAGCCACCAAAAGTTGAAGATGAAATCGATATGATTGATGCAAAAATTAGACAGGAAAAGAAAAAAGGTTCAGGAAATAAAATGGATAAATTTATGAAACATTTACAGGAAGCTTTAACACCATCATCATCATCATCATTATTGAATCAAGATTCATCCAAAAATCCAATCAAGCATGATATAGAATCGGAAACAACAACATCATCATCATCATTATTATCATCATCGACGACTAATAATCAAAATTCAACAAGTTGGTTGAATGATATAAAATTTACCAATCTGGTCAATTTAAATAAATTACGTAATGAAAAGCAACAACAAACAAAAATTATGCAATCAGAATCGATGGATAATTTTTTTGATAATCAACAGCAACAACAACAATCACAACCAACAACAACAGGTTCAACATCGAGGAAAATGTCGATGGCTATTGGAGTAAAAAATTATAACCATCCAATTTCAACATCATCATCATCATCACTATCGACAACAGCAACAACAACAACGATGACGACAACGGCAGCAACAACAACAATGGTAGCAGACGCTCCTACAACAATTATGATGATGACGAACACGTTTTCCTCTATCGTGGACGCAAACGGACAAATTATGGTATGATTTTTTTTTGTTGCTCATCATTTTGATAGTAGTTGTCATAATCATTGGAATTGAATTCAAATGATGAAAAAAAGAGTAAATGAATAGTTAGAGTGAAAACATTTTTATTTTATTCATGCTAAAGTATTACTATGACAAGAATCATTAGATGATTTTTTCGACTAAACATTTTTACTAATAAAAAATTTACCTTTTTTTCAATTTTTTTTGTTGATAGGTATCATCACCATCGAATGACAATAATAGTGAAGATTATCAACAACAAGTGCCCAATGAATCATCGGATATTTCATCGATAACTATGACAGCTGAAACAACGAGCAATAGTAATGAAAATATGGCTAAAGAATCAAAAGATAAACCACAAAAATTAAAAGATATGTTCATTGGATTGAAATCTAATTCCGGTGAATCATCTGCAACTAAGAAAAAATTTACATTATTTGATAAGAAAACATTTCAACCGAAAAACAAACAACAGCAACAATCACAGGATACGCAACAAGATTTATTCAATAAATTGATCTCTCCTATGCGAACAACAACACCATCACCAACGGTACCGGTACCATCATCATCAATTACATCGGCCTTATTATCACCGGTTCAACAGCATTCAATTACATCGCCTTCATTTTCAAATTCACAAGTATTGTCTAATTTTCTTGCTACATTCACCAATGCATCATCATCATCGGCAAAAGTATCGTTTACAGCAAATACCGATTCCAATAATATAGCAGGTTGTACAAGATCTGCATCAACCGAACATGTTGATACGATTGGTGGTTATAAAAATAAATCCAATAAAATGACCAATAGTAAATCAATGATGACATTCCGTAAAGCAACAAAATTCGAAGATAATAATAACAATAATAATAATAATAATGTCAACAATGTCAACAACAATATTAATAACATCAACAATACAATAATCAATGATGATGAAGAAGAGAATAATCAATTTGGATTATTACCAACATATTTATTGACCAGTACTTTAGCCACACAGAATCCAACATTAAGACGACGTACAAAAAGTTCACCATTAAGAAATCGAACACCGACACCTGATGAAACAATTCATATGGGAAAACCATTTGATCATCAGCAATTTATTCAACAAAAACGACAAAAACATCGTCTTTCTGATGTTAGTCATTCATCATCATCATCGTCATCATTACCATCATTGAATGATGACTTAGTGAATGAAAAAAATTTTGATACAACTCTTGTCAATAATGAAAATCATTATCATAGTCATCATCATCATCATCAACAGCCACAGCAACAAAAACAACAACAACAACAAAAGAAAAATGTTATAAATCAATCATTATGGTCAAAGATGACATCATCAATCACATTTCAATATTACCTCTTTTTATCTATGGCTGTATCATCCGGATTCTTTATTTGCATATCACCATTACCTTCATTTATAAATGGTTTCATTTTTGGTTTTTTGATGACATTTTTCATCGTTACAATAGGCATTATTTATTTGGTTGCCAATTTTTTCCTGATTAAATCTGATGATCCTAAACGTGGTGATCAATCCGGAAGATCAGAAGGTTTAGGATTAAAACGTACTAAATCAAAACGACTACCCTTTAATGTTTCCTCATCGATACCTAACAATGATGGTATTATCTATGCTGGATGGGTGTACGAATTTATTGGTGATTATATTGAACGTGAAAAAAATGGTTTTGTTTCTAGATTAGTCTATTTAGTTTTAAGCGGATCTAAATTGAACATATTTGTTCCTAGTCAAGAGATTAGTGATAAAAAATTGAAACAAATTTTATTAGATCCTACATCCGGAAACAATCGAAACTTTGCTCTACAATCGCAAAAAGTGATCGATTTTTCTCGTATTCATCATAAACGTATTTGCCTTTATTTAACCAAAAATGTTCGTAATCAACGTAAATATATTTGGAGTAAAAAATATCCCATTTGTATTGAATTCAATGAAGAGATTAGACAAGATGATAATTTAGATAATTCATTTCAATCAGCTTCACCAACACCCATATTATCTAAACTGGTCATATTTGCTCGAACATGTCGTGAAAAAGAAGAATGGTTTTGGGCAATTAAAACATCGATTGATTCCATAATAAGCTCAAGCAAGAATTCTATATCGGTTCGTGGATCGAATAATTCGTTGAATGATTCACCAAGTGAATCTAAAACCTATTTGTTTGTCGCTTCGACCGGAGAATTTAAACAAACTGATCCAGAAATATTAGTTACACAGCAAAATAATCATCATCATCATCATCAACAATGTCTTCACATATTAACTCGTCGTCTAAATTATTCAAATTTTATGCGCACAAATATCTTAAATGCTGAAGGAATAGGACCAGGTAATCCAGGAATGATGACAGCATTAACCTGGTTCAATGTTCTTCTTAATCGGCTTTCGTTCGATATTCTTAACAAACCGAATTGGAGTGCATATATAGCCAAAAAATTGCAACGTAAATTGCGTAGACTACGATTGCCATATTTTATGGAATCGTTAACTATCACCGAAATAGATATCGGTACCACATTGCCCAAATTTAATTCAGTGCCTTCGGTACCAACCGTTGATGATGCCGGTCTTTGGATTGAGTTCGATGTTAACTATTCAGGTAAAGAATAAAATAATGTTTTAGTTGAATTATAGCTTTGCTTTTTATATTCATCATATGAATTAAACAGGCGGTTTCACAATGACCTTAGAGACAAAGATTAATTTACTTAAATTATCGGCTAACGTAGAGAATTTTGCCGATGTTTCACCAGCTTCGACACCAAATGATTCACCCAAATTGACACAAAAAATTGGCGGCAAATATTGGAGTGGCTATCGAGCTAAATATCGTAGCAGTGCTATTGGTACACAAAGTCCAGCACCTGGAACCGAATTGAATGATGAATTTTGTGATGATGATTCGGATCTTGATTCGATCATAACCAGTTCAGAAGATGAAGAACCTGAGACGGCTCCAGCAGCGCCAGATGATGCCGATACAGATGAAAAACAAAAGAAATTGATCAGATTCGTCGAAAAGATTGCTTCCAATCAATATTTTCAGAAAGCAAGTCAAATGAATTTTGTAAAGAAAGCTTTGGAAGGCGTATCAAATATGTCTATTATGTTGACCGTTCAAATTAATTCACTAAATGGAACATTAGGTATATTTATAGTTTGTTTGATCAATATGAAAAGAATTTATAATTATTTTATTTCAATAGCTATCAATATACCGGAACCACCTACTGATCGTCTTTGGTATGGATTTCGTAATGATCCATCATTTTCGATAACAGCCCGCCCAAAATTAGGTGATCATGATCTGAATCTAAGTTATGTAACAAACTTTATTGAAAAAAAGCTTCGTAATGAATTTTTCAACTATTTTGTGATTCCGAACATGGATGATTTTTTCATTCCATCATTAAACACTGGCATTGAACAGTATATCAACGTGGTGCCTTAGCTACACAAACACACATACAAATTTTAATTAATATTTTCATCTAAAAAAATATAGTTAAACAAATTTCATTCGTATCTCAGGATGTTCACATCCATAGACACACACACACATCTATACACACTTAAATGTCTCATTATTGTCCACATTTACATTAACAGTATCTAAGCATCTTTCTTAATTCAAATGATTGACTTATCATCATTAAAAAAGAATCAACTTAACAAAGGCAAATATAAAAAAAGAAACATCTTTGTAATCATAATCAGAAGGAACAATTTTTTTAAAATACACAAAGACATAACAGAGAAACCAGAACCAGATATATGATGTTAAGTTTTTTTTTGTTGTTTGAAATGATAATTATTATTATGGTCCATTGATTATTGTTAATTGAATTTTTCACAAAACATCTATACAATTATACACACTTACATAGAAACATTGAAAAATGTGGCAAAAGTGAGACAATAGTTTAAATTATGTTGTTTTTTTTTTGATTTTTCGTTTCTAAGAAAAAAAAATTATTCTATCCAATGAAAATGGCCGACCCAAAATTCTTTCATCAAAACTTATCTGCTTCAATTATTATCGTTATTTCTTAATTCGATTATTATTAATAATTATGGGCCATTCATTTTTGCTATTAATTCAATAAATATTCACCTGTGATATTCACACATCATTATTTTGATATTGAATGATGGCGAAAAAATAAAAACAAATAAATTATATTCAAAAAATTGTTTCAATATTTTATATTTTATTCCATTCAAATGGTCAATATGCTAGATAATTAATGCACACACACACACACCGGAATAAAGTAAAATGAAAAAAAACAAGAAATCTTGATTAAGAAATATAAGCTACATTAAAAGTGTAGGGAAAGAAAATGAAAAAAAACTGACAGGAAAAAGCTACAAAATGTGGAATACAATGATTTTTGGTTTGTTAAAAATTTTGTTTTTTTCCCACCAACAATCAAATTGGTTAATCACATGAAAACAATTAAAATAGACAACAAAGAAAATAAACACAATGTAAGTAATGATGATCTGGATAAAATAATTTTTTGGATATAATTCAATTAATTAATGGTATGTATTGTTGAAAGAAAATGAATAAAATCGAAATATCAATCCTAAATCTCCGTAAGACGAAGATTGGTATGTAGTTTGGGCTGTACATCGCATATAACACGTGTAAGAAGATCTTTAATGACAATTTCTTTGGCTCCCGTCACCGTTTTGGTCATTTGTTCCAATTTGATCAAAGTATCCTGTTCGATGGATCCTTTAATTGTATCCCTTTTGGATTTTTTTCGAATTTATAAAATATAATGATTTGTATTCATTACATACATTAAAATATGACACTTACATTGAACCCATATGTTTCGATTCATATTCACGGAATGCATTTTCTCGTTCATTACGGAATCGTTCAATCTCGATCAATGCTTCTTCTTTAGCCTGTTTAAGACGGCGGGCTTTCTTTTTTCTAGCTTCTTGAACCTGGGAAATATTTCATATTTTTTTGATTTTACGGATGAAATGAATCATTGACCACTTACTTTTTCGGCTGCCTTTTTCTCAGCCATTAAAAGTTGTTGAATGCCTTGTGTTTGACTAGCCATTTTTTTACGTTTGAATAATTGTCAATTGTTGAAACAAAAGGTTCAAAGGTTCGATTTTTTCGGCTCTTTTGTAACAAATGGGAAAAACTCGTTGTCTACAAATTGGAAAAGAAAACGAAAGCAAATTTGTATAATTGTATCAGAAAAAAAACTAATTTATTTTTTTCACTTGTAAAATCCTGAAAAACACACATTCATAAAATTTTTCTTTAAAAAAAAATCCACTCACACAAAACGCCCAACAAAATTTTGTTTTTTCGTTTCGAACGATCAAAACACAATATATTATAACACTATCGTGGAGTCATCAATAAAAGCTGTAACATTTAAATAATGTAGAGGATATATAGGTAGTAGTAGCATTAGATTTAATTCGAATCGAATATAATTTCGTTCCAATATGCATATTGTTTTCATTCCAATAATTCAATGCTACTACTACTATAAGGATTTTTATCAATATATATACACTGTGTTCATCATCATCATCATTAAACATTCCGAAATATTATTTTCTTTTCCATTTTTTTTGTTTTGTTTGTTATCATTTTGGGCGCCGTGTTGGCTACTATCTTGTGTGTATTTATTTACTGCTGCTGCTGCTGCTATTACTGTTGTTTGGCTGGTAGTCGTGTCGAGTTTTTTTCAATTTCTCGAATTGATTTCAATTCATTGAAAAAATAGACATCAAACTAATTATTGATTGATTTGTTTCCGAAATCCGAATTTCGGTCAAAAAAAAGAGGATTTCGTGATTAAAGAATTCCATACTTTTCTCATCTTGTTTCTTCTAATCATTCGACAAACATTTTGTTATTTTTGAAGAAAAAACAAAAAATTCGAAAACTATTCAACAACAGGTGAGCATAATTCTCATATCTAATTTGAAATGAACAAAATTTGTTTCACAATAACAAAATGAACCTTGAATTACTTTTTTTTAATGACGATGACTCGATGTTCTTGTAATGGTGTGTTTGTGGAATTGAATATAATTTATTTTCATCTTCGTCATCACAAATGTTCATCATGATCGAATAATCAATTTATTCTATCATTCTAGCATTAATTTTCTATTTTGTTTGTATGTATGGCCATTTTTTGAATCTTTTTTTTTCAATTTAAAATTTTCCAATTTTTGTCTATTGAAAAGAAATTCAAAACAATATCCGAACAAAACAAAACCCCAAAAAGGAAAGAAACAAATGATTCTCAGCTCCTTGCTTGGCTGATTTGATATTTTTTTCCATCACATTATTTCGTTTTGCTAAAATGAATTCCTTATTCATTCTTTTATTCAAATTTTCCATCATCATGTATTATTTCTCATGAAGATGACAAATTCAATAGGCGAATAATAATAATAATAATAGTTTCAATCCACCAAGTATATGATGGCATTCATGATTGCTATATTTGATGATCATTTCTATTTAGTGATTGTCAATGATAAAATCGACATACCACAGAATGTTTATGAAAAAATAACAACAACAAAAATATTTATCATCACATGATGTATGTATGAATCTTCTATCTAAAAAATAAATTATAAAAAACAGTATGCTGATAATTTTACTTTGATAATTGTTTCTGTATTTATTTCTGATAATTTTTCTGTTTAATTTTAACCCTTTTATGAGTTGATTGGCCTGTGCCATGTACAACTTGAAATCAACTAAACGATTAGCCTTAAGAAAATTACAGATAATCTGCTTGGAATAATTCAAATAAAATGTATTGATCATATTGAAAGGATTGAATTGTTTGATGTCATTGTTAATTATAATTATGCAACCGAAAAAAAGAGGTAAATCCATTTCACGATTATTCGAACCAACTTATTGAGACATCATCGATACGCATAACAACCTGTTGCTTATTCGATTTTTTCGCTTGTCATTTTTTTGTGATTAATATGAAATGGAAAGAAAATCTGCTTAATCTATCTCATAAGAAATAGTTTTCTTTCTTAAAAAGCTATCATCATGTTTACCATTCATTATTAATCACAATCATTTATTCGTGTTGAGCTTTTTTCTACCTAATTTTTTCTATCTATGATTTATTGATTTATGTCGTTTTCAGTTTGTTTTTATTTCCATCATATAACCAAAAAACCGAAACAATCAATCGATTTGATTAATTGAATAATAACTTTGCATTCGACACGATGATCAATACAATAAAAGCAATGTTAATAGGCGTTTATTCATATGAATAACAATGGTTTTTTTTCAAAAAAAACCCATTTATTCGAATTTTTTTACAACCATTAACATTTATTAAATTGTTATATAAAAAATTTCACATCCAATCGGTGATTTATGCATTTTCTCTATTTGATGTTAGTTTCACTACAAGAAATACATCTTTTTTTTACGTTTGGTGACTACCTTTTTTTCATAAATCAGTTTTTATCACCTTTTTTTCTAAAAAAACTCATCATTTGTTAACATCATCTTTATAATGTTTGAAGCCTAGTTGGTCGTTGATACTTTTAAATACATTTTGTATGTGGTCATTTACATGTTTTTTTCCTCTTCACCCGAATAATATAATGACCATTTTAGCAATGATCTGTCGATGTTTTTTTTACATTTATCATCATTATCATAATAGTGAATCAATTGTGTGATTGCTATTTTCATTCATCAGATAAAATTTCATCTAGTTGTAGTGTGTATAGATGAAATTTTTTTCCTTTTTTTGAAAAAAAGTATAATGATAATAATCTTTTGATTTTTTTCATTTCAATCTGTGATGATGTAAATAATGAGTTTTGTTGATCCTCCAGATTTAGCTTTATTTCTTAACGTTCATCACTGAACGATCAGATAGTTTAGTGTAGTCATCATTATGATCATTGCTGAAAGATTTTTTTTTGCCATGTTGTTTAGGTCATAGAATGATTTCAATTATCTTTTTTTGTTGTTCAATATTTTTCAAAGATCATCACCGGGCATTGTTTTTATTTCAAATCCATGTTATTATTATTATCATTTTCTTCATTCAATGATTATTATTGTTAATTCGATAAAGCCGACTTGTATTGAATTTATTTTTATCGTTTCCACCTTCATGTTGTCATCGATGATGATCATGATTGACAGAACAGGATCATTAACTTTTTTCATTCGAATTTTTTTTTGTTCGTTCATCATTTCACCAATCATTATTATCATTGTCATATATTTCTTTCCACTTACACATCCTATCACTACTGATGATGATGATGATAAGAATTTCTATTGATATCCATTAATGTTTTGATCATCGAATAATGATCAGATTAACTTATTATAGATTGTTTTTATGTTGTAATCATCACAACCCATTAGGAGTAAAAGATTATTGTCTAAATTTTTATGTAGGATTTAAGTATGTTTGCGTGTTGAATTTAAAAATGTGTTTCAATAGTGATATGTCTAAAAAAGGTTCAATACACCGTATTTGCCTTATATATAAATTGTTGAATTAATTTTGCAATTTCAATTGTGTATGTTCCAAATGTATTGAATAATCATTGAAAGAAAAAGATTTATTTCTTTGATTCGAGAAAAATTTTCCTTATTTGTTCATTATTGGTATGTTTGTTTAAATTTATCTTTCATTTTTACTAATGAAGAAGGAATATATTTTTTCCTTATAACTGGATCAAATCGATTATTATACCATGATTGGAACATGATCCATTAGAATTTGATAAAAATAAACATATTTTACACGTACTGTTTATATGAAATCATCTAGATTTTTTTCCATATAAAAGTTATTTTCAATCCCTATTTATCTGTTAATGTTCATTTATTTATAAGTATTTTTTTTTGTCTTGTTATGGTTTCTTTTTTCTCCATCTTATACACTTTATTAGCCATTTCGTTGGTATCCACACCCTTTTATTGTTTTGGTAAACAATTGCATCGTAGCATTGATGATCGAATGAAATTATTATCGCCAAATCTTCCGCCAATCATTTTATCATTTAATTGACAATTTATGTCTGTTATTTCATCGTTTGCTGCAAAAACTAATTGTGCAATTTTGTTTGATTATATTATGATGATGATAGTGATGGTCATCATCATTGATAACATTTTATTTAATTGTCAGTGAGTCCGTTGTTTGAATTCACTTTTTTCTGATTTTCAGCATTATAATCCTTTGTTATGGATCGATTTTTACAATTTTGCCGATTTAATCTGGTATGTATCTTTTTGTATAATCATTCAAAATTTTAAACCAACAAAATCTATCATTATAATATTTCATGTTTTCTATTGCTATTTTTATTCATTTTTTACTAATCATCATTATAGTCCAATGTGACAGCATTCAAAAAATTATCAATCGTCGTTGGTAACGAAAGCTGTGATTTAGATTCGGCCGTTTCGGCAATCGTATTGGCCTATATAAAATATCATGAGCTTACAAAACATCAGGATAGTGATGAAGATGATTATGATCAAGATGACTCGGTATGTTTATTATTTAACAATCTAGATAATCCATCCTCATACAATTTGTATGAATACTTTCTATTAATAATTTTTTTCTGTATTTGTCGCCACACATACACGTGTGGTTCCCTTTTTCCAAAATAACAAATTTTAATGATGATCGTGGTTTGAATTTTTCTGATTTTCTGTTTGTTTTTTTCTTCTTCACCGATGATGAATGAATGAAAACCATAAATATATCCACAATAAACAAACAGGAAGTAATTGTATTGCCTGTTTTAAATGTGTTTCGTGAAGACCTACACCTTCGTCGAGAGATTGTATTTTGGTTTGAAAAAGTCTTACAATTTGAACTCGAATGGCTTATTTGCCGTGATGAAATCGACTTTGATGCTATCAATTCATCATCAGGTTTGTTCAATCTTTTCTTTGCCTTGTTATTACTAATATCTTCATCTCCCTTTTTCCCATACTCTTCATTTTTTTCTCAATGTCCATTATTCTCATCTGTCGTTTTCTATTTTTTTTTCATCATTCCGTAGTTCAAGTATTCATATCATTAGTTGATCACAATGAAAATAAAGAGTTTCAACGACTCTTTCCACGAGCTCAGTTTGATGAAATCATCGATCATCACCAACCACATTCATCTTCCGATCCATCATCATCACAATATATTCAATGTGATCCGTCAAAAGTACAGATCGATACCGGTGTTGGTTCATGTTGTTCATTGATTGCTTTACGTTATTTCAAATCAAATATCACCAAACATAAGTTTGGTTCTCCGGTTAAATCATCAACATCATCCGAAACGTTTGATTCACAGATCGCCTTAATTCTATACGGACCAATACTTTTAGACACTATTTGTTTTACGCATTCAGCAGCCCGGTTTAATGCAAAAGATTGCGAAGCAATAAATAAATTGGAAGACCTGATGAAACATCCTGCCGATGTTGAGCCGTCCTTATACGATCGTAATGAAGTATATCAACGTTTAGTGACGGCCAAAAACTCACTTGATGGACTATCGTTTGAAGATTTATTACGTAAAGATATGAAAATTGTTGAATCAATTTCGGATAATAATCTAGCAATATGTATCTCATCAGTAACCGGAATTTTATTGACCGAAATGTCTTTACGAGATAAATCAAAAGAACTTAAAAACTTTTGTGATCAACCTCCAAAAACAGCTGCGTTTTCCGATCAATCACGACCACGAATGTTCAATGCTATCATATTGATGAGTCTAGATAATCGAATACCTAACAATCTACGTCGACAATTGGCAATCTTTTGTCCTAATAAACATCTGATGCGAACAGTTAGTATAATGTCATCTTTTTTCTCTCTTTTTTTAATTTCATTAATAATCAATTTATTCCCATCAAAACAGATTGCAACCTGTATTGAACGTTCAGAACAACTGTCACTCGAGCTTATCACTGCTTTGGAATCATTACGAATTTATAATCAAAATAATTTGAAAGCATCACGTAAAGTTGTCCTGCCAATCATATCAACAATATTGAATGGTCCTGGCGCCGGCAATGGTTCTATTGGTGGTAAGTCAAATGATAATGACGATAATAATGTCTCACCAGTGCTTTCTGCTTTTTTTTGATACTTTTCCTGTGATCTAATATTTTCAAAATAAAATTTCCTTTTTCTTATATTGTAAAAAACTAACCCATATCTTCATGACCGTGTGCGTGTGAAAATAATCAAAGGAAATCTTTATGGAGAATGATTGAACGTGAAAATGAACAGCGTTCATTTTTCGAATTCTCCTTGACTGAAAATCGGAAGCGGTTATTATGTTTGAATTCGAAGAATTTATTGAAAAAATTTTAAATGTTTTTAGCTTTTGTTTGTTATAGTAATAGAAGTAGCATCTGCTACATTAGTAGTGAAAATTTCAATCTTTTCAAATCCGCCATTTTTTCCATCCAAAAAACTAGCGACAAAAACATGATCAAAAATCATCATCATCATCATTATCAGAAGAAAATTTATTCAATCAAACTCTACGACAAAAAAAAACAAATGGATAATCTGCCCAACTTGGTTTGTATGTGTGTCTTTTTTCCAGATAATAATGATAGTAGCAGTTGTTGTTGCTATTGTTTAATGGTTAAATGATTGATTCGATTTTGCTTTGTTTTTGTTTTTTTTTTGTTGTTGTCAAGTCATTCTTTTGTGTGTTAGATTATTTTGATTTTTCTCATTAATTTCATTTTTTTTACAATTTTCATGTCGCATGTTTTGTTCATTTCCCTTTTTTACTTGTCTGTGTTTGATTTTTTTCTTTTTTTGATTTAATTTTGATCGTGCTTGATTGTTTTTGATTCATTATTTTTTGTGTGGCCGGCTCAAATCTAATTTGTTTTCAAAAAACTCGTTTCGTTGTGTTTTTTAGAAACAAAACGTAATGATCCAGTAACAATCTCGAACGGTAACGGTGAATCAATTACGAACACAGCAACAAGTGCACCATCATCATTCATACAACAGCCCGATTCATATTACGGTTCATTTATTGATGATTCATTTGTCGGTGAATTTGTTGGCGATTATCCAAACGTCACTGATTCAATGGAACATGAAAATATACTTGTAATGGATGCTGATGGACAAAATCTTGTTCTAATGAATCCTGCTGAAAATAGTTGTCTTAGCCATACGCATGAAATTGAATTTGATTTCGAATCATTTGGACCTGAATCAATTATGTATGCAGGAAATGTTGAACAACCACAACAACTGCAAATAAATCAGGAGAAGATGGTCGATCCAGAAAACATAGATGATGTGTCGACTGTTGAAAATGTTAATGATGCTAAAGAAACAGTACATCAGCAAACAGGTTTGTATATTATATATAAATTGTAAGGCGATGAGAAGCAAGAGCTTCAAAGTTTATGTTTACACGTACAGATGATGAACAAGTAGATGAAAATAAAGATCCAAATGTTGTCTTGAATTCAAGCGAAGCTGAAGCCATTGATACAAAAATGCAAGACCGTCAAATGCCTACTATTAATATTGAAAATCAATCACAACCATCATCATCTCAAGAAAAAAATAATGAAGAAATTAAACAATCAAATGAACAACAACCAACTGCTTTCAATCGTAATAGTACATTATCGAAAAGTCAACGAAAAAGAGTTGTGCCACAGATGAACATAAAAAATTTGGTTCTAAATAGCGATGTATTTTCACCACCAGTTTTGGAACAAATTATGACACCACCATTAATTTCTGATGTACCCATATCTAACCAAAAAATGACAAATGGCAATGATTTAATTGATCATCAAAGAAATAGTCCCGAACAAAACTCTAGTCAATTGGTTTTGAATGATCCATTAGGTGTTAGCAATTCGATGAATAATGATAATCTAAATTTCAGTACTGGTACAATAGGTATGTATTAATGTGCTTACTTGAATCTGTTTTATATCGTAAATGAAACAATTTTCACTGTTTTAATTTGATCTAATTTTGTCTGGTGACAGGTCGTAATCAATCGATGAAGAAAAAAGTCGAAATTAATTATGCTATGTTTTTGAATCCAACTGGTAATAAATATCTCTTTTTGATAAATGACAATATTCACTTTTTTTATCTTAATAGTTTCAGATGTTTATGATAAAAATACGAACACAGATCAGATTACAATCGATCCAAACATGGATGTAAATACGATTCAAACAAATGGTAATATGTCTTCGGATATGGTGAACACACAAATCGACAATCATCAAGCTGACAATGGTGACGATAATATCAGTGAGCGTCGGGGATCATTACCGTTAAGTGCAATAGAGTTTCAATCTATAGATTTGAAAGTGATTGAACCTTACAAAAAAGTCATATCGCATGGTGGTCATTTACGAATTTCATCAAATGGTGAAGCGGTGTCATCAGAATTTTCTAGCTCTGCAATCATTTTATTTTCAGCATGTTACTTGCCGGACAGATCACGACCGGATTACCATTATGTTATGGATAATCTTTTCTTGTAAGTTTTATCATATTAATTAAAGGCGTTCAAACGTAATTGTATAATTTTCAATTCCCTTATCAAGATATGTGGTGAACACATTACACAATATGGTAGCAGATGATTATATACTCATCTATCTACATAATGCTACTGGTCATCAACAACAATCTGTCAATAATATGCCAACATTCAGCTGGCTGAAACGATGCTATCAAATGATTGATCGTAAATTGAAGAAAAATCTAAAAGGTCTTTATTTGGTACATCCTACATTTTGGCTAAAAACATTGATCATAATGAGCAAGCCATTCATCAGGTACTTAAATTTCCATAAATTTTGATATAAAATCTAATACTTTTTTCTCTATTCAAGTTCTAAATTTTCTCGAAAATTGAAATTTGTTCGATCATTGGATGAGCTTAAACAAATGATACCGATTGATGATCTGAACATTCCGGATGCGTACAACAAATAGATATTAATTCGTTTCATCACATATAAATGAAAAAAATTAATGTCTTCGCCAAATGCCAAAGCCTTGAAATTCTATTACGTTATCATTTTGTTGTTTTTTCAATCTACATGCAATTTTTTTTCATATTTAAACGTTTTATATTTCATGAATATATTTGTAAACAAATAATGATACCTCATATTGTTTATTGTTTTAATTTTATTTATTTCAATAAAGTTTAAAATTTATCCGAAATAATTCGATGTTTTTCGCATTCATATATGATTATTGAATTGTGTGTGTCTTGGACAATCTTTTTACGATACACATGATGGCGTTGCCACCGATAATTTTTTTGACAGATTTGACATGTGGCTTGTTGCACATAAGTTTGAATATCGATTAATCAACGATGATCGTGTTAAGAAAATTTAATAATTTTTCCCTTTTTATTCTCCTAATATTGCCTATTTCATCCAAGTTTAACCATTCAGATGCGGTACATAATGAGTCATGCTATGACAAAGAAGGTCCTATTGATGCAAAGAATAAATATCTACCCGAATTCAATATTGAAGATGGCTTGTATCAAAAATGGTCCAAAATTTTTGATGCCATCAGATTAGCACACCAAAATTATTCTGAACCTTACATCGATAAAAATAATGTCACTAGTTGCACCTTATTTCTTCCATCAATCGATTCAGATTTGAGATATTTTGAAGAAAATTTTGGCTCCAATTTTATCACTGAAGAATTAATCAATAAAATGATTGCCGATAACCGTGGTGTTCACTATCAAATTGTAGGAAAACGTCTCTATCGACAATCGAATTGTATGTTTCCTTCCCGTTGTCAAGGTATTGAACACTTTATTCTTGAAATTATTGATAAATTGCCCAATATGGATTTGATAATAAATGTACGCGATTACCCACAAGTTGGACGATATTTTTCCAATGATCAACAATTTCCTATTTTATCGTTTTCCAAAGAAGTTACTTCCTATGCAGATATTATTTATCCGGCTTGGACTTTTTGGTCTGGAGGACCTGCTCTTGACATATATCCCAATGGCATTGGTCGATGGGATTTGATTCGAGAGAAATTACTAAAAACTCAAAGTAAACTTCCATGGACTAAAAAGAAAAATATTGCCTTTTTTCGTGGCTCACGAACAAGCTCACAACGCGATCCTATTGTCATGCTCGGTCGATCCAGACCGGATTTGGTCGATGCAAAATATACGAAAAATCAAGCCTGGAAATCTAAAGCAGACACACTGGGAGACGAACCAGCCAAAACAGTTTCGTTCGAAGATCATTGTGAATACAAATATCTATTTAATGTCCATGGGGTTGCAGCTAGTTTCCGATATAAACATCTTTTTCTTTGTCGATCAGTCGTCTTGAATGTTGAATCCGATTGGATCGAATTTTTCTATCCGTATTTGAAACCTTGGATCCATTATGTACCTATTGATAAAAACTTTGACAACGTGGTTGAAGTGTTGGAATTTTTGAACGACAATCAATTATTAGCTTCGAGAATAGCTAAACGTGGATTTGAATTTATTCGTGATCATCTTACAATGAATACGATTCGTTGTTATTGGCAGAATCTATTGACTTTATATTCTGATCGGATAATTTCATATCGTCCAATGAAACCAGATCCAAATTTGATTGAAATTTATTGAATGAAAAAAATAATTAAACTGTGATATGTGTTTTATTTGTATAAAAATTGTTTTTATTTACATAATAATTAAATGAATGAATAAATGTTATTTCAAAAATTATACAAATCATAATATGAATATAGCACTCTTTCAGGTGTTTGTGAACAAATGGTAAATAATTTTGTTCGAACTGAATCGAGAATATCAAAATCAAATCCAAGATGAAAGCAACAATTGACTATCTAATGATTATATTATTCCAAATATATAGAAGAATACAGAAAGAAGAACATAAGATTATTCTGAGATATATCGTATAAAAATGAATTGATTATTAACATTTTCAATAAAGAAAAAATCAATAGTTGAAATGTTCTTTTAATTCTTTGATTTTTCGACAAATTTTCAATGCAGGACCAAGTTTCGTATTTAATATGTCGATAATGTGATCTTCTTTGATTAACATTAATGCTTGGCCATCAATTTCTTGAGATTTAAAACCTTCAGCAAGATCTGAACATCCATCACAATGACTCATGAATTCGTAAACTTCTTGCACCTATGAAAGAAAATTTTAATGTTTATGTCTGATAAAATAATTCTTATCATTATTATAAAACTTACAGTCCATTTACAAGGCTCTTTGGTTCCATTAGCTGGAAGCCACATTTTATCATCATTCGTGCTTGTTGTTGTTGTTGCTGCTGAAGAGTCTAAAATTTTTGCATTGGCTGCATTCATATTATTGCCATTACTAACAACGACATCACCATTTGTCTGGGTCTGACACAAAAAAAAACGATCAATCAATGTCTCATTGCAAATAAAAAAATTGTCAAAAACACCCAACATACCGAATTCCCGATAACATTTGGAGGTGAAGACAGTCGAAGTCTTTTATTTGCTTGTTGGTCATTGCCTATTGTAGTTGTTGCTGATTGTTGAATCAATGGACGTTTGGCCATATTTTGGCCAACATCGATGCCGTTTGATGTAACAGTGGTCGATGGTGTCGACACACTAATTGCTGATGAATGTTTTCCACCACCAAGGCCGTTGACTATTGGCGTTGTCGACAATGATGTACTACTCGTGGCTAGAGAACCATTCATTTTGGTGGAACCAACAACAGCAGTGGCTATTGCTGCTGCTGTCGTTGTTTGATGTGTTGAAGAAGAAGTGGATGTTTTGATCGTCGAAGAATTGCCAACAAAACCCTGCTGTTGCTGTTTTTGTTGCTTTTTCAAGAATTTATCAATACAAGTTTGACAATATCGTTTCCATTTCTTTTTCTTTGCCTGTAGAAGACGTTTGTTTTTGTTACAATTGACACAAAGATCACCCAAAATCTGGCTATTCGAGTCATTCATCTTTAAATGATCAGATTGAGAAATAACGGATTGAGAAGAAGGCATTGGATCATTTTCTTTTAGTTTTGCTGAATCGTTATCAGTTTCTACTTCCATCTTTTCAGTGCCATTTGATTTCTGTGAATCGAATTCATTGGATGTTAAGAAACCATTGATCGGAAATGGATTGGCGCTTTCTTGGATAACATAGCCATCAATGACATGTGTTAATACCTGATTATTGGGATCATTTTGTTTGACTTTGTTGGTCATTTGAGATCCCGTATTCGTCGATGGTATTGTATTGGTAGAATTCGATTTGGCCAAAACCCCGTTAGTTAATCCACCATTCATTGTTAAAGTTTTATTAGCCGGCGTAGGTGGTGTCTGTGTACCATTTACCACTGTTTGATTAGGAATCTTGCCAAATTGATTTGCATTATTTGTAAGTAGAGGAGAAGATGACAACACTAAAGGAATTTTATTTTTCGAATTTGGTGCTGAATTATTTCGTATAGAATTCAAGTTAGTCTTCATCTGAGACTTAAGATTGAGATTCATTGTTGATGTCGATGATGAGACCAATGTTGATGACTTGTTTTCTGTGCCACTTGCAGCATCTTTCTTTTCGGTTTGAGGTTTATTTCGATTTAATTTGTTATTGAAATTAGTGTTAGTTCCTGTTGCTGTCATACAAGAGATTAGATTATTCTGTGATGGTTGAAGCGATGGTGAACTTGTGCTTGAAGATACAGAAGATGCATTGCCAATCATAGCGGTAGAATTAACACTTTGAGTAGATGCACTCATAGATTTGGTAATCGGTGTTTTACTATTGACATTATTATTCATGATAGCACCATTTGTAATATTTTCTGAGGTCTTTGGAAGCACAACAGGTAATGGTATTTTTGCAGTAGAATTATTACTGTTGGCAGCAATGGATGACTGAGCTTTTGGAAAATTCGAAACAATTGATGGTGATGACGACGATGTTGATGATAATGATGATGCAGCTGATCCTTTTGGAGCCAATTTGGGAATACTATTTACATTCGATTTAGATTTAGCCGTTGAAGTCTGAGTAGAATTAGTTGATTGGACTGTTGTAGTTGTAGAATTTGATGAGGCATTTGAAGCAGCCGGTCGTAAAGGACGTTGACGTGATTGAGCCATAGTTGTCGACGTCATTGTAGAAGTCCCTGAAGATACCATCGTAAGCATATTGTTTGATAAGGAATTAGCTTGGGAATGAGAATTGACCATAGTTGTTGACATGGTTGCTATTCCAGGATTCGTTTGGATCGAAATTGGCATTGTTGGATTGATGGATGATGTAGCCATCATAGTAGATTGTCCGGTTGGCGTTACCTGCATTGTTCCGGCATTCTGTTGGTTTTGTTGCTGATCACTAGTTGTTGGTGCCATTTGCATTGGCACAGCTTGAAATTGATTATTCGATGTTTGGAAAAACATGTGTGGAGAATCATTTGGACCTTGTGTTCGGAACAAAATTTGACCGTTTGGCGCAACTAGTTGTGTTTGTTGCTGATTCAATTGTGGCGATGTTGTCCATGTAATACTTGGTTGAAGTGCTTGAAACGATGTTAATGGTGAAATAATAGTCGGTTGATTGTGAGCCAATTGAATGCTACCATTGGGACCTGTTTGAATACTTTGTCCATGAACCATTATTGTTTGTCCGGGAGCTGGAGAATTTGTATTTGTTGTCGTGCCAAACGATGTGTTCGGTTTGAATTGAGCCTGTGTTAACAATGGTGATGTCGGTTGAATCTTTTGAATTAAACTTGTTCCCTATTTAATTGAATAATAAAAATGAATTTTAAAGAATTTTAATAAAATGAAAAGATAATAAGCAACAACAAATCAAATCTTAAATCAATTAAGGGAGCATTACAACTAACCTTATTGTTTGAACGGCCAGAACTCTAATAATTCCGAACGTGGGTGAATTTTTATAAAGGATTGCAAAAATATGGAACAAAATTCGAATGCGAGGGGAACAGATTTTCGATCAAATCAATACGCGACACATAAGCGAAGAAATAATCATGAATTTTGAAAAAAATAAAGAAAAAAATTGTTGATTTTAGAAATAAATAAATTAAAATTTTTTTCTAAAAAAGCTTGTGATAGTAAAATGTCTGACCTTAATGGGATAGATTTCATTTTTTTTTGTGATTATGTTTGTCTTCGTTTTATATAAGAGTTGTATAACTATATATATCTAGTCTAGCAATTTTTCACACACACACCAACCCTATGAATCATCTTTTTCATTTCAAGAAGTTCATACATATCCTTACACAAGAAGATGAAATGTTCTAAAAATATTGGCCGGAAATAATAAAAGATAAACATAACGACATGCAAAACTATCATCTAATCATTTCTTGTTCTATTGGCATATTGGGTGTATGATTAAAGAAATTCATTTAATTTAAAAAAAAACCAAATTTACCGTTGTTTTACGGGCATTTGTAACTGATGATTGTGGTTGTGCAGACGTTGGCTGTAGAATGGCTGTTGTTTGATTATTCTGTGTTGTTGCCGAATTGTGTGGAGCCAATCCAGTAATGACAAACGTTTGATTGGTGGTATTCTGTTGAAATGTTGCAGTTGGTTGTAAAACTTGTTGTTGATGATGATGATGATGATGTTGTTGTTGAGTTTTTGTTGCATTGGTTGATGCATTACCTTTATTCGACTGTGTTGCAATCGTATTCTGTTGCGGTGAAATGGTCACTCCTTTCATTATGGTCGTTTGATTTGATTGACCTTTGACAGGTGTAGGTTGATTTGCAGCTTGATGCGTCATTTGTCCGGTTGTTGTAATCATTGTACCACCATTCGTAGGTGTCGTCGGCAATTGAATAGCTAAACCTTGACCCGGATTCTGTGTTGGTATGGCCATACTTAAATTATTCAATAACATTGTCGGTTGCATTTGTCCAGTTGTATAGAATTGTGGAAAATATGCTGGCTGTCCATTGGCACCAATCACTTGAACTTGTGTAGGCAATCCTCCTATCATTTGCATTCCTGGTGCTGTTTGAATGAGCTGACCGTTTGCCGTTTGAAATGTTCCGGTAGAAAATTGTTGCGTCATAGAACCATTAACAACTAAACTTTGTTGTGGATGTTGTAATGTTTGACCTGGTGATGTACCTTGCTGTTGATGGACAGTAGCTTGTGGTCCAGCCGTACCGGCAATTGTGGCCATCGCCATAGTTGGCGATGTAAATACGGCCACATTGCCCGGCTGTAATTGTTGATGTACGGAAGCCAATGTGAGACCTTGTTGTGAAGGATGTTGAAAAAATGTATGTGGTGCTATTGGAAGAAAATTGGTGTTATGATTATTTTCAGTAATTGTATTGGTATTGTTGTTGACAATCGAATTAGATGAATCGTTCTTATTTGAATGACGTGATTTTTTTCCACTTGATGAAGATGATGATATTGATGATGCTGAAGATATTGGCAATAATGCTGTAGCTAATAATGAACTTGTTGTTGATTTTGCTGATGTTGTTGTCAATATTGTTTGATTATTAAGATGTGCAAAAGAACCGGATGAAACTGTAAGATTATTATTGTTGTGTCCAACAACAACACCACTGTTGGATGTTTTAATTAATCTTGACGAATCTGTTAATGACGACATGTTCATGGTGATAATGATGATTAAAACATTGTTTTTTTACAAAAAAAAACAACAATCACCGAAAAAAAAATTCACACAAAATTAGCGATAACAACAAAAAAAAAATAAAATAATAAACGTTTTTCAACTTTTTGGGGATCAATGGTTAATTCCTTCACCAAAAAAAAAGTAAATCTGAATGAATGAATGAATGAAGTGCAACCGTACGATGTGGTGAAACCAAGCCAATTGACAGGGAGTGAAAAAACGGAACAGGAGGTAAGTGTTTGAGAGGAAGAAGGAGGAAGAACGGAACCAACAAAGAACATCAACTAAAAAAATATACGGTGTTGACGACCAACTATAAAACTACATATTGGGAAAATGGGATAAGATAATGAGAACCAGGAATAACCAAAAATAAAAATAAAAAGAGGGAAAAAATAGAATTTTTTTTCTTATATGTGAAATGAATGGAAACAAAGGTGTCAGAATAAAATAGTTAAAAACTTCGAAAGCATAATAATCATCATTATCATTCAAAGCATGGAATCTTTGAAAACTATTGTGGTTATTCTGTAACTCTCTTCTCTCAAATTTATTGCCCAAAATAAAAACGTGTGTTTATGGCCCCCACCCCTCAAACAAACAACATCATATACAATCGAATGATACACATATGTTTTGGGATTTATGATCGCTGTCAATGTATGTTCGACAGTGTATCTTTGTTCCATACAAACTCGATAAACATATGATCTCAACATACATCTAAAATGAATTTTCATTTAAATCAATTCAAATCTGGCTGTATTTTTTTCAGCAAAAACTAATCAAAAAAAAAACTGGACAAACAAGACAGGGAATTTTAAGGGTTATCAAATTGACTTTTTTTTTCTTTCTTAAGTTGAACAAAATATTTCTTAACCTGACAAAATCAGGTTAAAAAAATCTCAAGTTTGTCAGAAAAAAAACACTGGGTGACAAACAATTTTCCGGTTTTTTCTAATGAATTTTTCTAAAGAAAATTATTAAATAATGAATAAAGGTAAATCCTTAAACTACCAACCACAATCAATCTTATAGTGGTATGTATTAGAAGGGAAAAAAGAAGGATGATACATCTATTATCACAATAATAATAATTTCAAATCAATTTCATTTCTGATTAATACATACAACAACAAAAAAAGGAAGGCTAATACTTCTTAGACAACATCCATATTTATAATGATTACTAAAAAAAAAGAGTAAACATCTTTAAGAGAATCATTTATTCAATGAATGATTGTAAATAATAAATGTATAATGGTATTATCCGATTGCGGTATAAGATAAAATAGCATAGCCATAGCATAACATATACAACAGCAATAACATGAAAAAAAATCCAGAAAAAATAAAGTTTATATGAAAGAGAGATACAGATAGAGAGAGAGAGAGAGGGGAAAAAAGTACCAAATTCAAAAAATCCAGTTCTTTATTCTAATAACAAATCCATACAACAACAACAGCAGAAAAAAAACACATCCATCCACAATAAATTCGAATGAACAGCTGCTGCTGATGCTGCAACAACCTACCATCGATCTAATAACATAGCCATTCATTTTTACAAACATATTGTATATATGAAAAAGAAGAAATGGAAATTACACATTCCATTGGGAAAATGAATGAGAGAGAGGATGAATTAGTAAAGTGAATGGGAAAAAATTGAGCTTGAATGAAGGAAGCGAGAGAGAGAGAGAAAAAAAAGATAAATAGAAAGAATATACTCAACATGGCGTCCTGGGTGCGTTCATATCATCCACACAAATATATTACATTCGCATATAAAAAAGGTATGTGTGAAGAAGGAGTGATTATTTATTTCATTTCATTGGAGCCATATTACATTTAGAGGAAAAAAAGTGATAATTTTGAGATGACGCCTTCTTTCTTTCTTTCTTTTTTTAAATAATCAAATTCATCAATCAAGCAAGTTGTGATTAATATAAAAAACAAATCTTCCCATTTTTTTCAAGTATCGATCTATGTTGAAAATGTATTAAATAAAATTTATTTTATAGTAGAATTTTTTTTTTGTAATTTTCAATAAAACTGTATACAATTGTAATGATAGGGAATAAATAGTATGATAGATAGAAAGTATGATGGTTGAATCCAATGATTTTTTTTGCCATCACTTTTACAATCTACTCTATTATCATCGTTTTCGTCTATATATAAAAATAATAATACGATCGGATGCAATGATGTTGATTGCCAGCCTAGATACCAGAAAGACAGAGACACGACAAGGATATAATTTTTTTTTTGCTAAAATATTTTGTTTGTATACTTTGCTAGCCTGCTGGTTGATGGTTTGACTTTTCTTTCCTATCTTTTTATCTTTCAACTATACACATATAAACTCTCACCAGGAGAACATCATACATTTTTAGTTTACGAATAATTTGCAATCATTCAGTGTGTGACTATAAGAAGCGAATGATGATGATGCCTATCATCATCAACTTTGTCATTTTCCTCTTCAACATCAACCATAAAAGTTGCAGGCATCGAACCCGAAAAAATCGAATCAAACTGGAACACACGATACTCTGTCTGTTATGTTGAGAATGATGATGATGATGATGATCAAGTTTATTTTTTGATACAGGATTCATCCAACCGAATATTCGAATGGAATGATTCAAAAAAGAAGGAAAAATGTTCACTTGTTCGATCTGATTCTTTTGGAAAAAAATGTATGTAAAATGAATTGAAAAATGGCCCCAAGAGTACAGAAAACAAATAGACAGGCAAACATTCGATCGACAGTCAAAACTCTCGTTATTACAAAGCAGTCTGGAAGGAAAACTGGAAAAATCTAAAATCAGAATAGCTATCACTGGTTGAAAATTATTTACCTAAATAATACACGATTCAATCTTGATTTTATGTGCCAATTTTTAGGATTAATCCAGAATGGACAGGAAGGGATACAAAAAAAATAGCGTCTTTTTCTGGAATCTTGAATGTTTATTATGAAAAAGAAATTCTACTGTAGATTTTTGTTGTTGTTGTTGTTTTTCATCAAAAAAAAAATGGGCGATAATAAAAAAATGCGCTCGCGCAAGTAAAGCAACAATATCATTTCCAGTTTAGTTCAACTCATCGAAAAATAAAAGAATACATAAAAAAATAATCATTTTGAACGCATGCTCAAATCGAATCAAAACATTCGGCTTGGATAGTGGTGGTGGCACATAATATACAAACACACATAAAAACTACAGGACATACTCCCGATTTTGTTTTTCCTTAATTTTGAGTCACTCAAATTCTTTGATTCATTTCAAATGAAAATAATTAAAAACGGATAGGGAAATGCAACAGAACATTAATTGATACAATTAGATTAAATGTAAAAAAAATTGGAAAAGCACACACACACAAATAGGCAAAAGCGAATGAAAGAGGCAAAAGTTCAAAATGGGCAACGTACCTTTGTGATTAACGTTGTGAAATTCTTAGCACAATTTACTTGATCCAAGAATGATGATAATAAAATATTGGTAAGATAAGAAAATTTGGATAAGATGGTAATAATTAGCAAATTAAATCCAATGACGACTTTCATGTACAAAACATAAGCCAGAAAAAACACAGCGATAGTAAGATGCAAAAAATGACCGACAATATCTGTCAATGTAAAAAATCAAAAACTGTTTTGCGAATCGTTGTTGTCCTATTCACTGACAGAACTAAAACGTTGAAACTTACTGCCAATTGAACATACAAATGTTGTAAGCTGTTTTCATGTATTGGATACACACAATAGGCTGGCGCTATCACAAAACACAACAGCAGCACAAACATAAAGAAAGAAGAAAAATCCAAAACATTTCGTTGTAGACCTAGCCAAAATGAAATAGGCGGAGTTTCAGCATATTGGATTTTTTTTGATATGAAGAAAACAACAACAAAAAACAGCAGATATTTTTACAACATTTTGGTAAATTTCAATCTATTTGTTGATGTGTGTGTGCGTGGATATAATTGTCATAAGAAAATAATAATCAAGTTGGGTGAGTTTTATTGGATAACAGTGGCAACCAATCAGATGTAAGTATTTTTCCATTAAAAATTTTACGCCCATTTTTTCTTTTTGCTTTGCTAAACAATTATTGGAGTCGGCGCTGTATAACATACTTTTGCTGATTACAAGTTTTGTTTATCACTGTATGTGTGGTAGCAGTGAGAATTATCAAATGAATGAATCGAAAGCTTTTTTTTTTGCTGTGCGATCCTGTTTTTTTTTCTTTTTCCTTTTCTGCTAACCATTATTCTTAATGGCGGCGCTTTATTCGTTCCATTTTGGTAAAATTTGCACCCCCTCCCTTTATTAATCAATGGTCTTTCTCTCTTTACAGTTTATATCAAAGTTAAAATTGAGATTGCGCACTTTTATATCCTGTCGATTTCAGTATCAAAATTGAATACACTGTGGAAACAATCCGCCCGCTGGTAAATCGACCAGCCATCATCATTGCATGATCATCGTTGTCGTCGTTTTTTAAAAACTCTCTTTTTCTGTTCAACAAAATAAAATCTCTCTCTCTCTCTCTCTCTATCATCAAATCATAGCCAAATGCTGCTGCCGTACAACGTGATACGAACGTTTGATTGTGGATGATGATGTTGTTTGCTTCTGTTATAATGTATACTGCTACTGCTATTGTAGTATTTTTTTTTTGTTCTGTTTCTGTAACTAACAGTAACCGATGATTTTGATGATTTCAAAAAAAAAAGAAAGAAGAAAAAGACTCAAAACCAGAACACAAATACCAAAAAAAAAGAATAGGAAAAATAAAGAGGGTGTCTAGGGTGTTTGAGAAGAAGAAAAAAAATTTCAAATGAATTTAAAAACATTAAACGAACCATGAATGAATTAAAATGAATATCGTACGTTGAGAATAAATAAAATCATTAGGGTCGTATTGTGCTACAATTCCTTTAAAAAAATTAATTAATCAAAAATTTTTCTTCAATTTTTTTACATATTGATCGACTTGATTGATAATTGGTCCACAAACTTTTTCTCAACTGTAATATTGAAAAATGGAAACAAAAGCGCAACTGGTCGTTTAATAACCACTGAGACCATTCATCTCACAACATCTGGAAATGTTTATTTTTTAAATGGTCATTATTCATGAAGGAATTTCAGATCAATTATTGATAGTTAAAAGAAGGGGGTAACAATATTTATGTATCACTGGATTCATCGCCAATTATCATCATCATCGTCATTGAATAGAAATAAAAAAGAAAAATAGGCGGATTAAAACGATCTATTGGTTGGAACAGGATCTCTCTCTCTCTCTCTCTCTCTCTCTCTCTCTCTCTTGACATTATATTAAAAAATGATGATGGTCCCTTTATNAAAAAAAGAAAAATAGGCGGATTAAAACGATCTATTGGTTGGAACAGGATCTCTCTCTCTCTCTCTCTCTCTCTCTCTCTCTCTCTCTCTCTTGACATTATATTGAAAAATGATGATGGTCCCTTTATTTCTGGATCGAAATTTTGATCCGAAATTTGAATGGAAAAAAAGGAGAGCACACAGACCATGCACCATTACATTTTGTTATTACAATTTTTTTTTTCGTTATTATTATCCCAAACCTCCCTTTCTTGTCATCATTCAATTGGACTCGCCCCTATCATATTATATACATCGTATACCCAGATAGGATTTCACGTTTATAAAAAAAACATACCAAACTAGAAACCCAAAGAAAAACAAATCTTGAGCTCGATTCAAGTTTTCAAGTCGAGTCTATCTATTAGACAAAACAAATAAAAAAAATGAAAAACCATTTCAGTGGGTCTGTATGTGGAGTATGGGGTATACACTCTAAACCAGAAAAAAAACAAATTCGTTTTTTTGCTTTTATATATCGCGCGCGGTTTCAATTTTTTTTGATGAAACTTATCATGTGTTTGTACACACACTTACTATTTTTCTTCTTGATTATATATAACCAGACCTAGCATACACATATCGTTGTTGAAATCATTATCAAATGAATGAGATTTGATTGGTGTCTCTCTGTAGTTTGTGTTCTGCGCAGAACGTTTTTACAATCGTTATGTAATGGTTGAAACAACACTGTACAACACAATGGCAATCGGAAAATATAATCGGGGAAAAAAACAACAAAATAAATGAATGAAAAAAAGACAAGAGGTTAAAGCCAATAGTATCATTTGATACCGCCCATTTTTTTCCCTAATTCTTCTTTAAAAATTTTTGTACGAATAAATAAAAAAAAAATCTAAACATTCAGAATAACCACACAGTAACAGAAGATAAGAACCGCCCAATTTTTCTGTTTTGACTCAAAGAGTCTCTTTTTTTCTCGTTCGTTTTTTCATTGTCATTGAATTATATACAGCACGCAAATATTTTTTTATTTGTGCTGTTCACTTACTTTATTTCATCTATTTCGACAGCATGCGGTTCTTTTTCGTAATTCGTATTTGTCGATCGCAGCAGGATTTTTTCATTTGATTTTTTTTTTTTTTTTTTGATATAAGCATCATTTACGAAATGATGAAAAAACAAATATCACACACACACACATAAAGCATAGTGTATTTCAATGATAATACTGCGATAGTACGTATTTGAATTAGTTCGTAAAAAANATCTTTTTCGGCAGCATGGGGGTTTTTTTATTAATTCGTATTTGTCGATCGCAGCAGGATTTTTTCATTTTATTTTTTTTTTTTTTTTTTGATATAAGCATCATTTACGAAATGATGAAAATACAAATATCACACACACACACATAAAGCATAGTGTATTTCAATGATAATACTGCGATAGTACGTATTTGAATTAGTTCGTAAAAAAAAGCACACACAACAGCTGTCGATTTGCCTTTTGGTCATAGTTCAAATATATATATCGTCTGTATATCATTCTTTATTATAATCCTGTTTACTCTTCAAATACTCTCGCATAACATTATGGCGGAAAACGCAAGATTAATAATGGATCATTGAATGGATGTTTATAATTCTTTTTTACAAATATTTCATAAAATCATTATTTCCGATTCGATTTTAATTATTTCATTTGAATAATTATTGATTTTGGATACATTAGTCTTGTCTCTATGAAAAAAAAATTTTTGGAATCTTTCAAAAATAAATAAATAAAATAAAATTTGAATGATGAATAAACCGTTCAATGTATTTTTAACATCGTTATCCATTGGAAAAAAAGGAGGCAAATTTTGGGACTTTTGTTCGGTTCTGGAACACGTGCCCAAATACAATACCTCCTCTCTTCATTGTATATGAGTGTGGCACATCATCATCAATGATCAAACATAAACGAATGAGTGAACAAACTGGCACGCATTGCAAATGTTCCAACATATCGAGGGTAAAAAAACCGTTGAATCATTCAATGAAGCACTAAAAAAACCCGAATGAACATGAACTGCAATAACAACGAAACAAAAAAAGAGAGCACGTGTTTGCTTTATGTTTCTTCGTGGTCATAAGCTATGATCCAAATGTTTGTGTGTATGTGACAAGTAACGGTAAATGAAGTATTCCAAACTTCACGATATTTATCCATCAAATGGAATGGCCCCAATTCGGAAATCCCTTGGACAAAACAAAATCCCGGTGACACAATCATCATTCTGAATCGAAATCATTCTCATTAATCGATTCTTGTTTCTTTTTTCATCAAAAACTTTTTTTATATAAAGTTTTGACAAACAAAAAAAAAGAATAAATCCAATACAAAGAAAATTATGTTTTATAAATTTTTTTTTTCATAGAAGCCATGTATATTTATGTGATGATTGGATTTCATTTTCTTTCCTTTTCTTTGATGATCCTTGGATAAAAACTAAAATAAAAAAAATGAAAAGAATAATTCTTTTTCGAAAATCATTCGCTCATTTCATTATATGACCATGGTTATATAATATTGTATATCGCTCAAACATTTCTAAACAAACGAACCTAATTGCTAATGCAATTCTATCGTTCACTCACACACACATATATTACACATCGTTTCGTTATATGTTGTCCTATGCCCTTAGCGGTCGTTTGATCGACCCGAAACAGTGCCCGAATCTGTTTTTTTCCAAATATGTGTTGTTCTAATGTTTCAAGTGATCTCAATTGGAAAGTAGGGAGTAATAATAATAATGTATTTTGGAAAAAAACGAACTATGTATGGAATCACAGTACAATCGCAGAGCAATAGAGAGAAAGAGAAAGAGAATTCTTTCCAAATGGAACCATAAATGAAATTGTATAACTCTTTCATTGGGAATTATTTGATTACTAATTACTGTTTCAATATTTTCTTCTTTTTTTGGATAATTTCAAGATGTACATTTTCTAATCAAAATAATGATGACGGTGATGGTGATTTGTAATGAAAATAAAATCAATACACAATCCATTATCATATAAGAAAAGTAAAAGTTCATTTTTCTTTTCTTTTTTTTGTTGTTGTTGTTTTGATGACATTAATGTAAATACCAATGAACTTTGTCCTTATTTTCCTAGATATGAAAAAAACATCAAAAAAAAGGTCAACCTTTTAATCGATTTTTCTTTGGGCCAAAAAAAAAATTCTTTTCATCACCTGTCAATTGTTGATGATTAATTATGTGTACGTGTGTGACACACACGGTGTGTGATTTCTGTTTTTAAATATTTTGAACTAATTAATTCGACAAAGGTTTATTATTGATCTTCAATATTGAATTCGATAATTTTTTTTTAAACCTACCGCTTTTTTGAAAATGTTGATGATGATGATGAGAAAAAACTTAATTAATCAAATCAAAAGTTTTTCGTTCGTTCGCTTTGTACAATTGTTTCTTGGATTTCATTTTATTTTATTTTTCTATCATTGGCTAAATAAATAAATAGCTACCCATCATCATCATCATCATCAGCAGAGATACAAGAGATGGATGAAAAAAATTTGGGGTAACCCCCAAAAAAAACAATTAACGTTAATTGAATTTATTTCTGATCTTTTTTCCAATTCCAACATTTAGATGTCAAATTTCGATCTATAGAATTTATAACAGAAGTATTTGTGGGTAAAGAAAAATTCTTCGAATTCTCATGTTACACATGTTTATGTTTGATGATGATGATTGTTTCATTGAACACTATTCTCTCTTCTCCTTTTCCTAACCATCAATCGAATTACTACCCAATGAACATTTCAAAATAATCAATTAGAAATTAATTATTCATTCATTTGATAAAGATTTTTTTTGCCTGCTCTCATAGAGAAATTAAAAAAAAAATCCAAATACCAATGACCGTTTGACATTTTAACATACGCATCAATTTTTTTTACAATGAAAATACATTCATTTGACAAATAAAGAACCAAATCGATGATGATGTTGAACAGATCAGGTTATAATATATTTTTCTGAAAATGTTCGAACCCAGAGGTTAATATTTGAAAAAAGACACATATAGAGGGTGAGAAGTTAGTAGTTGAAAGTTAAAATCACATAGAGAAAGAGAGGAGATGTAATAAGAGAGAGTATACACGAAGAGGGTGAGAGATATCAAATGAATGATAAGTGAAGTGAACAACAATAACATCAATGGAACCATCATGTCTGTTAAAATAAACAAATTGAACAGTTTGAAACCAATTTCCGATTTACAAGAATTAAGATAATAATAATAACAATAGCGAATTTCTTAATTTCCGGGCTAAAATTACAATGATAATAATAATATTTTTGTAAGAATTATTCTGAAAATTTTTGCTCTATACATTTCTATCGATTATCGATAAATCATATTGGCAAAAAAAAATTCATTTTAAATTCAATCAATTCATTCATTCATCCATGTGAACTTTGACACTCGCTTTGTGTTGTTATGACCAGAAAAAAAATGTTTATAAGTATGGGTCGGATATAAAGAAATGAGAAAACATAAACACACACACCAAACAAACCCAAAACGAGTCTGAATTTCGTCCATAAAAATACACTGTGTGTATGTGCGTGTAACTATGGTCAAAAAAAAAAAAAAATCAATCCTTGTTTTTTTTTATCAACAACAATCGTAGAGAAGCGGGAAAAAAACTTGAAACATTTTTTTTTTTTTTGCAACAAAATCTTCAAATCTGATGATGATAATGATTGTTTATACACCATCATTCTGAGTTGATGATGTGATCAAATAGCCAACAACCAATTGATGATCATCGAGATGAACAAAAAAAAAATTTGCGTGCCAATGTCAAAATGAAAACGAAAACAGGAATATTCACATACATTCTATCATAGGAGGTGATGGTGGTGGTATCGAGAGAGAGAAAGACCACAAAATCGAAACATACACAAATAATGGTCGTGTCATGTCATGTCATGACACGACCATGCCTTCTTATGAATCGAGCAAGCTATAATAATCATAATGACAAAGACGAAATAAGAGATTTTGGTTGTTGGTTTTTCGTAAAAAAAACACCATCATCATCACTAAATCACACTATCAAAATCAATCTATCGAACGAAACGAAACTAGCTAAACTTGAAGCCTTAGATTTTTTTCTATTTTTCATGATGAAATATGTAACATGGGTACCCTCGATCTATGTTGTTTGTCTGTATTCGGATACTGGGGTCTTTTTTTCGACAGTTGTTTATATTGTATAGCGTCAAAACAAATTGCGAAAAGTTTTTTTTTTTTTGGTCTCGTGTATATAAACACACACACACACATGAACATGAAACAAATAAATTCAGAATTGAACAGTGAAAATTAAAATTTTCTAAAAATTTGAAGCCTGTCATTTTTGTGAACACTAGATTTTCAATTACTCTGTTTTCATAAATGTTTATCTGGGATTTTTTGCGCATTTTATCGAATTCGTTTTCCATTTCTAATTTTTTTTGCAGAAAAAAAAGGATCAATGATTTCATTTTCGTTCTTTTTTTCGACCATATCATCATAATTTTTGTCGATCCGCAAATTGATAGGGAAAAAATTATGGCCATTTTTTCTTTCAACGAAAGCATTTCTTTTTTTTGAAAGTTAGATAGAATGAATGTGAATTTTGACACGCCTCAAAATCAACCGACCAAACGACCATGCTGATCACAGAAACGATCAATCTGACAGTCAGTCGGCAAGTTTGGTTGGTTGGTTTTGTTCGGGATCGGTAAGTTGACCGCCAACTGACCAAGCAAGTCTTTACCTTTTTTTTACGTTCTTTCTCTTTTTTTTCTCCCGAATTGCTTGGGCTATATATACGTGTGTCTATGTATGCTTATGTTTAAAATGTTTAAAATGATCATATCTTGTGTGATAATCATAATGATGATGGTTGCTTATAAACATTAAATCAACTTCGGATTGCTTCAACTATGGGCAGAAAAAAAAGCATTTTAGCTTGCTCGATTTAAATTTCACCAATAAAAAATTAATTATTATTATCGACCATAGACTTTGCGTTTCATTTTTTTGTCGGGCATCATTTTTAATTCGTTCTCTCTCTCACTTTATTTCTGGGCAATAAATTTTCATTGAAATTAAATTTTTTTTTTTGTGAATATAATTTCAACTGGAATTGATCACATGATTCAATGATAATGAATGCCGATGTCGATGATGATGAATATTACACACACACATATGGTTCAGTCATATAACCGTTTTTGTTTGTTCGTATATATTTTCAACGCTGTTTGATGAGATAAATCTTTTGTCATCTCTATAGACCATACAAAAAAAAAGAGACCTAGAAAACATGGTTGGTTTTGTTTGTTGGTCATGATCGTAGTAGTGGTGGCTATTTTCTGCCAATTTCATTACTTTTGATATTTTATCTTTTTTCCTCATAAGTTTTTTTTCTTGATAAGCTGAAAAATTGAAAAAAAAAATTATTTTGCACTATTTTCTATACTTGAAATACCGCCTTTTTTTCTTTGTCATTTAAGGTGGGGTAAGTATTGAAGGGGAAATAACAACAGTAAAGACGAATGTATGTACATCAGAACAACAAGGAAAGATGGTTTTTATTATCATCATTAAACTGAATCCTGGATGCAAATATAAATAAATATGTGTATGAGCCTATGAAGACCAGTTTTTTTTAGAGTCTTTTAGTCTGGTCAGTGATCATTATCATTAGTGTGATATCTTAGTTAAATATCTTCGTTTGTCATTCAATTGATATCTCATACAATAATGTTAGCGATAATACTTTTAATCTGAATTGATAATCCATCCATAATGTTTTTATAGTCATTTGCTTTTTTTTTGGTCACAATGATGATGGGACTTAAAAATTCAACAACTTTTGATTGAAATAGGAATAACAAAAAGATAATTATAATTTTTTCCATCAAATCATCCTCTAAATAGAAGTGGTCGTTTTTTTATGATCAACTGAAATTATTATCATTAATCGAGATATCACTGTATCATTTGGAAAAATTATTACGAAATAATTTTGGAAGAATTAAACTCCATCTTCCGTTAAAATTTAGAAAAGGAATTTTTTGTTTTGTTTTTTGAAAACATCATTTATGAACGGCATTCGTAAATGCGTATCATTTTCGTTCTTTTCGTTAAACACTCCCTCTTCTTCTTCATATTCGATGTTGTTTTCTCTGTTTGTGTTATACATGCTCGATCATTTCGTTGTTTCTTTGATTGCGTTTTTGTTGGCTCATTTTTTTCTTTTTTCTTTTTGTTTTTGGAACACGAGTTAATTTCAACTACTTTTTGTTGTTGTTTATAGGTAAAAATGTAATCATTGTTTCTCTCAAAATTAACAAACACATACACCGATATACAAATTATATAGAACAATTTGATTTATTTTAATTTATTCATAAAAATATCGTCATTTCTACTTTATCGATAATCAAGATTTTTATTTATCGATGATATAAGATCGATAAAAAAAATATAACCAACAGCAATCATCATAACTGTTGTCGTCGTTGAAAATCATTTCGGACTATTATAAATAGCTAAAATTAATAGCCTGATTTGCCTTTGACTTTGTTTTGTTACTGAAGATTATCCCAAAATTATTTGGTCAAAATTTTATTGCTACGTTATTCATCATCATATCGAAACATTTACATTTATAATTTACTGATTGTTATCCACTATAAATCATATTATTTTGCCCGTATCCATAGATACGATTCGTTTTTCAACTTTTTGATAAAAATTTCTCTTCAGTTAAACAAATTAAACCAATTTTTCATCATCCAGCATAAATTCATGGTTCAACAGTTTTGAATAAATATTCATCCAACCTCACAGCTCATCATACCTTCATTGAATCCAAAATTTTATTTTTTCTTCATCACCATTACCACCACGAGTACGTTTTTATTCTAAATTCAATTATAAATTTTATATTTGATTGATTTTTTTTTCAATTTTTTTTAAATATTTTCATTTCCAATAGCTACAAATGATTGTCTGATTGAACAAATATGGTCCAATGATATTTGACATTCAGCTGTATATATAATATTCATTCAAATCAATTCATTGTTCATTATCGAAACCAGAAAACAACATTTTGGATTGATCGCCAACAAAACCATTCTACATCTTTCTCGTCTTTATTTCTTGGGTATTCATTAAAATTCTTCTTTAATCACACACAATTTCATAAAAACAGACTGATTGATAAAGATATAAATACCCAAAATGATGATCAATAAATATAAGATAATTTCATTTTTTCCCTTCGATTATGATCATTATTAATAATTTTGATGAAATAATTGTCATCAAACATTGTTTGATTTTGTTTGTTTTGGACGGGTATTTTTTTCTTTTTAAAAGATTTTAAAACCAAACAAAACCACCAAAAAAAGATATACAGATTATAAACTAATCTCTCAATTTTATAATTTGTAAAATTTTCATTATCATCACATTTTTGTTTTCTTTCCGTTTAAATATATGTGTGTTTTGTTTTCTATTATTTGTTTTGTTTTTTCACTCGAACAAATATCATTATCACCAAATTCGACGATCACCGTAAATTTATTAAATTATTTTCCCTGTTTTATTTTCGTTTTGTTTCTGGAATAGATTTCCAAATCGTTAATCATCTTTGTGAAGAAATCCAGAATATTTGACAAAAAGAAAATGGCTACCAATGATGATGACGAAATTCAATCGTCGAATAATAATGCCAATGAAGAAGATGTTGATCCTGTCGATGCATATCGACAATCATTATCGGATCTAGTGATGAATTCTAAACCACATATCGTAATGTTGACCATGTTGGCCGAAGAATCTAAAGATACAAGAGCGGCTGAAATTGTCAATTGTATTGAACAACGTCTTTTCCATGTGAATAAAGAAATTAAATTACCCACTTTATATCTTATCGATTCAATTTGTAAAAATGTTCGTGATTCATCTTATTTGCAATTATTTGAAAAACGTATTGTTAAACTTTTTTGTCATGTGTTTGAAAAATCGGATGAAAAGACAAGACTTTTATTATATAAACTTCGACAAACATGGAATACTTTTTTCAGTTCAGAAATTCTTTATCAATTAGATGTAGCCGTTAAGTCTTTAGATCCTGGTTGGCCGATTGTGAACAAAAAATCGATCGTACAAAATGGAAGTAATGTTGCTTCTGCTTCTAGTCTTGTCAGCCAATCAACAACAAAAGAACAAACTGTCAAACAAGTTGTTATACCTGTTACAAAAACACAGAATATTTCTACAGCTCCACCGGCATCGAAACCAATTGAAATATCCCAAAGAATGGATCAACAATCTCAACGAATTGTATTCAATAGTAAGATTGAAATTTTCAATTCGGATAAATCGTTGAAACAATCAAACACTGGTACTGTACATCCAACTATAATCCATTTAAATAAAAATGATATCATATCTAAACGTAATCAAATCGAAAATGAACTACGAAAAGAATTGATTAGCAAAGCGGCTGCTAATAATAATAATAATATTTCTAATAATCAATTATCTACTTCGAACATTTTAAAAAATTCGAACAAAACTCATAGTAAAATTAATAATAATAACAAAAAAATTGAACAATCACCAACATCAGTACAGAAACAAACGACAAAACAAGACATCAGTAAAAAATCTATAAATTCATCGCCCTCGAAATTGGATCGAAAACGTAAATCGGATGATATTAGAATGATGGGAGATAATATTGGCGAAACAATGATACCGAATGATAATAATAATAAGAAAATCAAGACAAAAATACCGAAACGTAAACGTCCATTATCACCACCATCATCTTGTCAATCATCATCAGGCAGACAAACAAAAAAGAATCCATTGGATGAGCTTATGGCGCCGATGATACCGCCACCTGATGATGTTATACCACTTGGCTCTAATCATCATGTTCCTGTTACAAAACGTTCAAAAGAACCTCGTAAACCTAACAATGTGGTTGCATCAAAAATTAAAAACATAAAGAATCGTCGCCAGTCACCACCACCACCATCGTCACAACAATTGCAATCATCTTTGCAACGAAATCGTCATCAATCACCATCTTCAAATAAATCCGGTATTCGCAGTCGATTAAAATCTCCGACCAAATCAATTGTGTCTGATGTGAAAAAAATGAATATTCCACCTACATCGTCAAGTATACAACCAACAGTACTGCCGGCTCCTAATGTTTTCTCTCAACCGGAAGTATTATTTAATAATGTTTCTACATACAACAATGAAGGCAATAATCAAACAAATGGTTTTGCTATGGATCGTGATTATCGTCGTGAATTTGATGCATTTATGAATGATGCCAGAAATCGATTGAATGCCGGTATGATTTCGACTGCTGATCATGAAATTCTGGTTCGAGAAGCCGAACGAGAATTTTTCCAACTTCAACAACAACAACCACAATCACTTCCTTTGCCACAACATAATCTACCATATGATAATTCTCAGATAGTATCGGCACCACCACCATTAGCCGCTCCAAATCAATCCTTTCTTGAACCACCCTATGGTTCATCCGCTTTATTCATTAACAAACAATTTTGTCGCCTTTTTTATTTGGATCCGATAACCGGAATCGTTCCTTTCAAAACTCATGCCGATACTCCGTTTGATCAGCTAGTCTCAACTGATCCATTATTTTTGGAACCTAAACAGGTTTATTTTTCTGGTCATCCCACCAAAGTGATTATTGATCCTGGTACAGCTTCTGAACAAAGTTTCTGTTTGAATTTCAATAATCCTTCTCCATATTTATTTCATTTATCGGGCATACCTCAACCACAACGCATTATGCTTGGTTTGCCTGATCGAGAATTGATTGTAAACGATCGACCTTACAAAGCTCAATTTGGCGGAGCACCAGTTCCAATCTATTTTGAAGCTGATCTTCAAACACATTTATTTTTGCTATCTGATTCAAAACCATTTCTACAAGTATCAGATGAACCTCGTTATGATCTATGGAATCGATTGGTGGATGCAGCTAAAGCAAAAATGCCTCGCCAACAATTACCGCTACCGCAACAACAGCCACCACCACCTACAACGACACATCTTCCTTATAATTATGGGCCCTCAATTAACATCCATCAACAAACATCAAATACAATGCTACCGACTACTGTTCCAACATCGAACACTTATCATTCGCAACCTATACAAACAACTCAAATTGTCTCAGAATTATTGCCACAATCAATCACTACAAATGTGCCATTCCAACAACAACCAACATCTGCTTCTTCGTTATCATCAAGTTCGGCTAAACCGACATTACCCGATCTCGATTCATTGCTATTAAAATTATCGGCAGCCGGTTTAATCTCTAGCAAAACAGCTTCCACTTTGTCAGGAACATCGACAACTGCAACAAAAATAACCACAGATTCTAATAAAAAACAAAAAACACCGGCTCCTCAACCGACACCAAAACGATTTTTACCGTTGGAAATGTCTCAACTTAAGCAATATCATCAGTTTGCAATCGATCAACTTTATCAAGGTCTTCAATGTACAAATTGTTCTCTTCGATTTCCGAATGAATCTGATTCCGGAAAAAAGAGTCGATATTCACGTCATTTAGACTGGCATTTTCGACAGAATCGTCGTGAAAAGATTAAACCAGAATTTGGTTCAACTGCCATTGCACATCGTCGTCCTTGGTATTATACAATCGATCAATGGATTCTTTATAAAGAGGTTAACGATGATATTGAAGAAAATAATGGTGGATTTTTTGATTCAAATTCAGCCGATAGTCCAAGTAGTGCGGCACATCGAGCCAATCAATTCAATATGAGTTTTGCACCATTCAAAGAATGTATTGATGAATTTGATTCATTCATCGAAGCAATTAGCTGTGATAATATAAATGTGATGTCAAATATTCAAGATAATAAAGATAATTCATCTGCTCTTAAAATTTGTTCGGTTGTTGCCGATTCTGATGTCACAAGTAATTGTGCTGTTTGTAATGAGGCATTTAAAATTGAATGGTATGAAGATGAAGAAGAATGGCGTCTAATCAATGCTGTATGCTATAATCCAGCTATGAACAATGGAAACGATGAACAACCCACTGTTGGTCGTCATTTTCATCCACTTTGTCTCAAGGATCACCTGTTGCAGCAATTGGAGAAACAATCTATTCAAAATAATGAATTTGTTGATGAATGTAAGTTTGAATTATTTTTAAATTTTTCTCTATGATTGTTTATTTTTCTCATATATTAATATCGGTTTCCCAGCCAACCAAAATCTATCACTGAATTCAATGCTGAATACATCAACAAACTTGACTAGTTCCAGCAGTTCAATCATACCAGGATTAGATATGCCGATAAAAGATGAGGAAGAAGACACAAAAATCATTGATGTTAAAGTCGAATCGAGCGATGTGGAAATGACCAACGTTCAGCAACAACTATCGGATGATGGTGATAACACTGGTACAGATCTGGCAGGTCTTGAGATAAGTAGTGAAAATGAACAAAATAATCTTGAACAAAAAATCGAAGAACCAGAATCATTCGAAGTTAAAGTAGAGGAATTCGAAATCACAATCGAAACAATTACTCCACCTTTGGAAACGACAAACATCGAAAGCAGTGAAACGAAACCATCGAACATTAGTGACGAACGTGATAATAATGATGAAAAGCTAACAACAGCGACTACGGATGGTGATAATAATCAACCATTGTCCGAATCAAAACCTAAACGACCTTTGATTGTGCTCAAAATGAAAAATTCATCCACTGCATCAACGTCAATTACATCAATCGATGAACAGTCAACTAATAAATTGTCGTCAAATATTGGTAATGTATCTGATGCCACCAATAATGATAATGAACATTCCAGGGATAATACGAATGATGATAAAATAGAATCTTCAACATCAGAAGAGGATATAAACAACAAGGATATTCAAATGAATACCGAAACTAACAACGATGGTGATGGAAATGATCAATGTGGTGATAGGGATGAGACAGGCAAAAAAAATAATAATGATGATGATAATAATAGAAATGAACCATTATCTGATAATAAAGTCCAAAATAATGCTAATGAAACCACTACTGCTTCTACTACTGTTAGTGGTCAGGATGATCAACCATCCATTGTTGATGATCCTAATAGTCAGGTTGATTATGGTACTGTTGTTGATAATTGTAGTGTTCGTGATTCTGATGATTTGAATGATGTTGCTGAATCTATGAATGAACAACAATCATCACCATCGTTAATGGAAAAAGATCCACAATCGTTAGATTCGAATGATAATAAAGTTTCCAACGAACGTCAACTGATTGGTATGGATGCTAAGGATTTGGAATCGAATATCAATCCAGATGGCAATGCTATTGATCTACAAAAACAAGAAAAAGAACAGCAAGAACAATCAAATTATTATTCACGTGGTAAAGAAGTTTCATCACTTTGTTCTATTATGTGATGTTGTTAATACAATTCTATCGGCAATTTTCTTTTGTTCATTTCGATTTCATCGTCGTCGTGTTATAATCATTCTGATGATTGTGTAAATTTTTTTCATTTCCATTACAAAAAAAAATCAATTCTATTCATTTCTCATTTCATAATCATTTCGATTATAAATCGAAACATTAAAACAAAAAAAAAACCTAATAAGAATAAAAATAAAAAAAATTATATAATCTGAGAATTCTAATTGAAACTAATTTCTATTAAATTTCTATTTGTCTTTTTTTCAAAAATTATCTTTTTTTTTGGCTTTCATATCATAATAATCATTATAATTATCTTGAAATATAATTATTATTATCTTCAAATAAAAATCATTTGTAATTTTTATAAATTTTGCGTTTAATTCATTTGTTAAAAAGAAAAATAATTTAAATGTCCGTCTATCGATAGTATCGATACTGTTTCATGATTGTTAGCGAAAAAAAAAATCCAGGAATATTTGAGTTCCATCATCATGGATCATTGTTTATTGGCTGAAATAAAGTGCAAGGATGTATTGAACTCTCTATTCTATGATAATTTCAAAAAGAAATTGTGACAATGGCTAAGAAATATTCTAGTTTGAAAATTCATCAACCAGCTATAATAAACGACCAACAACGGTTATGTAACATTCATCAAGGATTCAATCCATTTCTTGATCAGTTAACCGTTAAAGATGCTATGAGCATGATAAATGAGCTATGCCATCTTCATAAAATTAAACCTGAATATGAGTTGATTGATGTTCAAGGTCCAGAACATAATAAAATATTTACTGTTTATGTAAAGCTTGGTGTATCAGAAAAACATAATGGACAAGGTAATTCGATAAGAAATGCTCAACAAAATGCGGCTTTAAATGCGTTGGGAAAAACTCGACTGAAATTTCCAAATTCAGGTCAAAAGCAACATAACAGACGTAAACTTCAATGGAATAACCAAAATCATCTTACATATCCACAAAAACCAAAACAAAAATTTGAATCATCCGAAAAATCGTTCATTGGGAATGGCATTCAGCCTCATTATCATGTTGATGGATCATTTCAGTCATCAGTGCAAGCACCTTCAAAGATTACAACAACAATGAATCCTTCGATTTCGTTTACAAAAACATTACCTTATCAAAATCAATTTCATCATCATGTTCCTCTTTTTCAACCTTCAAACATACCGGTATATCAAAATATTCCCACAAACATTACTTATTTTCATCCTACATATTTCTGTGATCCATACACTTGCAAACAATATTTAGTGTATGAACTTGTTAATCCTGGTCATATTCCGGTAGTAGCTCATCCATTCGTTCCAAATTTACAATCGACTTCATCATCAAAGTCAAAAGTCAAAATTGAGTCTGAAATTAAAGAAAGACAATTGAATATTGATGTTTACGAAGCTTCGGTAGAGTTTAATGGAGTTAAATTTTGTGGTCAGGGAAAAACGCGTCCAGAAGCAAGACAGATTGCCACCGAAAAAGCGCTCAAGCATATTAAATCTAATCTATTCGCCGAAAATTCTCCTGAAAATTCCACGATCTCATCAGAAAATCCAAGATCGAATATCAATAATTCTTTGACCGATCCAATATCCACCTTGAATCATTTAGTATCACGAAATCGATATAAAATAAATTTCATTCATGTAGATTCGTATGGACCAGCTCATATTCCTGTTTTCGTCTCTAAATGTCAATTGTTTGATGCACAAAATAATGAGAAATTATTAATCGAAACTGAAGGTCGTGATCATTCGAAAAAATTAGCAAAAAAACAAGCTGCACAGAATATGTTGGCTAAAATCGATAATGATAATATCAAAAATATTTTATACAAAGGTGAAAAGGCCGATGCCAATCAACAACCATCATGTTCAAGGTCTGAAGAACACCCGAAATCGGCTGCAGTATTGAGTCGCGATCTTGATTTCATATCTAACAAGTCATTAACGCTTCTTTATGATTTAGCTAGAAATATGTCGCTACGTAGTCCGGCATTCAATTACTTCTTACTGAATTCAAATGATTCAATTGCCAAACGTTTTATCCAACAAATCGAATCGAAAGGTCAGATTCATCGAGTCGAATGTACATTATTTTTCGAACAAAATACAACTGATAAATTTATATTCTGTATGAAAACAGTGGGATTTTCATTGACACAACGTATGGCTAAACAGATTGCTGCATTTATCTGTCTTTTGCGATTAGGTCTTGAACCGCCACGATTCGATTTAACTGATGAATTATTTGTTGAATCTCTTCGATTTTCACTCGAAGCAACTAATGTCAACATAGAATTTCCTAATGAAGAAAACATACGTAAATTTTACGACAAACGAACAACCATAGACGTATTTTATCGAGATGAATTCATTGAAAACTTTAATGAAAATCGAAATTTTGAAATTAATAAAAAATTTGTTTTGTTTGTTGCAAAAAAATTCTACTATTATTCGCTGAAGCATTCAACAACCAAAAGTATTGATGTGATAAGTGAAAAAATACCATTTTTGTTCGTAAATTTCGAAAAAAATTACCAATCAACTAAATTCCAACATTTCAGTGTGCAATCGATACAGAAATTACTATCGACATTGGATATGAAAAAATATTGGAATCATTTGCAATTTATCGCCAAATTGACAACACTTGGAATCACCGATACGTCGAAATCGGCCATAGAATTTAAATGTCACACATGTCGAATTGATGATTCACATATTATAGCCTTTCTAAGTGTTCGATTCGATAGCTTAAATTTTGATTTAATTCATAAACATTACATAACATTTGGCTTTGGATGTGATGATGATAAAGCTCGTGAAGCAGCAAGTCTACGTGCGCTATACAAAATTTCCATCAATGCATACAAAAAATCAATGGAGGTGTCGAATTCGAATCCCATTACGGTAGATTTGCCAACGACTATTGATTGCATTCAAGAAAATAAAGAAAAATTACAACCAAATCAAACAAATTCAAAACCATCATTGAATCAAATGAAAAGTAAATCAGTGATATCAAGAATGTATCAAATATGTCGAGATCTATCCATACGAAAACCTGAATTCATTACAAATAATTGGAATAGTGATTTATTAAGTACTCAATGTATAATTCATTTCCGTCAAGATTCAAATAAACTAGCTGGTAAACTTACAATATTGGCCATATCGAATAGCAAGCGATCGGCACAAACAATTGCTGCATATATGTTCTTGTCAATTGCAAATGTTTCCAAATTATCATTGTCGCAATTGGATGCGTTTAGCATTCCTGATTTTGAAAAATATTTAAAATTTTCTCTTGAAAATGTTTCCAACCCTGAAATCATCAGTCTAGTCATGACTTCGAAATTACAATTTACACCGATTATCTATAGTGACGAACAAATTGAAGATATTAATCGAAACATTGAGTTCATTGAAACTTTGCTAAAAGATGTTTATAGTTCATATTTGAAAAATCAAAAACGTAGTGATCCAAGCTGTCTTGTTCAACGTGTTGAAGATAAACTATTTGAATATCATAATCACCGAAAACAAATGTTGGATCAAAGTGAATCGTTTGATAGATGGAGCGAACACATAAGAAAATGGATTAATGAAAATTTGACCGACAAATTTAATCGACAAAAATATTGGGACCATTTGCAATCAATTTCTTTGATTGCTTCTACATTGAATTCCAATCTAGTCACACCTATCGAACCATTTATTTTTGAATTCAAATGTCGATTACTACAAATTGACATCGAAAATGATGATCATGATCCTACCAATCAAAAAGGAACAATTGCAGTGATAACACTTCATTGTTCATCGAAAGAATTTTCCGATCGTTTTGCTTTATTGCAAAAAGAATTTCTTAGTTTTGCAATTGATTATGATGAAAATGAAGCACGTGAAATTGCCAGCTATAAAGCTCTTCGTTATCTTTCAATTAATTTATGGAAATCTATTTGTTAAAATAAATAAATAATTAGAATGTGTGTTGAAATTTTTTGAATTTTGAATAAAATCCTATCCTATCTGAATGATCCATGCGCATGCGATTTTTAAATCTGTCGATTTATCATCGAGTATCACATGTGATACAAAGTGCCTTTCGGTCTTTTTGAAACAGTAATTTGGATTTCATCACTTTTTTTTTGCCGGGAATTAATCAATTTTATTTATATTTTATTTGTTAATTTATTATTAATGGAATAATCAACTGTTGAGTGTTGTTGGGCAAATTTTTCTGTATTGATTTGTTGGCATACGAAAAACAGGATTCAAAATGAACACATTTTTCGGCACCGTCAAATATCGAGCCTCGACATTTAGGTCGATTTTGTTAAATGGTGCTCATCCTTGTAGTCAAACCCCTAAGATATGGCCCCACTCATATTTTAATGTATGTTTTTCATGTATGAATACAAAAATTACTTGAATGACAAAATAAATTTTTTAATTGAAGGCTCGAAATTTGACAAATAATCGACAAAATAAAGGATTTTTGGGACAAATATTCGATAACCTAAAAGAAGAACTAGATAAAAGCAAAGAAATGAAAGAAAATCTTAAAAAATTCAGACAAGAAGCCCAAAAACTTGAAGATTCCGAAGCGCTAAAACAAGCTAGAAAAAAATTTGTCAGTATCCATTCTTTTCATGACCAAAGTTTGTTGATCTAAGGTTTTGAATTTATTTTTTTACAATAGCAAAATATTGAAGCCGAAACAAGCAAAGGTTCACAACAAATTATCGAACAAATCGATTCGATAAAACAAAAAATAAGCAAAGGTTTAGAAGAAGCGACTAAAACAGAAATCGGTAAAAAAGGTAAAGAAGCCGCAGAAGAACTATCAAAACAAGCGAAAAAAGCTGCGGAACAAATTGAACATATTTCCAAAAGTGATGCTTTCCAAGCTGTATCAAAAACAGTACAAACAGTGAAAGAAGAAATTGGCGAAACGCCATTATCAACGGCAAGATTTTATCGACCACCCGACAAACTTCGTAAGCGCAAAGAATATTCTGAACAGTTTGTATCATCACGTCCTATACAACCAAATGAGTGAGTACCATCCCCTATATCAATAATGATGAATTTCAATTAAATCTTGATGAAAAATCCAGAGAAGCAACCGGTGTCGAATTGCATAAAGATTCGAAATGGTTTTCAAGTTGGCAAAATTTTAAAGATAATAATCCATATGTGAACAAAATATTTGAAATGAAAACAAAACTTGATGAAAGTGATAATCCATTAATGCGTGCATCACGTTTAGTTACCGATAAGGTGACAGAATTATTTGGTGGAATGTTCACAAAAACTGAACTATCCGAAGTATTGACTGAGATTTGTAAGATCGATCCAAATTTTGATCGACAACAATTTATTAAAGAATGTGAAACCGATATTATACCCAATATATTGGAAGCTATGCTTCGTGGTGATCTTGAAGTGCTCAAAGATTGGTGTTATGAAGGTGTAAGTTTTACATGATTTTGATGTTTAAGATTTTTTAATTTTTTTCAAATGTTTATACAGGTATACAATGTATTGGTGACGCCAATTAAACAAGCGCAAACTATGGGTTATCATTTTGAATCAAAAGTAATCGATCTAACAAATTTAGAATTAGAAATGGGTAAAATGATGGAACAGGGTCCCGTATTGATCATAACATTTCAAACACAACAGATTATGTGCGTAAAGGATTCGAAAGGAAAAGTGATTGAAGGTGATCCGGTATGTAATCAATATAATGATTCTAATCTTATTATTAATTACGTTTTTTATTCACAGGAGAAAATTATTCGTGTTCATTATGTTTGGGTACTTTGTCGTGATCAGAATGAATTGGATCCAAAAGCAGCATGGAGATTGTTGGATCTTTCGGCCAATAGTGCCGAACAATGGTTATAAGAAAAAAAAATAAATTAGATTCATTAAAAAATTTTTATATAATGATGATGATTCAACAATAATGTTCTGTAAATATGAATTTTTATTTAGTCAAATTAAACGAAATTTTCAATTATGTCAGAATAAATGAAAAATAAAATGAATAATTTTCTAAAATCTTTTTTAAAAATTAAAATTGATACAAGCATCAATTTGCCCCTATTAATTAATAATGCTAAAAAATAGCTATTGTATTATACACCACTACCAGCATCATTTTCAGATTCAAATGTTAATTGCTACATTTAATACAAACTGCTAGCTATTTATATGAATGATGTATGCATAGTTTTTTTTTAAATTTTATTTATGCTGGCCAAAATTCAACATCATCAACAAAATGGCCATTACAAAACAAAAAATAATAATAATGATCAATGGATACACTTTCACATATATATGTGAATCATCTGTATGTGTATCGGCCCGTAGAGAAATGAAAACAAAATTTTTTTTCAAAGCAGAGGCATTTGGATACGTTGAATTTTTGTAGCTTTACGGATATTAAATCAGACACAAAAACTCCAGAACACAATACCCCGCAAATCAAAAGAAAAAGATCATTGAAATGTATGTGTGTGAATGGATCTCACTTTCTTTCAATGTTTCTTGCCGCTTCTTTGTGGTATAGAAGAATGAAGAGGAAAATGTTTTTTCTTTTTATAATATATGATCCACCAAATTGATGTTTGTGTATCGGCTCATTGGATAGTCGTTTGAATATACATGTATATGAGTGTGTTTAATGTATGCATTTTCAATTCATAATATTTTTTTGAAATAATAATAATAAAAGTGAACTTTTGATGTTTTAATATTTAGTGAATTTTATGTATATATCAAAAACAAACAAACACATGTAGAAAGGAATAGATATGATATCAATTATAAATGATTTTCTTCAAGAAAATTATCATTATCGAAAGATTACAAAATCATCATCATCAGTTTGATTTGATGAATTGAAAATTTGATTAATTTTTTTCATATTTCGACGATAATCTTTTTGTTTGCAATTTTATCATCGAGTAAAATGAAAATTCATTAATGGATCGAATCGGAAATCAATTTAAATTCAGATTGTTTTTCTCTAATTGATTCAAAGCCAATTTTTATTTGGCTGATAGATTTTTTTCTGCCTTTTTTCATATTCACACTACCTGATCAATCGTATTCAATAAATGATTATGCAATTTAAATGATGAATGAATTTTAAGATTTAGGAGTGAAACAAATTTGATCCAAATATTTTATCAACGTTTTTATTATAAAACAAGTGCAATGTCAACATTATTAACTACGGAAAAAGATAACTCTCAACAACAACAACAGCAAATCCTGGTGTCTACAAACGATTCGAATCCTAAGGCAACATTGTCAACGAATTTGATCAATATTGCAAAAACAACTTTGGCCGCTGTTGAAGCCAATAATCAACAACAATATAAACATGATAATCATTCTATGGATGATCGGTCATTTTTATCCATCGATGATCAACAACAATTTTCAACTACGAAAAAGAAATGTGATACATCAAACAATTCATTATCGAAAAATGATTCGAATCAAGAAAAGAAGCATTCACCGAAAAAAAGAAAAAAAGAAACAAGAAAAGCTGAAAGAATTTCCAAATCAAAATCATCAAATACTAAAGATTCTGTAATTTCGGAATGTAATATCGTATCATCCATACCAGGAAAAAGTGAGAGTAGTGCTACATCGAACTATCATTATCCTTATCATCATCATCATCATCATCGCAGACATCATCATCAAACAGTCGTACAGAAAACGGAAAAGGTGATTATTGAAACTCGCAAATTGAGTGTTGTCGAATCGACGGTGCAATGTACAACGACGACTACTTCCCCTAGCCATCATCATCATGGCCGTCATCGTCGAAATCATCACAAACAGCACCAGCATCATCAACACCATAATCCTTTGGCTAATCTTCATCGAAAACACCGTCGCCATCATAAACATCATGGTCGTCATCTTCGTAAATCCAAATCTTTATCATCAAAAACAAATGTACTTACAACGACGACAAGTACATCATCATCATCTGATTTAAAATGCCATTTAAAATCACTTTCGATGCCGATCTCACAAACATTATTAAACAATGAAAATATTGATCTATCCAGCCAACATGAAACCGGACAACAACAACAACAAATTCAGAGCTTAAAATTGTCATCATCATCATCATCATCTTCGTCGAAAAAATCTCATAAGAAAAAACATTCTAGTCAAAAAAAACAACTTCAGAATTTAAATATATCCGGCAACGAAATCACTCAAGGAACAAAAGCAGCAACTTCCATTGAAACGATAGATAATCGAGAATCAAGCGGGTTTTTTGAACAGCCAGCCAACTGTGATTCCTCATCATCATCATCGTCATCATCATCTTCCTCATCGTGTTCATCGTCACCTAGTTCATCATCGACACATTCCAATGGATCATCATCATCATCTTCGTCGTCCACATCTTCGTCATCATCATCATCATCATGTTCTTCCGACAATTCAGACAATGATGCTAATGATACGAATCCTAATGCAATAAATGCAAAGCGTCCAGTTAAACTAAAATACTGTAATCATCATCATAAGAAAAAGAAGAAGAAAAAAACAAAATCATGTTCCGGTTCACAATCGCCATTATCATCATCAAGATCTAAATCATCAAAGTGTTCCACATCAAGAAATTCTTCTCGATCAACATCATCTTCTGGATCATCATCATGCGAAGAATCAGGAGATGAAGAATCCAAATCCTCTAGTTCATCGTCCTCATCAACAGCAACATCGTGCAGTTCTCGATCCGATTCAAGATCAAATTCATCATGTATTGAAGATGTATTGACAAAAATTTCTGTCGGAGGCATAAAATTGGATAATGAAATTTCTGAATCTTTGGTGGAAAAACAACAACAACAAACAACAAGTAAAACGACAATTACAATGAGCCAACAACAACAACAGCAACAACATTCATCCCTGTTTTCGGTTGATACCATTTTGCAACAAGAACAGCAGCAACAACAACAGATAAAAACTACGATGAAAACAACTTCTGAATCATCTTCAAGTTATCAATTTCAGTCCACGATTCAACAATCAGAGACAACAACCAATGCTCAACAATTGACAAAAGTAGATAGTTGCTTATCATCATCTTCATCATTATCGAATCCACCGGATTCAATGGTCGAATCACCCATTTCAGTGGATAGCCAAAAATATGATAAATCAGCAACATCAACGGCCACAACAACAACTATGGTCAAAAAACGTGATCCAGCTGAAGAACGACAAAGGCTACGCAGTTATCGAATCGCTCATCATCAACAATCACAGAATCCAATATTATCATCACAAAAACCTACATCAATATGTGCTGTTTCATGTTCGATTTCGACATTGACGACATCAACTGTTTCAAGTTCTACATCGGTAAATGCTACTTCGGGTATTAAAACATCGTCTTCTGCGTCGATATCATCATCGTCAACGAAAAACTTAATTCAAAATGCCAGCAGTAATCGTACGATTTCGAAATCCATTAGCACCAATAAAACAACAATGATGGCTGCCGATAGTACCAGTAGCGAAACATCTACAACAATAATGACCACTAATAATAAAAAAGATCAAATTCAACGAACTGTGGTCAACAAAATTGTTCAACAACAACAACATCAACAACAGACTGTTCATCATCATCAAAATTTGTTCCATTCGACAAATTTATCAAAATTATCTTCCACGAATATTCTATCATCATCATCGACAACAGCCAATACCAATAAGTTTGTTCAGGTTACATCACAAGCTGTAGCAGCAGCTGCTGCTAATGCTGGCACTAATTTTCTTAATCCATCTTTTTTTGTTCCTGGATCTACGCCCACTTTTTCCACTGGATTTCATTCTGCAGCCAATTTTCCAACATTTCATTCAGCATTCATGCCCACAATTTTCAATCAACAGCTTTCATTGAACAATGTTCAGTTTCCGGGCACTTCAACTGGTAATAAAACGACCAACTCAACTAATCAATTAATACCGACACGACAGAATCCATTTTTTCCAGTTCCAACTAATCATTCGCAACAACAATCTCAATTGACTATATTCACATCTCCACCATTACCGACCGGATCAGCTTCTGCAGCTTTATCACCTTTTTCTTTTCAAAGTGCAATGCAACATTCGACATTATTGCCAACTACTGCACAATTTTCACCATCATCTTCAGCTACATCAGCAACAACAGCAACTCCATTACTAATGCCAAAATCTGCATTGAATTTCCCATCTGCAACAAATTTAACGTTTCCTGGTACTGATCCAAATTCTGCTGCTGCTGCTGCACATTCTCTAATGATGTTCGGCCTTGCTTCAGCAAAATCAACCACTGGTAATAGTTCATCATTGTCCACTGCATCATCAAACACAATAACGACAACATCGCCTCCATTTATCTTACCTCGAATCGTTCAAACAACTTCCTCAACTCATAATCTGACAGCTAATGCAAATACGACAGCTACAATAGTAGCGAAAAGTTTATCACAACATAGTAACAAATCGAATAAAGATAGATTGAATGCAAAACAAGTGGCCAATTTATCTCCTTCAATACATGATGTATCAAGGACAAATTTCGGAACCGGACCTTCCATAACGATCTTACCAAATACCGCATCACCAAATACACATCCATATCAAGCAGCTCATCATCCACATTCAGCTACGAATCAACAACATTCACCATTATCGACATTAATATCACCACAAACATTGCTGCTATTACAATCACCATTATCAACAGCGACCACCTCATTTTCAACTAAACAAGTCGCTCATTATGTTTCGTCATCTGCCTCGGTGATCACTTCGAATTCAAGCAAATCGCTGACACCAATTAAACCGGCAACAACAACAATTAATATCGTAGGTACGACAGCTATGAATACTATCATGTCCACGCCATCAATTTCGACACCTGCCTTAACTAAAGCAGCTATCAAACCATTGGCAACTAATACAAATAGCGTAATTTTAACTCCCAATTCCGCTTTGCATCAGCATTTGCCATATACCTTATTTTCACAACCATCACCAGGTTTGATGCAGCCTATTTCTATTCAAGCACCTCCTGCTCCAGCACCATCTTCAGTTTTTGGAACACCATTATTATTATCAGTGATTTCACCGACCGGTCGTAGTGGCCCGCAACATCATTCACATCAACAATCACATCGATCCAATCTTTCAAGTCCTGTGATAATTGCCAATGCTCCTGCAACAGCAACAACAACGTTAATCGCTAAGAATTCGGATTCAAAAACACCAAATCATATAAAATCACGACAATCTGAATTGAAAAATATACAGCCCAAAGTTGAAAAATCAACACCCAAAACAATTCAACTTCCTGTTAAGCTTCCAGAATCAAAGAAATCACCATCAATCAAGTGCAATATACCAACAACAACAACAACATTAAATGAAATTGTCTCCAATACATTAACGACTACAATGACAACGATGACTACCATTCCTTCTCAATCTTCGTACTCAGTTAAATCTATGAATTCTACAATTGAACAATCTATAAATAAACAGCAACAATCATCAACACAATCACAACCAGATATTATGATAATGAAATCACCACAATCAGAAGAATTTGAAAGTTTAGTTCGTTCGGTGAAAGATACAATTGATTCCTTCAATGCTGCCAGCTCTGGTTTAAGTGATGTTGATGATAATGAACATCAGCAACATCACTCTCCAAAACAATTAAAACAAACAAAACAAGAACCATTACCAACACTTCCAAAAGTGTTGAAACAACAAACCGGTGATAACTTATTGAAACCATCATCAGATTTGCTTGTTTTTCCAATTTCAACTACGAAACCGACACAATTGCATAATATTAAAAATATTCAAAAAGAAATGGATAATAAACCATCATTACCATCCAAATCATTGCCGTTAGATGATGGCCAATCTGTATGCAATGATAAAATTGTTTCAGATTTGGAGAAAAAGAACAAAAAAGAAATGCCAATCATACATAATGTGAATAAAACTTCGTCCAAGAAGAAAAAACATCGTAAAGAAAAAATACGATCAAAATCCCTTTCATCGGATAATAAGAAACATAAATCGAAACAAAATAAAAAACGAAGTTCATCATCAAACAATAATAATAAAAAAGGATTTCCCGCATTATCAGGCATGGATGGTAAATATTCATCATCATCATGTTTGGAATCATTTGATCCGGCTTTGATGAATAAAATTGTTCGTTTGCTTGAATGTTTACATATAACTACAAACGGTCCAAATATTGATCGTCATGCATTGCCTCCATTATTTCGACAACGTTCATTCACGAAAACATCAGGAAAAATATCTAAATCTAGTCGATTATTTGGTTCACAACGACGATCATTTACAACATTAGCAACGATTTCAGCCACATCCAACATTCACAGCATCGCCATAGGCAACAAAAATATGAACAACAATTGTCTGAATATTAATGATAAAAATTCATCTGATAGTCAACGATTATTGCCGCTAAAGAAACGACAACATCGACCTGATGAACAAGAGCCGTCTTCATGTTCATCATCAAATTCGGAAACATCAAATAATAAAAATAAAACATCAAATAATGATAATTTAAAATCACCGAATCAATCACCAACATCTTCCGTTACTGGTAAACAGAGAAATAAATCTAAAAGTAAAACACAAAATTCATCATCAGAATCGATTCCATCTGTTGATTTAGTATCATCGCCATCCACAATGACAATTACTACGAATAAAAGTGTAAAATCGGTTGGTTGTGGTCATCCTCGGCCTTCTCCTTCTTCAATATTCCCTTTGCTATCATCATCAGTTATTATTCATGGATCTAATATTCATAAAATATCCGAAGAATCAGTGCCGCCATCGAACGTTCCAAATACGAACAAAGATAATGTAGCAGCCGAAAATGGTAGTAGCAGTTATAAAAAGAATAGACAACAGCAACGAGAATCTTCTGCTTTGATACCACCACCACTAAATCCTATAACAACAACACCACTACAATCGTCCATAGATTTGGAAGGGAAATTGTCGAAAAGACATGCTGATCCAAATACAGCTACAGTATCTGATACTGTGTCAACTTCTAGCCGTAGAAGTGGTACAAATACTAAGACGATGATGCTTGAGACGAGTCGATCAAATGTATCGAACAAAAAGACGATTGTATCGAGTAGCCCAGCAAAACTGCAAGCACTATCTTCAACATCAACAATAGCAACAGCATCATCATCGTCATCGTCGACGGAACAAAAAACCGCCGAATCTCTCGTTGATTTATTGTCGAATCGACAACAACCAATAGAAACCGGTCGTATTGTAGGTGTCCAGAAACGAACAAAAATTCTACCTATCAAAAATAACACTGCCATTTGTCGTAATTTTCCAGAACAACAACCAGGTATGATTTTGTTTTGCCCGCCAAAACCAATTTTTAATTTATTTTTGATTATTGTTATCCAATTTTATCTTCATTACATTCTTTAGTATCATCAAGTGATAATGTTGATTGTAGGAAAAATAATCATTCGAATAAATGTGACTCAAGAAATGCTGATAGTTTAACAGGATCACCGTCCAAAGTGACCGATGTCGATTTAGATGAAGCCGATGCTGATGACGAATTCGATGATACAGATGACGAAGACGAAAATAAAAAGACAACAATCAATGATGATTATCGATCGAATGTTGATAAGAGGAAAAAAAAGTGTGAAACAAAACGAAAACAATTGCATACAAAAATTGTCAAACAGAATTTATTGAAGCACGATAAACAAGATAAAAACATTAACATCAAATCTGAAGAAAATTTATTTTCTACGAAAAACCAAGATCTCAATAATTCTAGTGTAAATATGTCATGCCAATCTAGTAATGTTGGTGGTAATCGTGCAGCAAAATCAAGTGGCACAACTAATGAAACAGCCATAAAGTCTAAATCCTCGATGAACAAAAAATCGAGTTCAAGTGATAAAAATACTGAAAAGGCTCAAACGTTTACCGTCGTAAGTACAAAGAAAAATAACTCAAAAACTGATGAAGCTCCAAAAAAAAGTACAAATAATGATAACAATAAAAAGAAACGACGACGTGTTTTCAACAAAACTGGATTCACAAAACCAAGGAAACGTAACAAAACTGTTGCAAATAAAAACAAAAATCAAAGTTCTATGAATTTGATTGATTCGGCAGCTGATCAAGTTATTAATGATGAAACCAAGAAAAATGTTTTAAAATCAACGAATAAGAAATCAACGAATCAAAATAAAAACAAGAAAAAATCGACAAAAATTTTGAGTGAATCCGAAACATCGTCATGGTCGTCATCCGAAAGTGATGCTAGTAAATCTAAAAAGAAATCGAATAAAAACCAGAAAGTGACCAACTTTTCAGATTCGGATTGCACAAGTTATTCATTTCAAACCGGACAATCAACTACAGCATCATCATCTACATCCAGCCACGAAGAAGATGATCCAGATTATCCTATATATATGGTTACTGCTCCTTCCAATAAACAGAATAATCGACATAAAAAAGTTTATCCCATCAAATCAAATCCATTCATTCGGCCGATTCCATCAAAAAAATATTATCAAGCTGGACTTTATTCTGAAGAATTCATTCAATTACATTCCGATGAATATTTTGCTTCAAAAACTAAACGAGATAATACGACAGATAATGAAGATAAATCTTGTTCAAATGTTCTAGTCAAGCACGATGATAATTCCAAGACTACATCAACGTCCGGAAGTGATGATATTAATAACAAAAATGAAGTGCAGACATCAGTGAATAACAAAACGTTGCAGCCAATATTACCATTTCCTCCGCTTTGTTTGCCATCATTTGAAACAGTTCAATCTCCTTTGGTAAAAGATGAAGAAATCAATAATACAAAATCTATACAAAATGCAATGGTTCACAAAAATAAAATTGATAATTCAATCATCAAAAAAAATCTCCCACAAGATCCAAGTTTTCGACAAGATTTTCATCTCAGTTTCGATATCTGGTATCAATATAAATACAATCCATTTCCACTGTTGATGAGTTCTGCCAATTATCGTCGTGTACGTCAAAATGTTTTTGTCGATGTCAAACCTGTAGCCACTGATTCTCAACAATCATGTAATTGTACGATGCCAAGAAGTCCCAATGAAACAGCATGCGGTACAGATTGTATCAATCGTATGATGTATCAGGAATGTTGGCCACAAACTTGTCCGGCGAAAGATCGATGTTCAAATCAACGAATACAACGTCATCATTGGAGTCCTGGATTAGAACGATTCATGACCAGGCATCGTGGTTGGGGAATCCGAACAACGGAAAATATTCACAAAGGAGAATTTATTCTTGAATATATCGGAGAAATCGTTAGCGACCGATTGTTTTTAAAACGTATGAATGAACGTTACAATAATGATCAACATCATTACTGTCTGAAAATTGAGCCTGGTGTTGTTATCGATGGTTATCGTGTTGGTAATGAAGGTCGTTTTGTCAATCATTCATGTGAACCAAATTGTGAGATGCAGAAATGGGCCGTTAATGGATATTATCGAATTTGTATGTTTGCTTTACGAGACATTGAACCAATGGAAGAACTATTTTATGATTATAATTTTCATAATTTTAACGTCGAAACCAAGCAAATATGCCATTGTGGTTCAAATAAATGTCGTGGTTTCATCAATGGAAAAAATTCACTAAATCCAAAATTAAACAGCAATGAAACAGGCTTGAGTCAAATGGATGTCAATGTTCCAACTGAAGGACAGACAATTGTTGCGGAAGAAATAAAACCATTAATTGAATTCCCTTATGCCTTTCTTAAACCTTATGCTCGTTTGCCGCCCAATGATCCACTTGGACGAAGTTTTGTATTTGTTCGTCGTGCAACCAAAAAGATCAAAGTGCCTGTAAGTCTTATCAAAACTGGTAAAACTCATAAAAAGCAAGACACTTCACAACAGGATAATTTGGTCGAAATTTCCTATGATCCAATCATGTTGAAACGAAAAATGGAGCCTCTTAGTTATACAAAAAAACAGAAAATACTCAAGGATTTGTTGTTTATGCGAAGAAATTTCGAAAAAACGAGGCGATTTTATTTGGCCCTGCAAAACTTTCTAGATAATCAAGACAATGATCATAAAAATTTATATCGAATCCGTTATACAAGTGAAAATGGAAACGGCTCCGATTCGGAATCTTCAACTAGTCGTCTATTATCAAGTAATTGTTCAATTAAAACTCGTGGCATTTCACGTGTCGACAATGATCCAAACTCAAAAATCTTGAAACTAACCCAGATTTATTCGAATATTTGTCGTGAAATCGGTTTATTCATATTGAATAAAGTGTATACTGTCATTTTCACAGTTGACCATTATAATACGAATGGCATCCAAAAAAATGGTGGCGAAAATTTTGTGAATAATGACAGAAATCATGGTGCTGTAAAACGAAAACGAAACAAAATAAATGGATATGAGAATGCTATTGATAACAGTTTAATCAGCTTTACTCCACTTATTGACCAAATTCGTGCTGGAAAATTGATAAATTTCGATTCATTTGAACGGACTATAATTTCACATATTAAAGAACAGTTTCGAGAATTGCGTTTGGACATAACCAATGGAAATACCAAATTGAAAAAACTTAAATTAACTAGAAATGGATTCGAAAAAACCAATGGAAAAACATTAAAATCAGCATCTGATTTGATGAGTACTATTGATGATGATTTTGAATCTGTTCGAATCGACTGCGATGAAATTGATTCAATGGAACGTGATGCATACCAATTGTTGTCGAATAAGCTGAAGGAAAAACAATCGATCATAAAAGACATTGTCGAAATAGAGAATAATTCGAGTAATGACAATGATTCGACACTTTCAAATTGCATCAAAAATATTTTTGGTGAAAAATTCAAAGAAACTAGATTGTCCGAAGAAAATCAAAAAAGAATGAAAGAATTCATTGAAATATTGGTATCAAATGATCCGATTCAAGTATCTGAACACTTTTTTCTCCCACGAATTGTTGAATCGTTTATTCCTAAAAAGAAAAAGAATGAAAATGATGGAAATTCCGAAACCACTAGTGATTCAATAATTCAAAATGTACAATTTAAAGAAAAGAATACTGAAGAAGTGATTCGTTGTATATGTGGAATTCTTCGAGAAGAAGGTCAAATGATTCAATGTGACAAGTGTGAGGTAAGATGGATCATCAATTTTTGGTTTAGATTAATTAATCGATTGTTTTAATCATAGATTTGGCAGCATTTTGATTGTGTTCAACAATTTTCTCGGGTCAACTTGAGCGAACATGAATACGTTTGTGAAGTTTGTCAGCCTAGACCAGTGCCAAAGGTAAATTCATGTTGTATAAATTTTCAATATATCTATAATTAATTTGTTAATTCATATTCTTTTAGGATATACCATTGCCCAATAATTTTCCCAATTTCGATATGCCATTTCCAATAAAATATTATCTAACATTGGAATCTCCAGTAGAAAAAGGTCTTCGAATTCGACTTGGCGATTGTGTTTATATATATCGTCAATCACCGAATCCGATGACATCGAAACAATTATCCGGAAAAAAGAATGCTGAACAACAAATAGATGGTGATCATTTTATTGAAACAATTAAGACAGCAGCTGACAATGCGATCAAAACGCGATCGCATCCATTTGAACAGCGTCAATGCATTATTATTCGTGTTCAACATTTGGCCATCATTGAAAGTACTGGACAACGAATTTTATTTGGACATCATTACATTTGGCCTTCGGAAACTTATCATGAACCAACACGTAAATTTTATCCAAACGAATTGCTACGATCTCCTCTTTGTGAATGGGCTGCGATGGAAGAAGTGCGAAAAACCTGTATAGTGTTAGATCCTTCAACCTATGCAAAAGGCCGACCAATTGGATATGACCCAGACGATGTGTTCATTTGTGAAATGCGTGTTGATCGTGGTGCTAAATCATTTAGTCGAATTCCAAAATCAGCACATTTTCCAGTCAATACTAAGAGCTATGCCTTCGAATTGTATCCCGAAAAATTGAAAATCAAAAGAACTTATTCGGTAAGCAATTATCATTTCTTTGCATTATCTAACTTATTTTTTTTTTGCAGCCACACCAAGTCCCAGAATCAGCTCCAAAGAAAACAAAATCCAATCGAAAAGATAATCATAGCAATAAGTTTGACGATAATATCGACCAGGATGACAATACTCGTTCATCGATAACTTCAGCCATTATAAAGGTTCCTGAAATTGACGAAAAAGTGAGTTATTTTTTCCGAAAACCTTGATCTAATGACTTTTTCCTTTCATTATATAAAGACTAAAAAATATAAAATGATTCGATTATGGAAATTGACCAACAAACTCAACAAAAGAGCATATTATCAAGAACTATTGAAAGAACAACAAAAACTAGGAACGGATTTATAAAATATTTGAAAATGAATGAGCCATATGATCACATTTGCAAATCAACAATTGTAGATAATCAACTGCATTATAACCTCATTAATTTTGTTGCCTCATATCGACTTGATTCTTTCATTTTTGCTTCATCTTCTTTTAAGAAATCAATCATAAGTAAATACGACGGATCAGTATTTTCATACATTTTGTAAATTTTGATTAAAATCTGTAAAATATAAATTTTTGAAATGAGCTATGATTATTGAAAAAATAAAGTATATTTTTGATTTTTATTTAATAAAAAACAATGAAATTTCATTTTTGTTCAAAAATTTCTGACAATATTTTGTAGTTTTTTAAATTTTCCTGCAACAGCTCTTTCTTATTTCGCAATCGTTCGATCACTGTGAGAAAATTTTCTCTATCTGTCTCATCCGATGTTTTCATCGTTTGACGTTCGATTAATTCCATTTGTTTTTTATATCTTTCTTCAATAGCATCGAAATTCATTTCGATATCATTCAATAATTGTTGATATTTTTCACTTAAAATTTTGGCCATTCGTTTAGGATATTCACGTTCTTTATGCTGTGCATCACTTATCAAACTTTGAACTGTTTCCAATACTTCCTGCTCCGTAATAGTTTCTGATTTTAATTTTTCCGAAATAAGTGTTTGATCGGGAAAACTTTTACGAAAACATTCGTTTGGATATTCTGAAGCTGCTTTGCAAGCTGATGCTAGTTGTTCCAATAATGGATGTGGTTGGCTGTTATTTTCATTCGATTTCGATTCGGTCAATGATGCATTGGGAATGCCGTGGAGTGTATTTTTAAATTTATCGATTATCTCATCCTCTTCAAATAATAATTCAATGTCCAGATTCTGTTGGTCCGAGCTACAATCGCAATCATTGGACAAAAATTCTTCATACAATTGGAAAATCTTATCCATTCTGTGATGATTGACAAACAAACTTTAATGTTGGGAAAAAAATTCAAGTGAATTATTTATCCTACTTGATATCAAAGTCGATAGATTATTTATGTTCGTAAAATTATAAAAAAATCTAAAATTAACATCAAGATGAACAATAACAAGTGTTTAGGCGCCAAACTCATTAAAATGATACTCGGTTTTTGACCGTTGAGTAAAAAAAAATACAATCGAAAATAATGCCATCTGTTGTTTTTTAATATAGTTTTTGCAATTAACAGAAATATCACAGAAATATACCTATTATAAATGGCAATTTGAGTAAATTAATTACACATAACAAGATTTGATAAGAATTATTATAATCACAGAATACTTCAATTGTTAGATAATTTACGAATTACTTCCACTTCACGATCGGTACGAATATAGGAATTAATCTCTTCTTCGGATAGATCTTGATCTTCTTTTATATTATCTTCTGACCACTTTTTGAAAGCTATTCGTTTGGTTGGCAGTGTTTCTGAATCATCTGTATCATCGTTTTTTTGTTCAGTCAATACTTGTTGATCATAAGTATTGTTCTGGTTATATTGAGCAATAATTAGTCGTTTCATTGAAACAATCTTTTCTATTTGTAATGAAACAGTATTTTTGGTTAATTCTTTACTATTGATCAACAATGGACAATATTTGGCGAAATCTTTTAATACTTTAAAAAAGAATTGAACTTTATTACTTAATGCTCTTCGGTTCGATATACCGTATTGATTGCAAAATTCGTTAATCGTAATCGATGATCGTTTCTGGTTAACGGCTTTCCAAGCATAGAACAAGGCAACATAGATGACAGTGATAGGATTTAATCCTTGAATAAGGCACGCTTCTTGCCACATCCATACTAATCCGGTTGCGTAATCCGAAATGGTCATTTTTTCTTTATCTGCAAAATCATGCTTGAAAAGATATAATGGGACTAGTGGTTCGATTTTTTTGGAACCTTTTTCAAAAAATTCTGGACGTTTTTTCTGCAAACGCAATAAAATTTTACCAACATGTTTGAAAACACTGTCTGAATTTTTGAACAATTCGCTGAAAGTAATGTGATTACTTTCTTGATTACATATCACATATAAACAACATAAAGCTAAACTTTGTTTGACGTTTGTCGAACAATTTTTAAATTCTTTTTCTTTCGAAACATCCCGAAATAAAGTTATTGCCATTTCACGAATAGCTTTGTTAATATCAAGATTTTTAGATAATGAAGATATAAGTTTGATACCATACAATACTGGAATGGTTGTTCGTTTTTGATCCGATGATTTGACTAGATTTTGATGATGATATCTTTGGGGTTGTGATATTTTTCCAAAATCTTTGGTCGTTGTTTGTTGTTGGAACACAAGTTTCGGTACATCATTTACAACGTTACCACAATTTGTACAAACTGAAATGAAATCGTCAATGACAATATCTTGCGATTGACAATCTGGACATTGTTGTTGTTGGGACATTATTGTAAGATCACATAATAATAATGGCCATTCGTTTGAAAATGAAAAATAATTTCGCACATTATGATGAAATGCTTTAGCTTTTCCATTTCTACCTATTTTTCCGCATGCTGTCTAAATAGACATTGTGTATAAATTAAATTTCAAATAAAATGGCGCAAGCCAAATTTTCAATTTTCATCGATTAGATTCTTTGGGATCAAAATTTTAATGAGTTGCAAATACTAACAAAAAAAATTCCTTTCTTTTATGTTGGTGGGAAAGCAAGTCCAATAATTTGATGTGAAAATAATTAACATTATTATCTTAAATTAATTAATCGAATTTCATAATAAAATTCTTTATATTGAAAGAAGAACGATCGATTCACACCTATTTAAACAGAAAAAGTTTCGAAACATATTCTATATATAAATATGAATTACATCGATTTTTTTCACAATAAATATTTCAATAAAACGCTATTGAATCGACATTAATCATGGCCTGTTGGATTCATAAATGTTTGGGTTCATTCCGTTTTGGGTTTTTTACGATATCTAATAGTTTCAATAACAATCTGAAATATTGGATATCAAAAGATATAAATACGCATGTCTATGAATAATTGTATCATTAATTTTATTATTGAAATAGAATGTAATGATAATTTTTTTTTCAACGTACTTTTTTACAACAACAACAACAAAAAAGGATTCTATATACTAACCAAAAATTTTTTTATGAATGTTTCAATTTTTTTGTTTTGTTATGTTTAGTGGAACCAGATTCATCTAACAATGTAGGTACAAAATAATAATTCAAACGAAACAGATTCTATATGATTAAATGAGGGAAAATACAATTTTCTACATGTGTAACATCATCAAAAAAAGTGAAACAAAAAAATCTATATTCCGCACACACCACCATCAGATATGGGCGACCCTCAGAATCAGACAGAATCCAAAATCCACACACCTACCGGTTCTCGATCCATTATTTTAGATTTTGCTATAGAATTTTCATTGTAGTTGTATCAATAAATGAAAAAAAATTGTACGCTCATATAATAAAGAAAAAGAATTGAAATTCACTCAATTTCCGTTATGACGATATCAAGGATATGCTCTCTGGAGCATGTCATATTCTAGAGCTACGACGTTAGTTCGTCATCATCATCATCACCATCGTTATTGTCTTCGACATCATCGTCATTGGCCAGAAAAATAGAATTTCACTTTATAAATTCTAATGGGAAATTTCCTTGGCGTTCCATTTGGATCGACTCAATGAAACGTATCTCGAATTTCTATATATCGCTATGTTATATAAAATAGCCACCTAGCACGTTCTTTTTTTGCTGCTATATTTCTTCGAAAATATTCTAACCTAGATCCTTCTTTTTTTTTGGTTGGTTGTCTGGTTGGCTTATTTGTTATATGTGATTCTCATTTAATGTACACCCCCATTTGATGATGTAGTATATGATTTTTTTTTCTTTCGAGTGTCAAACTAAAATTCTTCCAAATCTTCTGAATGTTGTTTTTGTTTTTGTTGTTGATGTTATTGTTTTTTATTTCTTCGTCATTAGTATTATGTTCGACGACTGAAAATTTAATCAACATATAACAACAATATATTATTATCATTGATATAAATCGACATTTTGAAATTTAAAAATAAATTTTTAAAAAAATTATTCTTTTTGTTCAATGTTGTATCCTCCATCATTCGTACATCATTGGGGGAAAATTGTATTTTTCCATTTCATTTTGATCATCTGAATCAAATGATTTTATCTAAAATTTTATTTGTTTTTCATTTATCTTTTTTGTTTGTTTGTTTGTTTGTGTGAGTGTTTTTTATGATTCAATAATTCTTTTCTCATATTTATTCTTCATTATACTTTTGCCGTCACTTTTAATGATAATTAAAATTATTATTCTAAAAGAAATTTTACTTTCATTAACACACAAATACGCCTTCACACATTAAAAATTGCTAAAGAAACTGTTTAAAATTTTCAACTATTAATATATCCAGTTTTAACAAAAATCATCTTCGTTCAAATTTGTTTTGAATATTAATTCTATCATCATCATCATCGTTATTATCATCATAGTCACCGTTGATATTCTACCTCCCTATATCCTATCCTTTTTATAAATTCTCCTGTGATTTTGTTTGTGTGTGTGTGTGTTTGTCCTGAAAAAATGAATCAACATCATTAATGAATTAATGATTAAAAAGTTTTTTTCACTAAAAATTTCATTTTATTCGGTATGTTTTTTGTGTTAATTTTTATCAAACATTATTTTGTTATTTTTATTAGCAAAAATAAAAACATTGAATATTAAATAATTTGAATAATTTTATTATCATCCATAGTTTTTGACATCATAGGAATTGTTTATGAATGTTCTCATTGATCATATTCCTACGCGACATCATTCCTATTTCAAACACCCACACACAAATTATCATATAAACATTCTATAGTGAATAAAACAAACAAAGACATCAGAATCCGAAATGCCTCCATATCAATTGCTGAATCCGCATTTTTCTAATGAATTATTATTCAAACGTTTATTATCACGCCAAATACGATCATCGGTCAATCATAATGTAACTACAACTACAAACGGTGGCGAAATGGAATTCGTTCCTGGCATCGAATTCCATAAGCCTACCGAAATGGCTCGGCAACTAGCTAACATTAATGGTACAAGTGGTGGAGAATCTTATTCTCGTGGCCAGGATGAAACAGTCAATGATTTCACTACAACCATACACGGTTTAATCAATTCAACTGTCAAAAATATGGCCAAAGGCACAAAAGTTCAATCCATGAAAGAATCAAGCAGCTTTTTTGATGATGTAGAAAAACCTGTGGAGAATATGATGAAAACTGTGGCCAAAAAGACGAGCATTCCATTCTGGGCTGTGTTCTTAATCTTTTTAGTAATAATGGGCATTCTAGCTCTCGTATTCTTTTGCTGTCTACAAAGATGGTGGCGCAAATTCCGAGGAAAAGAAGCAAAAGGAGGATTTATGGGTGGAAAAGTTGATCTAAAATCTGTTCAATTACTTGGCCAAACGTATAAGGAAAAAGTTCAACCAGAAATGGAAGAATTGACAAAAGATATGGAACAAAACGAAGCTGGCAAAGATGATGCAAAAGAAGAGGTTAAACTAGGTCGATTACAATTCAAAATCGATTATGATTTCAATCAATCTAATGTAAGTCATTTATTTATTCAAATATAAAGACATTCAACTGTTTTTATTTAGTTGGCAGTTACTGTTCTTCAGGCTGAAGAATTACCAGGTCTTGACATGTCTGGAACCAGTGATCCATATGTTAAGGTTTGCTATATTTTATATGATAAAATGAATTTGGTCGTAACTAATCATATTTTCATCATGAATCAGGTTTATTTACTTCCTGACAAGAAAAAGAAATTCGAAACAAAAGTACATCGAAAAACATTGAATCCGGTTTTCAATGAAACATTTAATTTCAAAGTTCCATATGCTGAAATAACAACAAAAACTTTGGTGTTTGCTGTATACGATTTTGACAGGTTAATTTAATTCCTAAATATTTGCAATTTAATTTTATTGGTTTTCTCGGCATGTTTTTTTTAGATTCTCGAAACATGATCAAATTGGTGAAGTAAAAATTCCACTCAACCAAATCGATCTGGCACAGACCATTGAAGAATGGCGTGATTTGACAAGTGTTGAGGATGCCCAAGGACAGGTTAGCCTTATTAAATGTTGAATTTTTTTTTTATTGATTAACATTTCAATGTGATTATCAATCATTATTATTTTCATTTAAAATTATTATGATGTGATATGAGAATTTCATCGAAAGAAAGGATAGGTTTATAAATGAATCAAAAAAAATAGGACAAACAAATTCATTACAATCATTAAAAGTCACTTTTAGTTGCTTTCTATTTTAAAATCAATTTCAAATGCATGTTTTGGCTTAGTGCTTGGATCTGATATAGTTTAATTAGAAACCGCTTTTACGACATAATCAATTGCTTTTTTCATTCCAATTGATTATTTATTCGATTAATCAAAATGAAAGAAAACAATTGATAACATCAACAGATTGATGCATGTGATTTTCTATGAAATGAAATAATACTAAACATTTTTATTTTGTTGTTGTTGTTGTTATTGTTCGCTATTTAAATTATCATGGAATTTATATTTATTATAAAACATTCATTCATCAATCAACAATTTCAATTAATGGACAATTCATTTGATGGATTTTTCAAACCGAAAACTGATGGATAACTGTTATTTTTAAAAATTTGAATATCTTTTCTTTCGATATTAAAAAAAATCACATTTAATTGCAAAATGAATGAATCTTTGATGTAAGTATTTAATAAAAATAAAAAAACAAATGCAAAGCTTATTATTATTATTTTATGGAATTTTTTTTTAATAATTACTATTTGAAATATAAAATGGCAGCAAATATGAAATTATCAATATAATATTTAAGACAATCACATACACGGTTTGATTAATGGCAGATAATTGTAGATTGCGTCAATGTAATTCTGCACTTAATACACATTGTTCCAAAAGAAAATAAAACTAGCTGTTGCCTAGATATTATTATATTATTGATCTGTTTCATTACAAACAAACAAACAAACAAGAAATGACAAGCTCTGGTTTTTGTCTAATCGAATTTAATAGATTAAATATTCATAAATAGATCATTTCTTTGGAAAAAAGTTTCCATAAATTAAATATAATGCTTATTATCTATAAATAACAAATAGATATTGGAACAAAGAAAATTTTTATATCAATATTTTTGATTTAATTAGTTATTACTAAATTTATATCATTTATTTAAATGTTTTTCATTCCTATGAAATTGTAAAACTTGTTTTGGGAATTTCAATTCAGATCAATTATTTATAATTATTTTTGAGACATTTAGCATTCAAATGACAGTTAAATTTTTTCCTGAGAAATAAACAGATTTCAGAATCGAATTGTTTTACTTTTTTGTTGTTGTTATGAACATGTTCTATTAATAGTTATTCTTAACTTTATTTCACCGATATTCATTATTATCTTTTCAATTGAAATTTATAAAATAGGAAAACAAGTTGGGAGATATTTGTTTTTCATTGCGTTATGTACCGACTGCTGGTAAGCTCACTGTCGTTGTCCTCGAAGCCAAAAATCTTAAAAAAATGGACGTCGGTGGCCTCAGTGATCCATACGTTAAAATAGCCTTGATGCAAAACGGTAATTAATCTTTAATTATTATTTATCATCTAATTTATATTCATTGTTTTATACAGGAAAACGATTGAAAAAGAAGAAAACATCGATCAAGAAGTGCACATTGAATCCTTATTATAATGAATCATTTACATTCGAAATTCCATTTGAACAAATTCAAAAAGTGCAGTTGGTTGTAACTGTTGTTGATTATGATCGTATTGGTACATCAGAACCGATTGGCAAGGTACTTGTTTTCACTGATCATATTGAAATAATTCTTATAATTCTATAAATAGGTTGTACTCGGCTGCAATGCATCCGGCACTGAATTAAGACATTGGATGGATATGCTTGCATCACCACGACGACCAATAGCTCAATGGCATTCATTAAAAGATCCTGATGATGGTGGCGGTAAAGATAATTGATTGATATAAATCAAGAATTCTTTTTTCTGCAAAACACAACACAATGATTATTTAAGAAAAAAATTATTGATCATTTTCATTCACTTTCATCATTTTATCATTATCATTATTATCATCATCGACAACATTTCAATCATTTATCGTATTTGATTCAAACTTTAACTGTGACAGTAATCGAATCGTTTGCTTATCATCATTTATTCTTTTTGAAGAAAACAAAAACGTGTTGAAAAAAACGACGTATCATCATTTTTCATTTTTCTTCCAAATGAAACACACAAAAACACACATTGAACCATAAATTTACAAATTTTTGTCTAGCGGTGAAATTTTAGACAAACAAAAAACAATGGAATGAAAATAATACAGGTCATAATTTCGTTCTATAGAATAAAATATGATTCTAATTTGTGGATCGTTTTATTTTACCTTGGTAGGGAAAAAATTGAGTCAATATTTATTACCCCCATTTAATTACTCCCACATTATTCTCATACCGTTGCTTGATACAAGCCCATGAATTTAGAATGATTTTTCTTCTCGTAACAAAAAAAAAAACAAGATTTAATTTTTTAGAAAAAACAAAAGATTAAAATAGGCAAACAAACTACTTATTTCGTTATTTTAAATTCGATTATTGCTTTCAATACTAACAAGAAAAAACAATAAATTTAGATAAACATCATGTCAGGTTATTCAGTGAAACGTTAACGTGATTATGGAATATTAGTCTGATTATTCATCATCATATCGATCGATCTTATTGATTATTTTCCTCCCAAAACAATTAAACAATACATTTTTATATTTTGTTAAGAATCATAATAATAATAATGAAAAGATTGATATAGATACTTTGAACTAAACAAACAAACAAAAAAAGAAAGATTGTTGTCAACACATTCATTATCTACCTACACCGAAACATAAAATAAACACTTCACTTCACAGAATTATATTTGCATAAAATAATACCCACACCCACATACATACATAGAGAAAAAGAGAACAGAGATTTTTTGGGATATAATTTCATATAGAAGATTCATTGATAGAATATTTATATTTATAACGGAATGTGTATAAAATTTTCATTTTCGAAATGATGTGAATTTTTTCTTTGAAACATTAGCTGATATATTATTATCATGCATCGAAATGAATATTATGCAATTCATATGTATTGAATAGAAAGTCGTTTGATTGTTCCCATTTTTTTTCTTTCACTGAAAACATCATCAACAACAACAACAACAAAACATTAATTCCTGAAATTAATTTGATCATATTTTAATTGATTCAATATTATTGATTTCCCGTGAATCAAAGTGTGCCATAACAAATTATATGCTATTCGAAATTTGTTCGATTAGTTTTTTTTGAAAAGAAAGAAAGAAAAACAATTTCAAAAATAAATGATTTTGTTCCTTGATTTTTCTTCTCTTTTTTGAACATTATCAGTGTTTTTTTCCTCATTCAAAATTGACAAAAACAATGAAAAAAAAACGTAAAATTCATGCCTAATATTATACTTTAGGTTACATTAATATCAGACAAAATTCTGTTTCTTGCTTTGTTTTTTGTTTTGTTTATTTTTGATTTTTGTTTGTTCAATTAATATTTGATTCTCATAATTCATTTTTTTCTTTTTTTTGCTATATATTTAATTTCTAAAAATATTTATTGATTGTTGATTTGTTTCAATTGTAATCACTTTGCATGGATACGAATCGATCCAAACACAAGAATATACATACACACACACATCACACATACTTTGATTTTAAAATTTTCTGAGTGAAAACAAAAACCACATTAATAAAATAAAATAAAAATTAAAACTAATTCATTTTTTTTTGTTTCTCGATGATAAAAAACTATCAATTTGATTGACTAATGATTGATTATTAATTTATTAACACTCTTGCTTGATAAATTTACACACAAACACACCTATCTACCTACATACATGTCGAGATAAACACTTTGATCTGAAACTAAAATTGTTTTATTTTTAAAAAACCTATGTCTAATTCCATCTTCAATTAATTTATCTTATTTCTTTTCCATTAATTTTTTCCTCAAATAAATCTTGATTAAAAAAACAATTGATTGCGTCATCATCAAACGTGTGTAAAACTGGTTGATTCTCATGACAAATGACAAAAAAATTTTGGAATGACTCATTCATAATTAGATGCGGATAAAGTGCATGCAATAAATGATTTTTATCATTATATTGTACAGCATCATCAAAGATTTCTGGGAAATCATATATTCTAAATGTAATTATTTTACAATCTTGTTGTGTGTATTAATACGAGGATGTACTGCACCTATTTGAATATTGACAAAAATCCCATCTAATAAAGAACGAAAAAAAACAATACAAAAAAAGTGAATAAAATTATTTTATAATCAAAGAAAATGAGAAAAATTTGTTGGGCCAATTTTTTCTCAAAAAATTCCTGTTTTATGTATACTGAAAATCTATCTTTTTCATTCTCTCTATGGACATGGTTGACATATAATAACAGGGTTTTTTCTTTCAAGTTTACTCAATGGAAAACGAAACGAAATTCAATCAACCAACCAGGTAAATGAGAAAACAAGAGAAAAACAAATCCATAATAGTAAGAATGTACATTTGATTTGGAGAAAAAATGGGATTTTTTTTGTTGTTGTTGTTTAAAAATTTAATAACTTGGTCATCTCAACATCAATGAACCAAATAAATTCCCACATCTTTTCCTTGCCATTTGTTCCCATTAAAAAAATATTATATTTTAAAAATTTACATTCGGAAAAAGACAAGAGAAAAAAATGCACACACAAATATAGTTTTCCTATTTGTTTATCATTATACATGTATTCATAATGAGTGAAAAAGTCTTCACAATCAAAAGGTGGTGATTGTAACCACCACCATCATCATTGTTGTTCCATCATTTCATTCATTCATTGAATTCATCAAGTCATTTAAAAATGATCATCAAGTTTCAAATGAAAATTATTCATTTGACAATTGTTGATCGAAAGATTTTCATTTTATGATGATGATGATGAAACTTGTTGTTGACAGTTTCATTATCTCAATAATGATTATTATCATTAATAACCACAATCATTATGCTTTCGAATGACATTTTCAATTGTTTTTGTTTGTTCGTGTGTGTGTATGTATGTCAGATGTTTGAATTGTTTCCACAAAATATAGTATTTTAATCATTCATTTCCCGGATTCTCAATTTAAATTGATTTTTTTTTCCTAAATTTTCCATTTCAAAAAATGACAAATAATTCATTCAACCATGTTTTTTCCAAAATAAATGATTTGAATGATGAATTTCATGTTTCATTTGGTGTCAATCAATCAATTTTAAATTGAATCATTAAAATATATCGATTTGATTGTTTCAAATTATATCGAATCGGTTGTGATATAATTATGTAATATGATATTGATCATTGATATGATATGATAAGAGAAACAAGATAAATCCAATCAGTTCAACTAAAACAGAAAAAAAACCGACAAGATAATCGGAATGAACAAGGTATAATTTTCTTGTTAATGATGGCGATGACCAGAAAAAAATGATCGTAGTGGTCAAATGATAATTGTCTCTTGTTTTCCTGTATAACAAGATGAATGCATTCACACATACTTATACGAAACGAAAAGAAAATATTAAGAGAAAAGTTAATAAAGAGAGAAATATTTTTTGGAGAGAAAGATACGAAGATTCCATTTGCTGAATTTCATTGATTCAAAGATTGTGTGGTCGTTGTTGTTTGGTAGCCATGATTTCATTCAACAAGATGATAGTGGTTGTGGCAGTGGTTCGGTAACAATTTATTTATTTCAGTTGAATAATATTTTCTTCATTGCGCTACTCAATTGATTTGTTGAAAATATTCTTTCATTTACAGCCAGCAACATGTTGTTGGACTTTTTTTTCTAAATAACCAAATAAATTGAATCATTTATCTTGTGTGAAAAAAAGTTCAATCTCATCATCATCGAAAAGCGGTTCAGTTTTCATTTTTTTCCGCTCAATCATTCGGATTCATTTTGCAAACAAACAAAAAATCGACTTGATCATCATCATTATTGTCCTGTTAATTAATTTACTTTATATATCAATAGTGTCAATGTGATTTTTCATCATTTTATATGTCGTTGTTTGCGGTTGATTGAATTCCTAACTCATTCATTCATTCATTCATAACAATTCTGATTTCGACAAAGTAATAATAAACCAATTTAAATATGACTAGAATTGATATATAATGATGAGAAAAATAAACTAAACATTGTTATCGTTTTTTTAAATGACAAGATCACGATCACCACCTAATCATTTTCACTTTAATTTTCTTCATTATCATCATCACACATTTATGTTTTCTGTGGAATATTATGTTTGTTTGTGTTGATAAACATCACCTCATTGACACCTTTTTTTTCGATGTTGATTTTTTTTTGTTTTCGAAATTCACGAATCACGATAAAATTTGACCTGATATTTTATTGTTTTCCATTTCTTAACGGATATTCGTTTTTTTCACTTTCCGGTAATTATTATGACTATATTAATAAAACATTAATAACATAATGATAGTTGAATGAGTGATGATGAAAAAAAAGAGAGAAACAGTGGGGAATTTTTCTTTTTCTTTTTTTTTTAATAAACCAAATTGTTTATCGTACCAGTCGTCGTCGATTAGCTAACTTCATTCAATCTGCGATCCATTTTTTTGTTGTTTAACATTGATTTTGGCCATGGGAATAAATATTTTTCTAGTTTTTTAAATATTTTCATTCATCAATATTAGCTATATTATTGTGATGATAGTGTAAGCAAGAGAAACACCCAATTTTGTTTTTTTCATCATGATTATGGTGTATGTTGTTTTTGTCATTCGTTGTTTTGTTTTATTTTTTTGGCACAAATTGCAAATGGTAATGGTATGTAATCACCACTATCATTACAATGATTAACATAGAAAACATACACCCCCTTAGGATATATAGCTGAAAGAAACCAGTTAATATAAATTGTTGTTTTTAGTAAATCTATAGATAATCGTATACGATATCGTACATTGTTTTTTCTGCGTATTATAATTAATTATGAAAAAAAAATACTTTGAAATAAATGGCACCCAACCAAACAAAACAAACCATATTTGATGATTGTTTTCATTTTTTTTTATGGTTACCTAGACATTTGTCATCGAAGACAATTTACTTGTAATACTTTTTTTTGAATGACAGTGATTTTAGAGAAAATTGGGTGATTTCCACTTCAATCTGATCATTATTAGCATTTGATTTTAACGTTATGTGACTAAGTGTATGATTGGATCGATTTATGTTAGTGATTTGAATGATGATTTTAATCATCCAACTAGAAGTAATCCATTGATTCTACAAATAATGAACAAATTCTAACTATTTCAAAAGCAATTATCTATTTTTTATATGAAAAAAAATTATGACGTAAAAATTTGCCCAAGTAAAACTAACTACTAATTCATATATTTTTCTTTTCTTTTTCTTTTTTTGTTTGTTTGTTCACTTGTTTGATGACTTTTCACAAATTTCCGCAATTATAACCGCATTTTCTTCAACTAATTCGTTTATATGTGTGTGTTTTTATGTGTATTGTTGATGATGATTTTTTTTGTCGTTATTGTTTGTGATGATGATTATGATTTTAGTTAAAGGATTTCCATGGTTGCCATCAACTAATCAGGAATCTATGTTCATATCACTAATACACTGATTATAACGGCAAGAAAGAAAAAAGACAAGATCATATACTCGATTTAATTTTTGTCTGCTGCAATGATGATGATGAATGAATGATGCCGACAAATATCATTCAGAAGAAGATATCATCAAACATTTTTTAGATTGAACAAACACGGCATCATTTCAATGACGACAACAACAACATTCGACAAAAAAAAACATATTGCTGACTTTTTTTTGATTTAATTTAAATCTTGATATTATTATTTCGAAATTGTTTTCTTTTCGGGTACTGTTTATTTATGTTAACATTTGACAATGGATAATTTACGTAAAATTTATGATCAAAGTGTTGAAACGACTCGTTCATTATATGAACGTTGTAGAGCGTTTGCCATCAGGTATGTTTTTTCTTCAGATTTAAAAACTAAACAAAAAAAATCAATCATATTAATCCCATGATATCTGTCTGTTTCTTTTTTATTTAGAACATTTACAAAAGATGAAAATTCAATGAAATCTTCGACCGTACATCCGGTAAATACAAATCCACTGTCATCATCATCATCACCAACAGCCGTTCAAACACAACAACCAACACCCGTACATAAAGTTATTATGGTTGGATCCGGTGGTGTCGGTAAATCAGCATTAACATTACAATTTATGTATGATGAGGTAAGATTTTTATACTAGATTTTTTTCTATATTACATTTGAGGTCATTTCTGTAGAAAAAGATTGTCAGTGTTCGATTAAATGATTGATTATTTTGATCATAACTCGTTTGATGGTTAGTGAGAAAAAAATTCGCCAAAAAATATAAAAACTGATAGAAGATATTATGAATGATAAATTTCAATGTTCGAATCCAGTTAAACAACTTTATTTATGACTTTTGTATTATTGTTTTTTCGTTTTAACGTACATCGATAATCTGATCAATCGATTCAATAATCGATTAGTTTAGGATGATCATGATCAAATTAATCATCACCATCATCAACACACCATTTATATTATATTTTAACACACATTTATCAATTTAAAAATTTCAAATGTCAAAATTTTTTTTGATGATCGTGATGATCATTATTCTTTTTATTGATGGTGAATCAAGACAAAAGAATTGAAGAACAAATAAAACGATTTTCCAACGTGAACAGTTTGATTCGTTTTCATGTGATAGAAATCATAGTTATTCAAAAAGAAGGGCAATGAGTATTATTGATGATATTGGATTGTATGTCATTCAGGTCGAATGATGTTGATGATGATTATCATTGGAAACGAAAAAAAATAACAAAACGTTACATTTTCATGACTAATTGTATGTAAAATTTGAAACATTGTTCTACCAAATCTTTTTATTTTTCTTGTATTTTCAAATATAATAACATTAGATAACCTTTTTAACTTGCGTTATAGAAGAACAAAAAACTTATAAGTTTTTTTCTGACAAAACAACAAAATTTGTACACAGACACAGATGTTCTTCAAAAAAAACAAATTGACCGAACGATAATGTCTCAATATTTAAGGATTTTGCATGGATCATTTCTTCATAATCAAATGGTCATCATCAATTTATAATTTAAAAATATGAAATGAAACAAAAAATGATCCATAACAAATAAATGATTAGAAATTTTCCTCAAGTATTTTTTACTTTTCGTAATCAATGCAATACAATCATTTACAAAATGATTACATAATGTGATCAAATCTTATCTCATATGAATTTTTTTTCTTATTATCATCATTTAACTATTATGAATAGAATCAGAAATTGTTTTTCTTTCTGATTCAATTTTAAAATAGAAAAAAAACATTACAGCTATCAGCATATATCACACTTTATCTATATCACATTTATGCATATTCAAATTATGAATTACAATGGATCGTCAAATGAAAAGAAAAGAAACAAGATAACATTTTTTTTGACCGAAAATAAGAACAAAACTTTTTACTATGAATAGATAAGTTTGTAGGTTGTTTGTTCACGTTCGTTGTTGTCGTTATTGTTTGAAACATTGAGAAATATTTGGAATGAAATTTGAAAACTAATGAAAAAAAAACAGATAACAACAGCAAAGTTATGCAAGGATTTACAATGAATGAATGAATTTCGGTCAAACCAGAATGGTGATGATAATGTTATGTGATGGTAATAAATAGTGTGTAGAATACTTGACCAATGATGATGGTATATGTGTGTGTTTTGCAAACCATAGAAATGGATGCTAAACCGGTTTTATTTATCTATTTTTTTCTGGTTTCTTGTAAGCATCTTATGTTCATGTTGTATTATCATCATCCAAATAAGCATAAATTTTTCAGAAAATTTTTTTTCATTAAATATAAAAAAATTTATCGTACATAGAATAGATTAGTATGATGATGTATTATTTGTTCAACGTTATATTATAAATACATTTCTAATTTCTTAATGTAATATCTGTATTTGATGAGTTGATGTCTGTCCAAAGTTCAGCAAAGAGCAATCACCGTAAATAAAATTTGATATGTGATATAACAAGATAAGGTACAGATAACTTTTGAAATGAGTATAGGTAAACATCATACACTTGTTGATAATAATAACGATTGACTAATTATGTTTATTATTTCTTGTTAGGAATTTAGTTTATTATTACACTATTATAAACTATTCTTTTCAAATTACTATGATATACAATTAGGTTTGAATTAAGAATGGATAGACAAATTTTTTTCTGAATTCGACGGAAATGTTCGAGGACATTTATTATATTCGACATATTTATACATTTCATTCATTAAATCTTAAGATTAGATTCGTCATCATGAAAATCTATATTGTTGATTAACATTATAGCTCATTGTCATTGGCGAAATATCCTTGATTTTTTTAGAATAAAAAAAAACATAGCTTGCAAACATTTTTTCTATTCATTTTATTTGATTCGAATCATTGAAAAGAAAGAAAATAAAAATATGAAATTAATGTATGTTTGAACAAGAAACAAAGATAGTCTATATACAATGTTCCATTTTTGCAATGTCCAGCAAAACAAAAAACAAATACAAAACAACAATGGTTGCCTTTGCAATTTTCTATGAATAATTTACTTTTATTATCATTGAACGAAAAATGAAAAAAAACTTGCTTCAAATCACTGAAAGATTCAATGAATGACATACAGATCAACATAGAGAGAAAAAATAAAACAAAAAAGAAATGTTCAATTATCTTTGTCTGGTAATATATGATAATAATAATAATTTTATTTGAAAGAAAGTGCTTCATCCAACGGGATGTTTGCACCATTTATGAAAATACAAATAAAGTAAATGAAAATACAATAAAGTAAATGAAAAACTGGTCATTTATGATGCTTTATATATTTGAGGATTTTTGTTGTTCAATTGAAACAAAAATATTCAATCGAAAAAGATTTCAATGCAACATTCTCAATGGATAAATGAATGAAGTTTTTTTCTTGAAAAAAAAGATCCAAAAAATCTAGAGCAAGTTTTCTTGTTATAACTCATTAATAATGTAATAATGATAATAATAATCATTTTCTATTGTTTTGTTTAATATGAAATTCTATACAATTTATAATAATTTATTATTATTATTTTATAGTTTGTTGAAGATTATGAACCAACAAAAGCAGATTCATATAGAAAAAAAGTACAATTAGATGATGATGAGGTGCATATTGATATATTGGATACAGCCGGTCAAGAAGATTATGCTGCCATAAGGGATAATTATTTTCGTTCGGGTGAAGGTTTTCTTTGTGTATTTTCCGTATCAGAAATAGAAAGCTTTGATGCTATACACGAATTTCGGTAAGTAATTGATAATTAATCAAAATCGAAACCTTTTTTTCCCATCATCATCATCATCATCATTATAATTGAATTGAAATCTTTACTCTTTTTTTTCACAAATTTTCAGTGAACAAATCTTGCGGGTTAAAAATGATGATAAAGTACCATTCATTTTGGTGGCCAATAAATTCGATCTCGATCAAAATCAACATCGTGTTAGTATGAACAAAGCACAAGAACTGGCCAATTCATGGAATGTCCCATTATATCAGACATCAGCCAAAACCAATTTCAATGTGAAAGAGGTATGTTATTTTCTTTTCTTTTCTTTCTCACACAATTCAAATCTAAATCAATTCATTTCTTTATTTCGTAATCTAATCACATAAAATTGAATATAACTTATCAATAGCAAACCAAAATGAAAGAAATTCTTACCAATTTTATTTTTTTCTCACGATTTATGATCAATCAATCATGATCAAAAAAAATAGGTATTTTTCGCATTGCTTAGAGAAATTCATCAACGAAAATTGGCTGGAATAGAAATGGCTAAAAGTGGCAACAACATCGTACAGGAAGAACGATCAACATGTTGTTTATGTTTTTAAAATTCAAAATTGTTGATCATATTCGTTTCTTTGGCCAACAACAACAACATTCGTGACAACAGATTGATTTGTGTTGAATCATGGATGACAACAAACATAACAAATACATTGCGAAACAAAGCATAAAATTATATTGATTGTAAATATAACACATTTTATTATAATTTCTCATAAATTCAAATGGTATATTTTTAAAATTTAGACACATTCAAATCGGATATGGTCATTTAATTTTGTTTCGCTTTACGCTCTCATTCATATTATATGTAAAATATTTATAAATAACTTGATTTTTTTTCTGTGTAATTCGTTTTTTCTCTTCTTGAATAAATTTACCCGATGTATGATTCGAAAAGACAATGCTTAATCTTTAATCAATCACTTTCTAATCAATATGAACAACGATTTATCAACATACATTTATAAATATTTAATTAATTAATATCAAGTATTGAAAACATTTGTATTATAAAATAACAAATTTAATAATTTTATTCATTAAATAAAATTTTGAATGCTGATAAAAAAAAATCATGATTAAAATACAGAATTTAAAAAAAAGAAGTTTTCATTCATTTTTTCAAGTAATTTCCAGGCACATAACCTTTTTGGTTCGAATGACTAACTAGCCACCAATCGGAATTACCACTGGTATCATGTTTACACAATACCAAAACTTTTTGACCAAAATTCAATGATATTTGATTCGGGCCAGCTGCTTTGAATGGATATGCAGCCGTATAATAATTATCATCCGGTTTTTTATTCTCAAATTCGTTTTGCTTTTCATTGCTAATAATGCTAGAAATATTCTGGAATGTTGTCGATGATGTTGACACTGAAGTCAACGGATCAAATTCTGCTAGTTCATTTTTTTTATTCGAATCAATTTCTTCTAATGATAATAGTGATGAATGATCACTTCCAAACGTTTCGTCTATTGGAACTGTGGAATAATAGCGTTCTGGTTCAATAGGATCAGGAATCGAAATCTGATCTTCAGCAACTTGATCATAACGATTTAGTTCTTGTTCCCATTGTTTTTGGCTGTTCATTTGTGTCTGATATGGTGTCAACAAATTTCGCGGCACAAAACCTTGAATAAATCCACGATCAATATACCAACGATTTTCATTACCATTAGGCTCCTTATATTTGATAACTCCGATCAAATCATTTTGATGGACACAAATCTCCATAATATCGCATGGTTCATAATTTTTAGTAACAGTGTATAAATGCTTTGAATCGTATTTATTTTTGAGTATTTGACGATTAGATTCGTTTTGTGTTTGATGATTTGAAGCTGATTGTCCTGGTTTTTGCTGAGGAATTTGTTGTGATTGTGTAGTATCGAATTGATATGTTTTGTTTATTGGTAAAGAATTTTTCCAAGTATTACTGTTACGTTTCGAACCTAATCGAGTGAAAGCTGTTAATGATGATGATGATTCTTGAAAGCTGCTTGTATGTAGCAACGAAAATTCTCTCAACATTTGTTCAAAATTCAGATTATGTTTAACCTGGAACGTATCATCAATATCTGAAAAGAATTCGAAAGAAGTGTTTTTCACTAATGGCAATTCATGTAAATCTAATTGATGTTTGGCCATGTAACCGACGAAACGCTTGTGCTCACATAGAAATGCTTGAATACAATTTATTAAGATTTGTAAAGAGGTATCTGACAAAATGGGCAATTCATCTATCAACTGTTGATTTAAGGCTTCGAAAGTGTTTTTTAATAAATTTGTATTTTCCACGCTGCTTTTTGATGATTTCAAACTAGCCTCATAATCGACACGTTTATCATCACGTTTGCTAATCAATCGTACAGGACTAGCAAATTTCTCCAATAACATTGTTAACGGTTTAATAACATTACATTCGATAGATTTTTTGAAAAACTTAAAATGATCGTGATACATAAGGATATATTTTTCACGAATTTGTTCAATATCAAAACGAGGATGACTTTTGAAATCACAATATTCATTGATGGTTTCCATAGTAGATAATAATTCAACATTATATTTGTCCATCGCATCTATATAATCTTTCATATCCTTGAGAAATGTACGAATAGTTTTATCAACTTCTAGAAAAAAATGCAAGGCATTGTCATAGTCTTTGTCTTTGGTACCGGATGAAAATTGCAATGATGAAAGAATTCGATATTTAAATCGTGAACTTTTTTTCAATACCGAATGCATCGAAAGATTTTTCAATTTTTCCGCAAGTGTTGCATCTTTGGCTCGACAATATTTTTGTATAAGATCTTGTCGTCGTTTATGTTCATTTATGCGTGTGGCAATATCCGTGATCATTTGGAAGGCCATTTTTAATGGTTCATAATCGACATGATCTTCTTCAGTGAATTTGATCAATTCATTTAACAATAATGGATATTTGAGTATGCGTTGTACTGGTTTGATCAAAATTGATGATAAATCAAAACAATTGGTCTGATCCTGTATACGGCCAAGACAATTTTTGATGTAACTTTGTGAGATTACATTCCCTATGTAAAAAATTAAAATAACAAATGTTTATCATTACTCCCATCATATCATATTAAAAAATCGATCGAATAATTGAACTAACCTTCATAAAATTTCAATAATGAATGAACTGAATCATGATTACGACAGTACTGGGTGTAACTTTCATTAATTTTAAATTTTAGATCCAAGAAACAGATGCCGACCCTCTGATCAACATAGGCTCGATTATGTGCATAATTTTCCAATGATTTTATCAAATGTTTCGACACATCGATTATGCTTTTCATATCGCTCAACAATCGATCTACATCTACATTCACTTTTTTAGCTTCATATATACTGGAATTGAACACATGATGGCAAACATTTAATGCATGGCAATAATCCTTTTCCGTTTGTAAAAGCTCGGTAATTACGCATTCGCGCTAAAAAGGAAAAACAATTAAAAGATTGATTAACATAAAAATGGATGCATACTTGATTTTGTTTTTGATTTTGAGCTTTTAAATTTGAATTTGTTTCGGATTGTATTGAAGATTCATTTCCATCCAAATCAAATTGATAATGTTCTTGTTTTTCTTGAATCAGAAATTGATTGAATGTTGGAAAAACATCCGAACGGCGTGGTGCAATTGGCGCACGGCGATGTGGTTTAGGCTGAATGACTTGTTCTTGTTGTTGAGAAACAGAGGTTTCTGCAATTTTTTCTTTTTCAAGAACATCAATTTTTGGATAAAGATTTGATGTGCTTATTGTTGCATTTAATGTTGTAATAACAGATTGGTCAGAACTTTTTTGGAATGGTTGACATAAATTCATATGAACAAAACCCACATTACCAACTGAATCTTTCGCTTCAATCCAATCGGTTGTTGTAAAACGCCTCAGCATTGTGACGATATCACCAGCTCGAACTTTTAGATCTTGTTCCATTTCTCCATCAAAATCATATAGGATTTTCGCGAGAGAATCAGAAGGAAAATCAATAGCTTCTACATGATTTTGAGTAGAATCTGCTTGTTTTTGATCTGATTGATGGGCTGAGTTATTTTGTTCTTTACAATCAACAATAATTGATATGTAACTACGAGGAAAGAATCCGATACGACCATGGATTTCTCCTTCCATCCAATCTTGGTCATAGTAACGAATCAATCGAACAATTTGATCTTGACGAAGACTTAGCTCTGAATCATCTTGTGCCTCAAAATCGTACAACGCTCTACCGTATGGTTCCATCTCATTGAACATATAATTAGCATAACCATATGCAACAGGTTGTGAATGAGCGGAAGCATTCATAGCAGCTTCGTATGAAGGGGGTAAATCTTGACAACCTGGTTGCTGCTGCGAATTTTTATCGGCATCCACTTTATTCGATTCAATCTTTGCATGTAATTTTTCGTTCTGATAATCTTTATTCGGAATAGAAATTAGCATACGATTCAAATTTCATTCTCCATCAGTTATGATCAACTTACTTAATATATCCAATATGTCAGGAGGTGGAGGGGGACTGAACGAGGGTGGCACCGGTGATCGTCCATTTGAAGAATTATCAGAATCATGATGAATATCACAGATAGCATCTGCATTCGAAATTCGATTACTACCAGTTGGTTCCGAGTTTTCAGCATTATTTTCGGGGTTGTCAATCTTAACAACAAAATTTTTTGGAAAAATTCCACGAATTTTTCTTGACAATGATTCACCTTCATAATAAAGTTTATCATTCTCTTCAATTATGCCTAATACTTCACCTATAAGAGGTAAATCAATCTCTTGATCAAGTTTTGCTTCCATAGTTTTGACTACTTTAACGTAGAATAGATATTCATTTTTCTTGGTATTTGAAGAAGTTTGTTTATTTTGCTCTGGCAACGTTTTATTTGACTGTATTTCTTGTTTCTCAACACAAACAGTATTATCGATGATAGGATATTTACTGGCAACTTTTACCGGAATTCCACGAGGATCAAATATCGAATCTGGAAGCAAATCGTTTCTTAATTTCCAGACAAAAGTCAAAGGAAATATACCACAATCGGTATCATTGACAAACAAATTATCATTAAAACGTTGTACTGAATTAAGACGAGTACCGTTCCACCAATCGTTATTGATAGGATGAAAACCTGTAATTACGAAATTAATAAGTAACGGAATTTGATCATATAAATTACCTATTATGAATTCAAAACGTGCAAATTTTAAATCACCATCTTCACAATTATTAATAAAATCATGTTTGGCCACAAATACAGCTTGTTTTATTTCAGGAGCGATGCGCAAATTTTGGAACAAATCATCACGCATTTCCCGACAACAATCGATTGGAATCTTTCCAACCTGATCTTCCATATAAACTTCATACCAGAATTTATCTAGTTTTCGAATTAATTGTGCAATCTGTCTAGGTTCAATGGTAAGTTCATCTTCATATTGGCCGGTAAATGATTTGTGAATAGTCAATAAACATTTAGTATGATCTGACATGGCTGTCGTTTCTAATCTAAACAAAATATAAGATTAAACAATAAATTTTAATTAGATACATAAAGATTAATATTAATAACTGTAATAAAAATTTACAACTTGTTGATAGTAGCTTGGATATATTGTTATTTAACATTGAAATTAATAAAAATTATTTCCAATGAATGATTGAATATATTCTATAGAATTATGAACATTAATCATGGTTTGATGAAAGGAAAACAATTGACAATAATGGTCAATCATTGAACTGTCTATAGAATGAGATGGAGTAAATCTCACAAAAGTGATGATAATAATTATTCAGTAATGATAATGGATGTTTAGATGTTTTTTTTTCATCGTTTATTTAACAAGTGGTAGTAGTAGCAGCAGCAGCAGCTAAAACAACATCAATTGTGATCCAAAAAATTTCATTTATTATGCAGTTATGTTGCAAGTGTTGAGAAATCATATTTACAATGTCATCATCATGATCATCAAAAAGATATTATCGTTGTTGTTGTTGTCGTCGTAGTTAAAATTTGATGCGATGCATATCCATGGCCAATACGGTCATTGAAAAAACAACAATCATGACAACAAAATAATAAATACAATGAGGCAACAAATGACGGACGATTATAATGTGCGCATGCTTGTTTTTGGAAATTTTTTTTACGAATTATTTTTGAAATTCGAATTTTTTTTATTAAAAAATAAATTTAATAATTAAAATTGAAAAGGTAAGAGCTAAAAGTTAGTTAAAATATCACAACATTGTTTGAACAAAAATTTTTTTTTGTTGTTAAAAAAATTATCATCAAACTTGATATATTGGTATGTGTGAATACAGGAAAGTTTTTGTTTTGCATATTTTTCATGATTATTGTTCTCGAAAGAAAAAAATTGAAAATATAAGAATCAATAATGGATAAATAATGATGATGACTTAGTGTTGAAAAAATAATAGGGCTAATAATTCTTTGATTAAATTTCAACAACATTTACGTTTCGATTGTAGATCATTCGGATCATTGAGTTCATTATCAGCTGCGATTGAAATCCCTCTAGAGAAAATATATTTTATTTGATTGTAGTTGGTGAATATGAAATGAAACAGTGTCATTTCATTGGAAAATATTGGAATGAAAAAAAAATTTTATTAACATTTATTAATTGACCAATTAATGTGAATCATATTTACCTTGTGACTGTCGAATTTAATGCCCTAGGATTTAGTTGTTGTGTTTGACTGAATGATATCATTTCTATGTAATATTGATGATTAATAAATCAAATCGTGAATTTGGAACAAAAAAAAATTCATAATTATGATCTGTATTGATTCGATAATCTTTAGTTTAAACTTACGTTTAGTTAGATTAAGGAATACATCGTCGATTCCATAATTAGTTTTAGCTGATGTACAATAATGTGTAGCACCGGCTGTTGTTGCATAACTTTGTGCTTCACTTATCAATGCATTATTCATTTGATCACGTTCAATACCCGAAAGTAAATCGATTTTATTACCAATAATCGCTATACAGACATCATTACCAAGAACTTTACGTAATTCTTTGATCCAAACTTTAACCTTAGTCAATGAATCTGGATCGGTTACATCGTAAACAAGTAAAGCTCCATTTGAATCACGATAATATAAAGGACCAACGGCATGAAAACGTTCCTGGCCTGCCGTATCCCAAATATTCAATGTGATGGGTATATTTTGAACGAATATATTTTTGGTTAAAAATGATGCCTGTAATGTAGATTGATTTGTTTCACTAAGTTGATAAATAAAAATTCATTTTTGAAAATTACAAATTGAAATCAATTCAGAGTAATTTACCTGAATTTATTCTCAACATATCTTAACACTAATGATGTTTTTCCCACACAGCCTTCACCAAGTAAAACAATTTTGAATTGTTGTTGACCACTTTTCTGATTTGAAATCGCCGTAGCCATTGTTAATTAATGTGATCGGGTATGTTTAACAAAACTCTGACTCATGAACGAAAATGATTATTGGTATACCGTTGTAATGTTTTTCTAACAATTTTTTAAAAAATAATATGATGTATGCAATGTCTTTGTATTTTTGCCTCAATGTTTAATCATTCAAATGATTAGCACCAAAATAATTGTCGATTATCATCATCATCGAAAGCATTTTCAATGACAACGATATGATTATTAACTTGACAATATTATTTATATCACCAAAAAAAGAAAAAGAAAAAAATTCACAACATAATTTTCGATGAGCATGTTTGGCCACGGAAAAAAAATCAAAAAAAAATAAAAAATAAAAAATATCATCGTATGAAATAGTGTGTACATTGTTAGAATTGCCCAATTCATACGTTGAATTTAAAATGGCTTTTATCATAATTGATGGCGACACTTTTCCGGATATCAATTATCGATTTTCCTTTCAACCCAATTTCCCATCCATTTGATTTGATAAAATCGACAGGGATGCATTTTCAATATTTTTCTTTGAGAAAAAAAATCCCGGAAACATTTCCAATTATGGCCAGAATCATAATTTAGATTTTTTTTGAATCATTAATTTTTCCTGAACAAAATTTTTTTTCCGAAAAACATCATATATATTTGATATAACATGAACAAAATGGAATACAGTAATAATTCGATCGATTCAATTGATCAGGTCGATTGTTTTATCAATAAATATAGGAGTTTCAATCATTTTTCATTTTTATTTGCATTCAATGTGTGTGTATATACCGACTTTATTATTTAATGTCACATCGTAAAATGTATTTCAATAAAATATTAAACAACAATTTTTTTGAAAAACAAAATGAATTTCGATATAAACATACAAACACATTCACACAGATTTTTAACTAAGAATATTACAAGAATTATGATGTAATTAAAATTTTGACTGATAAATTTTTATTGAATGTTAGTATGATAAAAATTGAAATGAAATAAAAAATAAAAAATCATAATCAAATAAATAGAATTATTTTTACTTGAAAATTATTTATCACTCACACACACACACACACAAACAAAACAAACAAACAAACAAACAAAAACACACGATTAATGCAATAATTATTCTGAACAACAATAAACTACGATGATAAATTTCTTCTTTTTTTTTTGATGTTGTAATGAAAATGTTTAAAATGATTGATGACAATGATCGATGATAGATTTAATAATAAATTCAAACATTTTTATGTGAATGTGTCCAATCGAAAAAAAAAGAATGAATGAATGAATGAATGAATGAATAAATAAATAAATAGGCAAAAAAATAATTAGACACCATTTGATTGAATTTTGTTTGTTTGTTTTTGTTTTTGCTTTTTTTTTGGTTTTCATAGTTTTATTTCATCATTTTTTTGGGTTTGTATGTATGTGTGTTGTGTGTTGTGTTAGTGTGTATGTTTGATTACATATCAAGAATATTGAATATTATTATTATTGTAACCAAATGTAATTAAAATGTTTTTTTTTTGTCTTTTGTTTTCATTTCAGATGCAACAAAATGAACGATCAAAAAAAAAATGAAGAAAAAATATAAATTGAATGGAAAATTTCATTCACCATCATTTCCTTCGCTTGATTTACTAAAACCTCGTTTGAAATTAGAAATAACTGAGCCACCCATTTCAACGATTCCTTTACCGGCATTGACAACAGCATCGGCTCCTTGTTTTACCTGGTTTTGACAGAACAAAAAAAGAAAATGAATGAGAAAGAAAAAAAATTTATAAGATTAATTAAATAATCTAATTAAACTTAATCTAATAAGAACAACAACAAAAATAAAAATTATCCGTTCACATGATCCATTTCAAATACAGTGATTCAATCAGATATTTTATTATTATTATTATTAGAATGATTTGATAAGAAATTTATTTCGGAAATAAAAATGTACCCTATAATTCAATGATTAATACTTGAAAAAAAACGAACGAATTTTTTTTTGTTTTGTTATTAATGTTCTGTTAAAAATGAATGTACCATTAAATTTAGACAACAATCAAGATTAACATTATCATCATCAGCATTGTTATCCACATCATCATTATTATTATAGTATGATTACTGGATAGTAAAAACATATATATGTTTTTGCACCAAGATATTCAGATATAAAAAAAATACCAAGGACGACAATATTATAGGAAAATTATATTCAAAGAAACCTTGGAAATTTAGGATGCATTGTATTTTTTTTAAAAGAAAAAAAAATGGCTACAACTATCATATCTATTTTGGCTGGATACATTCATTCATATATGTGCGATCCCGGTCATGGAGCAATTTCAATGACGCCCAATGACGTCAATCAGATATTTTGCCAACAATAAACGAGAAAAAGAAAAATTATTCCCTACTCCCAATCAACCAAAAATAAAAAAGTGAAATGAGTGATTCAACATTCGAAACAACCGGAATGAATGAAAATTGTTTCGATTAGAGATTGCGCACTTCTATTGTTAGGTATTTTTTTTTGTTGTTGCCAATTCTTTTCCAGTGTAAATGTGATCATCATTATTTTGATTTGATCAAAATATATTCATCATCGGATAATAACTATTTATTGAGTATGATTAAAAAAAAATCTGGACGTTTTCAATAATCTCTTTATTGAAACGATAAAAATTCATCTTTCTTTAGATATTCTATTTAGTTGTTTTGATCAGGTCATACAAAAAAAAACATTATCATTATTTAATTAGCATCATATGAATGAATGAATGTAAAGAATTTGATGAATCAAACAAACTTATTAATCAGAATAAAGAATATTTTTTTATATGTTGGTTGGTAATGATGTGATAAGAATGTAGGCAATTTAGTTGAACCCAAACAAAACAAAACAAAATCGAATCAGAATAAATGAAAACTAAGTTTTTTTTTGTGCCCTATTTGATAAATGTTTTTTTGTTTGTTGTTCAACATTCAATTCTTATCGGCAACAATGTCAAATGCATGAAAAACAAAATGCAACAAAAAAAAAAATCAAATTCTTGAATGACAAAACAATAATGGGAAAAAAAAGTATTGAAAAGTAAACGAAAAATTTGGTGCAAACACCATGAACAAAATATCAAAAAGATGATGATGAATTTTGAATTCTACAATATTAAATTCTATTTACTTTGAATTTACAAATCTAAAAATAAGAATGTTTGAGAGACGATCATGCAAATAAAAGTTTTTCGTAGATTTTGGGAACAATTTTTTTCTGTGTGTGTGTGTGTCTCATTCATGGAACTATATAAACAAAAAATTAATGTCAAAAAAAGTCTTAACGCGCGTAATAAAAGGTTCATTATTTTTTTCAATAGAAAAGATTTTGAATAAATTTAATTTACAAAATTCATTCTTGTTTGCCCTCCTAATACCAAACCAAATATAAATAGTGTAGAGCGAAATGATAGATGTCTGTGAATTATCAAAATCGTGACCATCGTGTTTACAACAGATCAAAAAAAATTTGTTTTTGATTGATAAAGACAAAGCAGATTAATCGAATTTCATTTGTGATGATTTGGAATGAAATGAACAAAATATGGAAACACCCAATTATAAATTTATGAAAATTTGTCCTTGGTTTACCATAATTTTTGCTCTTGTTATTAAACATCGTTATATTATATCAAATTCATTTCGAATATGAAATAATTGACATACAACAACGGCGAAGGCGTAACAAAGTTCAATTTACAAAAAAAAGAAAAGAAAATGGAACATTATTGAAACATTGACAGATAATGACATTTAAAACATTTTCAATGTTCCATAATTTTATTGACTATTTTTGTTTTCTTGACAATAATAATCATTTTTGATTGCATCTAGGCAATTCAAAAAAGATATGTGCATCGTGTTTTTAACAAAACAAAACAAAAAAAACTTTAACGGAATTCATGAACTTTGTATTATAATGGAATGAGGATATCAATGATAATGGCGGATATTTTCAGCCATTTCAATCATGTTTAAACCTCCTGATTGGTTCTTATTAATAAATTATCTTAATAATTCTAATTATGATTTCCATAAAATGCAAAAAATTCAACAAAATGAACAATGATAAAGAAAACGTCATTGAAATATGTCAAAATCAAAATGGCTGTCTTGAATTTTTTGCTTTTGTTTTGAATTTTAATTAGAATTTCATATCATTTGTTGCCATATGGTTTTTATTTTCACTCATTGACATTAGGAAGCCCGTCAGCCAAAAAATTTTTGTCCATTGATAATTCAATCATGATCAGGCAAAAATATAAAATTTTTTTCTACATACCACATGACTGGCCTGTTGTGTAAGATTACCAATACCACCCAAAGATGATCCAAAACCAGATTGATCAGATGATGCTGATGCTTCATCTAGTTGAGCATCTTTTAAATCATAATCAGCATTTGTACCACTGGCCGTATTTGCAGCTCCCGTTGCCATATTCTGATTTTTATTTGATTGATCGTAATCAAAATTTTGTGTCATCGACATTTCGTATTCTTATTTGTTATTATTGTCCATATTTATTTATTAACAAATTTATTTATCAATCAAAAGAAAATATCATCAACGTATCCATAGATAATTAGTTTCATTGGAATTGTTGTTGAGACAATACATTGTGATCATGACGATTGATTGATATTGAAATGAAAGAAAAATAAATGTTTAACAATCAAAATGCATTTAATAACAATAAAATGCATGACATATTCGAAACAATCACCTACCTTTGAGAAAAAATTTCGAACAAAAAACACTAAATGAATATTCTTTGTCGTTTTTTTTGGATGCTAAAAATCAATACAATCGATGATTAACAAACGTTCGAAACCAAAAATAGACAGACAAACAAAAAAAATCAAATATTAATTTCTAGTTGATCAAAAATTAATCAATGGAAATACAATTTTCTAAATACAATTAGATAATTGCAAACACATACAATAAATGAATTGAATTATAAATGAATCAAAATATTTATATTCCGACTGTAAATATTATTTTTAACCGTTGTTGTTGCTGTTGTTGAAATAAAAATAGAATCAAATAGCAGATTTATTTATCGTTTTGTTTTCGAGTAATAATGATAAACTTTATTATTATCACTATTATAACGATGTGTTGATGAAATAAAATATTGAAAATGGCAAGAATTATTTGTTAAGGTGTTATTGAATTGAATGATTCGCAAATTCTCTTATTGGTTTATTTGCAATTTTTTTGAAATGAACATGAATTAAATATATATTGAAAACAATATGTTGGATATTTATTTGTGCATAGACAGAATAACGATTCTTCAAACAACTCACAAAAGAATAGGCCAAAAAAATGAAATGAAAACAAACAAACGAACAAAAAATGAGTATGATCACAAGAAAGAGAGAGCTGGGAAGAAGCAAAATAGAATGTATATTATTGGATTCGAAATGAATCCATGAATCTTGAATAGGAAAAAAAATCTATATAGAATTTCATTGAAACTAAGAACTAAGTACAATTTTGTTCATTTCTTTTTTAAACTATTGAAAAAATTGATATGAAGGCCGAAACGGTGGTAGTCGAATTCGTTGTTGTTGGCCAAAATGTTCCAGCAATTTGAAAAGTATAGTGCACAAAAAAATGGTTCTTGGCTACACCGATTACAGTGTTCTCTACATATCAACTATACAAATGATGATGATGACGACGATATATTTCTGGCCAAGGTCGAATAAAACAACAATATCATTGATAATGATGATCATCATCATGCTATATATACCATAACCGAATTTATTTGATCCAAATTTTTTACTTGCTGTTGTGATTTTTACCACTACAAACCAAAAAAAACATCCAACTTATAAACTATCAATCAAGACCATTACATTTAATGCTATACATAAAAATTTTGATTCTTTTGAATGATTTCGTGGAGGTTTTGATTTTAAGTCTTTTCATACAATTTTTAAAAGGGTAAACGAATGGGAATGATGACAAAAACAAGACTGTTAAATGTCTAGTCATCCAAAGTTTCAACATAACCAGTTTATAATGTAATAAATGAAATAATTCAAGTGAATAAAGAGATGATGGTAGTGATGGATAAAAAAATTAACTGGAAATAAAAAATTCATCTGTGATGAATTGGATGACCAAACAATCTAACAACAATGGAAAATTTATTCACAAAACCGAGATCAAAATCAGCCATCCATAAGATCATCTCTCTTGGGTTTTCATTACTCACAATGTTGATGTTGTTATTTAGCGGTTATAATACTTGTGGTCAGACAGTTTATTATAATGGAAAAAAAATAAAAATAAAGAATTTCAAAAGTTATTTTCATAAACAAACAAAATGTTACAATAATAATAATAATAATTGAAGTCAAACAAAAATGAAACTAAAAAAAATTCGTAAAAAAATGACAAATTTTCGTCTCACGAGAGTAAGAAAAAAAAACAGAATTACATAAATGGAAAATTTTCAATTAAAATTCTTCATATAAAATTCAATATATAGAAAAAAAGGAAAAGGAAGATATTTTTTTTTGAATTTTTAATATTTACATTTCGGAAATATGAAAACCATATATGCAAATTTTATGGCGACATTCATTTCGTTAAAAAGAATATCAATAAAAAATGCAATCATCTTCTAAAATTGTGAATTGAATTTTTTGCAAAACGAATGTAAACAGATCCAAAAAAAATGAATCAAAAGCGATGAAAACATAATTATAATTAAGTATAAATTATAGCTTTACTAAAAAGATTTTCTTAAACGAATGTTTCATAACCGAAGTTGAGTTTGATTTTTATGTGTATAAAATTCGATCGATATCAATTTATTTGATGTCAGTAATATTGTTTGATTTGGACTTTTTATTTGTGTTTGTGTGTGTGTGTGTGTTTTTTTTTCTAAATTAAACGAATATTGAATGGAACGAGGAAAATAAAATTTTTCCGTAAACATATTTACAGTCAATATTTCGTAAACGAAAACAAAATGGTTGACAAAAATTTGCAATACATTTTATTGAAAAGCAAAAGTGTATCATAACGTTCGATATAGTGAGATGATTTTTATGTTTTCCAATATTCGAATTGATCATAATCACAGATATTTTATTTATTTATATTGAATCGGATAACAAAAAAAAAGATTCATGAATTTTCTTATCGATAAATGATCAATGGAAAACAATTTGGTGGTAAAACCGATTTTTCATGAGAAAAACAAAGACCAATCGGCAATCGTCATCATTGTCTTATGGTTGGTTGTTTTTTTTGTGGAATTCGATTGCATCGATAAAAATTGACAAAATATAAAAAAAAATTGAATCGATCAATCGATAGATCGACAATAATAATTAGATGTTACGATATTTGATCGAAAAAAAACGAAAACGAGAGTATATAAATGTCGAAAATAATGTCTAAGGAAAATCAATGATGAATGAAATCTTTTTAAAACAATGTTTAACCGAAAATTTTCACTGTTGTCATCATGTTTGACAATCATCACTGTGATCTGTTCATTCAAATTGTTGATCTTTGCTGATACTTTAACGACCGATTCTTGGAACAGTGATGATGCACAAATACGAGCAAAGCCAATTAATCAGGCTCAATATTTTAATCAATTATTATTGAAACAACAAAAATCCAATGGATTTCAGCCGAATACACCATCATCATTGTCAAATCATGATGATACGGGCGTGACAGCTGATGTTACTGGAAATGGTATCGATCATAATGAATTAATCGATGATATATCCTCATCTTCATTACCATCATTGGTTAAAGATAATGGTATCGATGATATTGGTGATATACGAATAGCTGTTAAGAGCAAACGACGTTATGAATACGTTCCGGTTCATTATGATCGTGATGATCAACAACAAACACCAAGAATGATTGAAATTGTTTCGGATACGATGCCATTACGATTACATTTCAAATCTCAATCAGCTGCAATTGTTGTTACACAATCACATATGTCGCGTAAGAATAATAAATATGTTATGTTAATCCTGCCGTAATTAATAAGTTTTTTCTTATCAAATAGCATCAATGAAACCAATTGAAGAAACTGTATCGATGGATGAACCATATCGATTATCACATAAAGCATACAAACCAATTGTACAAGACGTAAATGAAATAATTCAACCTTATCGTAATATTGTTCAACAAGTTAAACCAGTAATCGAAAATATTCGTACAATTGTTCCAAAAGACAATGACATTCATCATCAACATCAATCACCATCATCATCGTTGCCCAATACACAATGGAATGGTCATTTTCAAAAGAATAATAATAACAATAATAATATTAATGATAAAATCAATACGAAAACCTATACGAATCGTTTCTATGAACAACAACGTCAAACATCAAATGGTTATCGTGATCAAGTAAAAACAAGTGAAAGTCAACATCATGGAATACAGAAACGAACAGCATTAAACAAGAATACCGAACCCGATCGATCAATTCATCATAATACTAGACAAAACAATTTTCATAATTTTATTAGAAATCCAAGAATAATTCCAAAAAACAGCAATGACAATCGGAGAAAAAAGAATAATCATCTTATGCAGTTGGAATCAAGTTCACTGCAAAGTACCTATGTTCCTCGAATAATGAATGGCAAACATAATGAAAATGATCAAATAGTTGGTGATCTATATAAAGGTATGTAAATAATAAATTTAATCAATCTTATAGACATAAATTTTTTTTACTTGCAGACAAACTAATCAAAAAGAAAATGGACAATGGTATTGAATATTTTGATTCATACATTCGTCATACAGGGAAACATATAGATTTTTTGGAGCATGATGATGACCATCATCATTCACATGATAATCATCATCATCTTATTGATCATATAATTAATGATAATATAGATGATACTGATACTATGATAGATTTGAGTAGTAATGATGACCATGGTCATGATCATCATTTTTTTAACGTTCATCATTCTCATACACATCATCCTCATCATAATCATCACTATACTGATGATGATAATCACCAACATATTATCGATGATGGTGATGTAATCGCTTTGATTGATAACGATGGTCACAGAATAGACGACCATGATGATCATCATCACCACCATCATCATCTATATGATAATAATCATTTTTTCTCATCGTTTTAAAATTTTCAAAATACTATTGATGGCCATAAGAGATTAAGACTTTTCCCTTGTTTAAATTTGGATTTTCTCTGTTTTAAAAAATGAATTTAATTTTTTTAAATTATCTTTTTTCTGCTCCATTTATGTTTTATGTAACGCATCAATGATAAATCATATATATCAATCACATGATAAATAATTATATTAAAAATAATCATAACAATAAAGACAATTCAAATTCGCTTTCAATTGATCAATTGAAATGAATGGATAAACTAAGAAAAAGAAACAAATGTTTATTTCTAAATTCAAGTTTATTTTTTGCAGCATAATAATAATGAATGAATGTTGAAATAATCTCGAGCAATAGGATCATCATCATGGCTGATTGGATATCGAAATTATTCACAATCATTGATGACTTATATGGAAACAATTATTGATTATGATTATTGTTTCAGAATAAATAAGAAAAATAAAAAATAATTACTGTAAAATCATCATCATCATGATCATTATAAATAATATTAATAATAATGATTCTAGTCACTTTCTTACTCTTATCAATCATATCAATTGATGATCATAAAAAAATCATTGATTCATTTAGTTTGAATCCATAATTGTCAATCATGAATCATTAATACTATACACGCAATAATATATTTATGAAATAACTTTTAATCAAGCTAATTTTAGCATTTTCAGTTGTGTATGTTTGTTATAACCAATCATCATGGTTAATTAAATGATAAACTGTTTTACTACTGTTGAGAATTCATATTGATCAATACGAAATTAAATTAAAGAAAACAAAATAAATATGAAACGATTGACAAATATGACAAATACTGTATTACGCAATGATACAATGATAATTATTTTTTTAAATAAATGAAAACTTTTTATTTTCGGAAAAAATTTACATGAAAAAATAGCAAGCGTTGACGATTCGCGAAACTATTCATCAAAAGAATGAGTGAAAAAAAAGGAAAATCAAAATTGGATCAAATCTAAACCCATTAATAAACGATTTCGAAGCATTTGCAACAATTAATCTGAAACACCTTTTGCTACGAAAAGATTTCATATGTTTTTCTTTATTATCAAGACATTTGAACTAATCATCATCGAAAAAAATGTTCGTTCATTTCATTTATCTCTGTTTGTAATTGACCTTAAAATTTTTCCTGCATTTGGAAATGGGCAATGGACAATATACCAACACACACACACACACGCACTATTTGACAATCATCATTAAATCAAATACTTTTTATTTAATATTTTTTTCAGTAAAAGTTTCGAAAAAAACAACCGCATATCTGATCGACGATAAGTATCTTGGGGAAAAACTTGACATAAACATCGATTTGAGCGATAATTGATAAAATTTAGCCTGTCTCCTTTCAATATAAAAAAAATAAAATGAAACAATTCAAGAGAAGAAAACAAATTTCAAAAGATGGTCATTAATACATATTAAAATGCATATCTTTTTCAAAATTACAATATAACAAAATTATACTCCCGATAAGAGACAATAGTTATCCGTATTTTCTAATCGCAAATTTACAAAATGGACGGCACACAAACAAAAACATATTTCGTCATCAAACATCATTTTGCGGTGATGATTATAATGATGATGACCTCTACAACTATCAATATTTTTTCTTAAATATTTTTTTTCTCTGATTTCGAAACCAGTCTTGTCCGTCAATCAGAAAAAAATTATGATTTCCGTTTTTTTTCGCAAACACAAAATTGTATCCAATTTTTGAAAATGTTTTCTCTCATTGATAAAATTGAAAAGAAATTACAATTGATTATCAATGTCGTTAAAATATTTTTTATTTTTCGAACATAAACATGAAACCCGGATTGTGAATAATAATAATGGGTAAATACAAAAATTGGATGCGAAAAATATTGTTTTTTTTTTCTTTTCATTGTGTTCATTGTCACACAATATTTATAAATTGAAATTGAGGAAGAAAATTGTTTGAAAAAAATATGCAAATTCCGTTTTAAATATGGAAATTGGTATCCATTTATTGTGTCATTGACATTAATTCAATTAATATTATTATCATTATAATCATCAACATCTATAACAACAACAACAACAACAACAAGTTATAATAATGTCAAATTAAAATTGTCATAATTATAGTTGTCGTTTTCAAATGTCTTTTGAATAATTTGAACGAAATTTCATTTTCATTACACTGTTATTCATATATGTCTGTCGGGTATTCACATCGGGAAAAGTGAACAATTTTAATTTTTTTTGATTGGGGGAAAGGGAAAAAACTTTTTTTTTAATGTTAATGATTGTAAAGATGATGATAGGTTTGACAAGAATTTTTTTCTTTGAATCAAATAAAAAAGGGCAATAAATTATTATTATTATGAAGTATATGCATTTCATTGACATTTGATAGGTGAAACAAAATTATTTAATTATTTTCTTTTTCTTCATAATTTTCGAATTCAATGCCCTGGAACATTTATCATCATCATCATCATCATCATCATATCTCATAAAAATGTTGTAGATATAGTCCTGTGGAAAATTTTGTCATTATGAAAAAATTGTTTTTTTAATAATAAAAAGAAATTAAATGTTGAATCCAATTCGCCATTTGTTCCACAATTAATCGTTACAAGATTTATTATTCACTTTTCATTAATATTGCGAATGAAATGATAAACATTTGGATTATCTATCCGGATCAATAGATATGAAATATTTCATCCATACATTCATCATAAATATTTGTTTGTTTGTTGTAAAATTTTGTTTACTTTATTGTAGTTGTTCCATATCGATCATGGCAAATAAAATATTTGATGTTTTTTTCAAAGGTTTACGGTCAAGGTCCTTATGGTATATAGAAAATCTTAATTAGTGAATTAAATCAATAATTATCCGACAAACAATAATAATAATAAAGATCCCAACTAACTGCAAAAAAAATTTCTTTGTAGACAAACATAATCAATTTGAATCAATCAAAAAAAGGACGATATTTCTTTTGTTTCATAATGAAACAACAACACGTGTGTTTGTATTTTTTTTTGTGTGTAGGATGATAAGATTTCTGTTTCATTTCTACTTCATCAAAGTGGTACATCATTGCCGTTTATGGAGTTCACGGATTTGACATAAATTTGACATGATGATGGCCAGATGTGAAAGATTTGGATTAATCATCACAGTTATTGAATGATTTATAATTATCAACATTTTCAATGAATGATTTGATTTAAAGATTGTGATTTGAAAGTTCAGTTTGATCTCGAAACACCAAATGAAAAATCAAATTTAAATAATGATTAACTGAATTAATAAATCAAATTTGAAGAGTGCAAAGGAAAATGAAAATATTTGGATTATCAAATAGTTCATTGATTTAGATCAAAAATTATTAAAACTCAAATCAAACTGATCTACTATTGATCTATAATGCAATAAGTTTGACATAAATGACAATCGATCACGATTTCTTTTAATGTGATGAGAAGATTTTCATTTTTTCTTTGACCAAAAACTTTCGTTAATAATAGCATAATATAATTTGACTTTAGCTTTTAATTTCAATCATTATTTAAATTTTCTATTCAATTTTGTTTTCACTGTTGTTATTTAATTTTGTAATCACTTAATAATTAGTCTACAAAAAATGAAAAGAAAATAAAAGACAGTGTCTAATTTTAGATATCGATGAATTGATTTAAACAAAATATGGTTTTAAAAAAAGTTTATTGAAAATGAGAGACCGTAAAATTCAGTTCAATAATAGAAAATTTTTAAACCTAAAAGCTTATGAGCTTTGTTTATTTTGTTACATTATTTCATGAAAAAATATCTGATTGAATAACAGAAAAAAGAAGCTTTTCATTATTCAGGTAAAGGGGAAGAAAAGAATTTTCATTTTCCGGAATTACAAATGATTAGATTTTCTTTGCATTTTTAACAATGATAATAATAACAATGAGAAGATTTATAATTTTTTTAACATTAAGATATTAACATTGATGATTCAGTTGTTTTTAAATTCATTTCTTAAATGAAATATCGTAAAAAACTACAAACAATAAAATTGTATTCGTTCATGCTTTTCAAAAGAAAATTCGCCAATAATATCGAATTCATTTTCTCTCACACTTTGAATAGTAAAAAAAACAGGATGTTTGTTGAATTTAAAATTGAAAAAATCTTTATTCACCAATTTTGGTCACCCTTAAAATCTATAACAATAATCGAATGAAACTGTTTTTTAAAAAAGGTAAATGTTTTTTTGGTGTTTAAAAAAACATTATGGTCGGAATAGTATATTATAATTAGTATAACAAACAAAATAGGTATGGTTTAATAAACATAATTTCCTAAAAAAAACATTTTCACGTGTATTTCATTGTAAAAAAAACAAAGAAAAAACAGTAAACGAAATTTTTCAAAATGATAATATAACAAAAAGAGAACATTATATAATAGGATACACTAAATTGGAAGAGAATGAATTAATGAAAAATACATTCATATCGAAAAGTATATTGGAAAACGTGTTGAAAAAAATATGTTGGAAGAGAGTCAATGGAAGTCCATAATTTCGACTCTTTTCATTTGTCAAACAAAGTCAACTTGTTGATTTTGTTATCAGTTTTTGTTTTTGTTTTATTTTCAGCCATTTGTTGATAAGGTTTAGCGTGATTAAGAGTATTTAAATAAAAACAAACGAAATTCTCATTAAGGCAATGATTGAAATATTTATGTGAAATACATTTTAAAAATAAGTGCAATAAAATTCTCATTAAAATCTAATCTAAATTTTTTCATAGATTATTTATATCAACAATTTCCGACCGACCAGCTTGTCAAAGTTATCCATGTGTTTTCATTTGTTTTTCAATTTCATTTTTTGAATCAAATTAAAACTTGAGTGAAAACAAAAAGTGTGTAGAATAATTTTTACAAAAAAAAATTAATAATAATAATCTGTGATTCTGTGCCTTAATGATTATGTTCAATTGAATTCAATTTGTTTTTTTAATTTTATTATTATTTTTCTACAACATTCAAACAGGTAAATATAATTGAATCACTTATATGTTATCCAAAAGATTCTAGATTATATTGAATTATATCAAATTTGAACGATTCATTTATTAAATTTGTCACACAGCACGCTCATTGTAATTTTTTCATGTTTCATATCGTTTTTATAAACTAAAAACAATGATAATCAATTTCAAATTATTTGAAGCTCGAAAAAATTTACCAGAAAAATTTTTCCATTTTTTTTAAATGATTACGTATTGAGAAACATTTCCTTCCGATGTGATGAAAACATATTCATAAATCTATTACATTGTCACATCATAAATCATCATTTGTTATAACAAAAATGAAATTTATTCATTTGATTTATGATTTATAAATTTATAAAAATCTTCAACAAATAACAATAACATTTGACAAATATATTTTTTTTTATACAATGAAAATTGATTATATCTTTGCACACAATACTATCGGATGTTTTTATTTTTTGTTGTATTGTTTTAAAATTAGTTATTCAATTGCTCCTATTTCTTCTTTTTCAAATCGGTTATATAACAGCAACAAAATTTTCATACAAATGCAAATAAAGATTTTCAATACATTTTGTGTGTGTCTGTGTGAGAACAAATATTACAAAACAAAACGAAAAAGTTAAAAAATGTTTTATTTTTCTCTTATAATAATGGTGCCGATGATAATCGACCTACCCGATCCAAATCCATTTCGACCACTACTATCATAACCATCAGTCAAGTGTGAAAATTGTATATGAAACAATAATCGTATGATTGTATATGAAACAATTTTGATTTTTCAAGAAGATTTTATTTTTACTAGAATTTATCAATAAATTCGGTTTTTTTTCCTGAAAATCAAAATGGACAAGCATTTGTCTCCATACATACATAAATCGTCGCTTTTCAGGGGTTTAATTCGATTGTCGTTTTGATTATGTCATTTATTTTTCTGTAAGTTTTTTTCACATAGCGAGAAAAAAACCAAAACAGAAAAAAAATTTTACGATTTTTTCTTCATGGTTGTGTTTTTGTTATTCAATCCAGTTTTTGTTATTCATGTTTTTCAAATTAAATTAGCAACACCATCATTATCGAATGGCTGTGACAATAGAGAACAATAACTAAAATGAAAAAAAAGGTAGACTCGGTATTAAGTCTAGAAGCCTGATCGGGTTATATTTTATTTTTCACTTTTCATCTAGTTGTTGTTGTTGTTGTTGTTGTTGGAATAGAAAATTTACAAAAAAGGGAAAAAAATCCTGATCTTTAATTTTTTCTTCTCGCTTGAACAATAATAATTAGAGCAAAATTAGTTTATTTTATAATTTCGTTCATCAGCTCTTTTGTAATTTGAAGATCGAAACGACCGTTATGTATGGGAGACAGAAAAATACGTAATCTTTTTTTCTTTTTCTTTTTTTTATAGAACTAGACGTTTCCTGTTTGATTATTTATGTGCCATCGATTATCAACAATTTTTTTAGTTTTTTTTTCATTTAATCAGATTAAATTTCTTTTCATTTCATAGAATTTTCAAACAAAAATGTTATTTTCGTGGCAAATTTTCATCACATCAGCATTCATTGCTTCCGTTGGTTGTATAAAACCGGATAAAGATGAAATGATTGCTGAAGAAAGTGAACGATATTATTCTCCATTGAGATATTCATCACCGGCAGCACAACAATCATCATCACAATCATCATCGGGATCATCATCATCCTCATCGTCGAATTCTCGAAATGGTGGAGATATTTATAAAAAATCTGCATCTGAATATTGGCCACAAATGACAGATGACCATTCATCAATGATGCAAGATCCTTATTCTGATAATTCCCCATTTTATCCAATGACTAATTCAATACAACAGGCAGATTATCTAATGACCAGTGTCAATCAAGCATACCTGAAAGGCAAAGATATCAATGTTATGCCGGATCATAAACCAATTACACTTCATTATCGGACACATGCACAGCCGATTGTCGTACATCAGACACGACTTCCAGGTAATAATAATAATCAATCTTTACATTTATCAAAATAAATCTTGAGTATGAGTTATTAAAATTTTAAATTAATTTTGTATTTTTTTCTCGAAAATAACATTAAATGAAATCAGATGATCATAGCATATAATTATTGAATATAATCTTATTAGTATGATGACGGCCATTATCATTTTCGAATTATTTTTTGATAATTTCCTGAAATCGTCAGCTCAAATGAATTAACATTATTTGCGGTTGAAAATGTTTCAAGTTAAAATATGTAATAATTATCTCATTTTCTCACGAACATAGGACCAAAACCCGAGGTCAAACATACAACATCACATGAAGAGCCGCAACGTGTCGTACATGAAGTAATACGGCCAATCATTCAAGAAGTTCATGAAATTATTCAGCCATATAGACGTGTCGTTCAACAAGTACAACCTGTCATTGAAGAAGTACGTACAATTATTGCAAAAGATGCGGGAAAATCATCTAGTGGTATGGGTGCTGCAAATATGGATCGTGGTTCATATTCGTCAGCATCAGCATCATTACCACAATTAATGTCTCATAAACCAAATCCACATTATCAACATCAAAGTGTTTCCGGATCAAATGAAGTTTTTCGTCATTTAAGTCCAAAAACATTACAATCATATCGAAAGGCAATGTATGAACAAAGTAAATCGTCCGAAGATGATCACGTATTACCAATGGCAACTACAAATAATCAACAAAACAATCGTTTTATTCGATCACGAGTATATCTAACACCAAAAGGCGAGCCAGTATATCAATCCAATTATAGACCTCCAGTTTATTTAAGCGCTTAATATTGATGACCATTAATGATTTTTTTCTAAACAATAACTAAAAAACCTAATCGATTGAACAATCAATAGTTTTTAATTATTGCGTAAATATCTTGGCAATCATCATTATAATCACCCTAAAAACACATGAATACTACCATCTATAATTTATTATCATCAATCCATAATTTAGTGATGGCAATTGGATAATCAGAAAAAAATTTAATTTTTTTCAATCAATAAACTTATTCTGCAGTCTAATCCCACCATACAATCCTTATTTTATACATTCATTGGTTATTGATGTATTATGTATAATATTTTATTATATTCTTTTCTTAATAAAATGAAAATTTTTATATTAATAATAGCAATATATGAGGAAAAATAATTTCCTAAATAAAATGAACAAAATTATTATTTTCTGATGATAAACAATAGTGATCATGATAATTATTTTCATTATTATAATCATAATCATCAAGCGAACAACAGAAAATTCAAATAATAATTGAAAAAAAAATAAAAAATGTCATTAGACTTTGTATTCTGTTTTTGATTATGGTGTTCATAATCGTTTCATAATTAGTAACAATTAAGAATAATATGATGAGTGAAATAATTCTGATTCGATAAAATGAGATAATTCATTTGGATTTTTTATCGTAATTATCAAAATTGAACATTATTATGAAATTGTTATTTTTACAGTTTTTCAATAGGAGAAAATTCCTATGGATAAAATCAAGTAATATAATTATTTGTTATAACGATGATGATGTATTAGAATTTGAAATATGCTTGAGGACTATTATATTAATTGGATGTTTAGCATGCGTTTAATTCGTAACAATTTACATTGTTCCTGTTATTGTCGTCATTCTTCATCAGCCGCCGTTTCAGTTGTCGTCGATGATGATGATTGGCTTGTTGATGTTGATTGTTGTTGTGTTTCAGTTGGATCTTCTGATTCATATGGAGGATATTTATAGTAACTCATATCGCGTCCTAATTCACTATTATTGGCTCTTTAATCAAAACATCAAAATAAAAAAAGTAAGAATATTATAATTAAATTAAAAGTGACAACAATCTGACTTACTTATCGAAAATTGATTTAAGAATTGCAAAACTATGTCGGTAACGTTTTTCATTCTGTCGTAAAGCTTCAAGATTTTCTCTTCTTGTTTGCTTCCAACCGGGCATATTAAGCTTAAGCAATTCCTCTTGACTTAGATTTTCCATTGAATTTAGAAACGATGTATCATTGAATTGACGAGGATTTTTTTTATTTCGCACTTTTTCGGGGATACGTAAATTTATAATATTACCATCTTCATCACGAGGTAATGGCTCAGGCTTGGGAAGATGACATACATCAACTGGACTGGCTGAATATGGACCATCTGGATCGGGTGGTTCATTCATAGGTGGTGGCTGTGGATTGCGTTTACAACGTAACATTTCTGGTATACCAATTTTATCACGTGCCCAAAGTCGACAAATCGGATATAATGGTATATATTGATTTGGATTCATTTTACAATATGACGTTAAATCAACTGATTTTTCAAAGACTTTCACAACAAATTCATTAGCTGAACCTTTGATTGGAGATACTTGTTCACTGGTTTCTTTGCGTGATTTTTTTGGCTCATATTTAACACGACGACTTTTTAGCTCGTAACCATCAAATGCAGAATCATTCTTGTTTGCATGACCATTTTGCGGTCGAGTTTTTATCTGCATCTGATTCAAAAGTTGACGAAATTTATTCCGAGATTCGATTAAACTGTTTGCATTTTTACGTTTTCCATATTGTTTTCGAGGAGTTATATTGCGTTCATTACGTTCGTTATTATTTTCGCCACTTTGCGAATTATTATCAATGCCAAGTATACTGTCTTCATCTGATTGCAAAGATGGAATTTCGGCCAAATTATGTGTATTTACTTTTTTATTTGGTGGCGTATATATTGGGTAAAACTTTGATTTATGATTACCAAACAAAAGATCAATATCATCGAATATTTGGGAAAGACTTTGACCATTTTGTGAAAGACTTTGACCAGTTCCATTTACAATATCTCCAGTCTTTTCACTATTTTTTGTTTGTCTTCTTGCAATTCTTGATGAGGCTCGACTTCGATTCATGATTTTCAATGTTCACCAGATAAAATAGAAAAAGAAATTTTAAAAAGAAATCAAAAAAACATTCACTATTCTTCATGCAACGAATTCTACAATTTAGAGATTGCAAATTTTGCGCTCAGTAAAATGAAAAATACAAAAAAGAATCGAAGTAAGGAACGAATTCATCGATAATACTAAGTGAAAATTTTTCTATTCCATCATTACCGCTACCACTGTGTGAAATAACAAATTTTGTCTAAATCGTATGTTGAAAGATGTAGCAAAATTATTTGTTGATTTCGCATTCGATCATCAGATGGCGATTCAAAATAATAATTATCATGAAAAATATCCTTTCGCAGTTTTTTTACAAGTTTTTTTAGCAAATCAATTGAGCGATAAAAAATAGGAGTTGATTATCGACAAACTTTTATTGATTTCCATTTAATCGATGAAATATTTAACACGTCATCTATTTGAGCTCAAAAATAAATTTATTTTAAATTCTCAAATCAAAATGAAACAATTCACAATTGATAATAGCCAAAAATTGGATGATTTGATTAAAGAAAATGAAGATAAAAAAGTAATTCTCTTGTTTACCGGCACTAAAAAATCCGATGGTAAAAGCTGGTGTCCGGATTGTGTAGTAGCCGATCCGGTAATCGAAAGTGTTGTAAAAGAAATTTTAGATTCGGATATGGTTTTCGCTACAGTTTTTGTGGGAGATTTACCAAGGTGAGTGATTAGAATCAAAATTGCTGAATATAATAATTACAATATTTTTGACTTATCAGCTGGAAAAGTTCGGATAATGCATTCCGAAAACATCCAACATTTTCTATTAATTGTGTTCCGACACTCATCAATGTAAAAATGGTAAGTGTATAATTTCTCATTCCATGATTAATTAATCATTAATATTTTACAAAACAACAAAGAACATGCGATTGGAAGAAGGTGGTTGTGCCGATAAAACATTAGTGAAAAAATTATTCGAAGGTACATTGGAAAAAGGTTTAACAACTAAAGCTGGAACCTGTGTGGACGGTGTTTGTCGCCTCCGTTGATTTTCATGATATTAAATTTTTCTTGATAAAAATAATTTTACAAAAAAAAGAAATTGATTAAAATTAATTTTATTTGTTTAAAATAAATTACCATCGGAACTTTTGTGACTAGATTTGCAAAACAACAAAATAAACACACATACAAAAATCATCAATCAATATAAGACAAAAAAATTAAGCACAAAATGTTAGTTAGTTTGAAGAGAAAAATTGATAGGTATAATTGTTTGGAAAAAATGAGAACAAAACGATAAACAAAAAAAAAGACAAACATTGCACATTGAATAAATCAAATCTTAACCATGATGGCGATGCGAACCATGTGGATCAAAAAAAAAAAAACAAACAAACGTCTTATTCTGGATTATATTAGAAAAAAGAATTGATTACATAAAAATGATGCAATGAATTGTTTCGAGAGCATCAATAGCAAACAAACAAAACAAAAAACAAACTGAACAACCGTTGATAAATAAATCACCCATGGAAAAAAATCATGATGAAATAAAAGAAAATGAAAGTTTTAGCAGGTTTATATATAAAATCACTTGTTGATTTGCCTTTTCAAATGATGGTTGTACCATTGATATAATTATTTGATTCGGAAGCATTTGCCAAACCATTTTGTTGATGTTGTTGTTGTTGATCATGACTATTATCATAATTATCAATAATGTTACTATTTCCAAAAACTAATGATGCTGATGATTGAGAATTGGGCATGAAAAAACTTGATGGCTGACATTCTAATGTTGGCAAATGACGCATTTTTAATGATCCATCAGCACCGCAAGAAAATAAACGGCCACATGTATCGATGTATAGATGAGAAACACCCATTCCGATGTTACGGAAAAATGTATTACGTGCATGTTCACCCGGAAATGAATGCAGAAGCGAACGAGTAGATCCATAAAATGACCAAACCTTGAAAAAAATGAAAAATTATCAAGCAAGTTTGTTAATACTACAAAAAATAAAGAAAAGAATGTACCTTAATATCACCATCAGCCGAACCAGTAGCAAAAAATTCTTCATTAGGTTCCAAGGCAATACATTTAACAGCAGAATCGTGTGCATGAAAATGATCTTTTTGAATACGTTGTCGAATATCGAATATGAATATATCGCCTTTTTTACCACCTGTTATAATTGATTGACTTAATGGAGCAAATACAATCGATGAAGCACCATTATGTTCATGACAAGCAAATGTCAAGACAATACTACGTTCACGCGGTACAAGTGTATCGATTAGCACTACATTGCGATGATCAGTTGAATGTCCGGCGGCCATCAACAATGATGATGATGATAAAAATGTAAAATCACTGGTAGTCTTATTGTGACATTGAAAACTCTGAAAAAGAATTTATTTAAAATTTGAATTTTCCAGTGATAATATTCCATGATACAACATACCCAGAATGGATTAGCACTAGTATTTGTTGTTTGCCATAATGATAATGTTCCATCACTATCAGTAACACCAAATTTACTACCGGGTTGACTGAAACCAACATGAGTAACTTTAGCATAAGTTCCAGCTGGCCTTGGTGTTGATATGGGCTGTTGATGAGTCCATTCCCACAGCTGAACACAACCATCTTGACCTCCGGATAAATCTGGAGAATAAAGAAGATAAAAAATTATTCATCAACAAACAAGATCCGAAAAAAAATAAAACACTGAAAAAAATTACATAATGGAAACGTCGGATGTGAAGCCAATCGGCGGACGGTTTCAGTTTTATGTCGTTTCATCTGAATAAATATTGAACAAAATAAAAAATATTTTTCAGGTAAAATGATTAATGACAATTATAAAAAACTTATTAAATCAAAATTTAAAATAAAATAAATAAATTAAAAATAACAAAAATAATAATAATAATAAAATAAGCAAATGAATGAAAAAGGATAAAACAAAAATGACAATGGGCAAATCGAATGAAAAAAAAACTGAAAATGAAATTAAATAAAATATTGACAAACTTCATATTGAAAATGATTTTAAACAAAACACATCATTAGCTTACCGGCTTAAAAACATGACGACTTCTTTCAAAGATATATTGACAAAAGTAAGGATTGGTATTGCCTTGAAAATGGTGTTTAGACTGATAACGGAAATATATTTTGTTTTGTTTTCATCGTAATTGGGTGTGTGTTTTTGATTTTTTTTTTGTATTGTTTTGTATTTTTATTTATTAATTAATTTTTTTTTTGAATTGGTTTTAATGTTTGATTTGGGATAGCATTTCGATATTTATGATTACAAGTTAAGCACAATAAAGAAACGATATAGAATGAGAATGGAAAAGCCGGATAGCAATAAGAAAAAGAAAGAGAAAAAGAAATTTTTTTGGTTGAAAAAAATAATGAAAAATAATTTTTTTAAATTTTCTACAAATTCTAAATAATTCTACGATCACATCCACACAAATACACACAAAATTAATTGGATCTTTTTCATTCAAAACATCCAATTTACCCATATGAATAATGAATTCAATTGGATATTTATCATCAGAACTCACCAGAATGGCTTGTTTAGTAGGCGTTTGTTGTTGTTGGCTACCACTTCCAGTTGTATTTACAGTCGATGATTGTTTTTGGAAAGCTAAACCTCCTGGAGATGTTTGTAAACGATCTGCTGGATGTTGAACCAATAAAAAGTCAACATGAGATGATGCTAATGATGTTTCAAATGATCTTTTAAAAAATAAATTGATAAATTTTATAAAAATCATAAACAATTCTATAAAGATTTACCTTTGTTTTAGATTGAAAATATCCATTTCAGTATCTTCTTCCAACCAAGGTACACATACTTCAAGTAATGGTTTAATATTAAGCTCTTGTATTTCTTTCGGTGTTGATAAGGCAATCAAACCAGTATTCGAACGATTAACACAGAATGCACTAATATTATCTTGATCCTTATGAACAATACGCATCGGTTCAAGAATACGTCGCGATGCTGATCCAAATGAAGCAACAGATTCGGCTTTAGCTGCTTCAACATCTTCATTTGTTGGTTGTGTACCAGTTTTTACATTATCATTAGTATCATATTGGTCATTAACGGCCACTCCTGAATTAGCAATACAAACGGATGTTGCACCATTTTCCTGAGCTAATTTCATCGAACGATATTTACCAAATATATAACGAATGAAAATATCCTGAACAGATGGCTGTCGAATCAGATAATTCCAAAGACGTTTAGATGATTTGATTGATGTATAACCGGCACAAAATGGTGTATTATTAGTTTCGAATAATGATTTATATCGTTGTATCGAACCGCTTGAACGACTACTATCGACAAACATGTTGGGTAAGAAATGATCCGGAAGATTTGTGAATTCATTCATATAGAATTGCAATGAACATTGCCATCGAAGTATTGTACGCAATGTAGAATGAATTAATGGGCTTGTCGTAGGAAGATCAGCTTTTTCAAGACCGGCCACTTGAAGAAAATTAACAATTTGTTCATAAGCAATTTTTGTCGATGCTAATCGAATGATACACCAAGCATATAGTTCACATTCGAGATTGGCTTTTTTACGTTCAGCCAATTTGTCCAAATTACTTTTTGTGGATTTCGAACCACTTGCCCATTCATTATATTCATCATCATCAATTATATCGCTTGTTTTAAATTTATTCGACAATGATATTTCATCATTTTCATCATCTAAATCATCTTCACTGCCAAATGAATCATAATCCAAATGTATTAAATCATCAGGTAATTCTGGTTTGATCATTAAATGATTGATAATTGATTTGTTTGGCGGAACAAATACTTCACGATATGTAGGTCGTTGTTCAACTGGTGCTAATCCCCCAACTGAATTAGCTTGACCTGGTTGTTGTGCCATAAATGGATTGGTTATACTTTGTAATGTACTACTTGGAGAGGTAGCAACATTTCCAACAACTTCTGCTGCTTGATTCAATTGTTCAAGAATTTTCATATGTAATTTCATACGTTGTTTGGATAATGTATTTAGCAGATCATAATGTGGTGAACTTGTTGAATTTGCTTCATTTAATGCCGTTTCGTTTGGTGATATTGAACCGGGGCTCTGTCCCAAAGTAACTGTTGATGTTGAAACATATAAAAGTTTTTTAGCACCACCACCAAATAAATCACCCCAACTTTTTTCGGAAAATTTCACACCAAGCAAACGATAAAGAATGTTTGAATCACAAATTGTTAAAGCATATATAAGCTGGCTTAGATAAACGGCAACAAATCCTTCGCATAGTAATGTGTGTAATTTGGGAAGATCTTCATCTTTTTCTCGTACAATCAATGCTTGTAAAGCTTGAACACCAGGCCATTTAGCAGGACTTGTAGTTGGACCAGATTTATCTTCCGAATTAGTGTTTCCCGTAGAATCCTTGGCAGCGAGATCTTTGTCTTTGTATCGTGATAGAAATGATTTTTTATTGACACTGCTTGCAGGTGCATTAATAGGACTACCTTGTGAAACTGAATCACAATCACAAAGTGATTGATAGACACAAGATGACAAGGATATACCGAGATCTCTAAGAATATGTATCAGTGTATACAAGGTTCCAATAAAATTTTGTTGTGATATTTGCGAATCTTGTGTCGATAACAATGAAGCGGCAGTACCAGAAACCATGAATGGAGGTAATGATAAAAAATCGGGAAACGAAAAATGATTTGTATTATTCCGTATGTGAACAATGGTGTTAATCTCGGTTAATGTTTGAAGAATATCATGTGCCATTGATTGTAGGTGCCGTATAGGATCGGCAACAACAGTTTTTTGACTAGCGACCGAAGCAGTCAATAATGGTAATGTTGTAGGCAATGGTAATGGAGATAGAAGCTGTTGTTGAGGCGATCGATCTTGTTGCAGCTCCTGTAGTAATAATATTAATTCCATTCGTACCGAAGCTAATCCACCACCATGTCCACCATGAAGTGAACAATAACTGAGCAAATTAAGAAGTAAAGCTTCATTAGCTAACAGCCAAGATTTTCTTCGATTACATCGTTCTAATTTTGATTGAAAATCTTCTTTATCAGCCAAAAGGATTTCATGTAATGATGGTGCTACTGATGTAGTTGAATTGTCGGATGATTTACGATTGCCAACAACTTTGACTAAAATACCGCTCTGTTTATTACTCAATGTTGATGAGCCTGTTGTTGGAACTAAACTATGGCCATGTTGACTATTATCAATACTAGATCGATATGAAACTGAACGCATTGAAAATGTATGATATTTACATATATCTTTGAGCACTTGCACAGATCTTTCAAGCCATATATAAAGCTGATATCGAAGCTGACCACCATCCACTTCGAAACCAGTGGCCAATGTGCTAAGCTCTTCCATAATAATTTTTAAACAGGAAATGAATTTAAATTGTTGAGCCATCACATCTATTTCAGTCGAATCGGAATCTTGATCTTCCTGCGCATTTCGGTCATTGAATAAATTGTCATCACTTTCACTTAATTTTTCATTTTCAAGCAATACTTTTTTCTCTTTAATTTCTTCATCAGATATTTCATCATCTTCATCTTTACCTAAATCAATTTTCAGTTCAAAATCATCCGTTTCAACAGGTGCAAAAAGATTAGATGCTGGTGCACCCCAATCAAATCCACCACCGCTATTACTTGAAAACAAATCTTCCGCTTTAGCTGGTGGTTTAGCAGTTGTTTTTGGTTCAGCCATATGACCTACAGCCGTAACTGCATCAGGAATGGATAATCGTCGACTACATTCGTCAATTTCATTCTTTTCAGAATCCGATACAATACTTGTCGGTAATCGTGACAAAACTTCTAATGCTAATGATGGACAACCAGCTTGAAGATGGCGATAAGCTGTCAAGAAAAATAATCTTCGTTCAAAAGGAGTGACAGCCACAGCATCTTTTGATTTATTTGATGATCGAGTAAACATATGAGATTTTTTCGATCGTAAAGTTGCATCCTGAATGTCGATATTTTGTCTTGCAACTTGTGCACGTCGTACAATCAACGGTTGAGTCCTTAGATAAAGATAAAAGTTGAAAACATTTGAATTTAATCCTTCAAAACGATCTCTTCTCAAATTGACCAATTCTGATTCATTTGGAGTTGTTGGTGATTGAATATCAGGACTATTTGTAGTATAATGTTTAGTTCCAACATTTATTTCTAACAATGTGGATAACGATAAATTATATTCACCAAGCATCCAATAAGCCATACTTCGAAGAAAAGGATCTGGATGTGCATATTGCATATTCTGTACATTTTTTTGATAGCCAAGAATTTCTTCATTCAATAGACGTTTCATTGTTTCCGGTACAGCATCAATATCACTCCCTTCATAAAGACGAATAATAATCATTGCTAGCTGTAGATCATTTAATTTATTTAGACAAATTTCTACAGCATCCCAAAGTGAACCAGCCAATAGGAAAAATGATACAGAATGTTCAAATCGTTGTTTGCCCATTAAAACATAAGCATTTTTTAAGGCAGCTTTTCGCCATTTATCTTCGGCAAAATTATGCGAAAAAAAATCGGTCATTTTTTTGTCCTGACAAGAACGATACAATCCCCAGACAAGATTTTTCTTTTTCATAGCAAGATAATATAATGATGCATCTAGTGGATCATTTTTTGCTTTGAAAGCTGTTTTAGCTAAACGTTCAATAACTTTTTTCAGAAGACTATTATTTCGTATCCAAAAACCGACACCTAATTCACGAAGTTCTTGCCAACCAATTTTATTCGATGAAGCCAGGATCAATTGCACAAGTTCTTCTTGAGTTTCCGAATGAAATGCCCAGATAATATTGTGTGTACCAAGACCGTTTCGTTGTAATGTACTTCGTTGTTTTAATGACAAACATTTCAACAAATATACATGTTGTCGCATGTTTAATAAATACCGAAGACCACAATCATCTAATGAATTTGCCGTTATAGTAAGTTGTTGTTCATCCATTACACCGGAATCATCAGTTAAATTCGTCGATTCATCTTGAGTAGATCGAGCTTGATTCTGATCAATTTCATTGAACGATGCCAAAGAATCGGCTAAAGCCAAAAGATGCATCTGATCCAGACTGGTTAAACCGGGTAAATGTGAATGTGTTAGCAATTTGGTGAGTAATCGAGCTTGTTTTTGGTCAAAATGAATAGAAATATGTAGCTCGGTATCGGAATCTTGTTGCTGAGATTGTTGAGATTTCAAATATTTATTGGTAGCGACATTAGAAAAATTAAAAGCCGTTCGATTTCCAAGAAATTCATCCAATGTTTCTTCCACTTGTGTTTTGTAATTATATTCTAGAAAATCTGAATCTAAAACTTCGTTTGAATCTAAATTCCATGATAAGCCTGAATCTCTGACCACAGATTTATCATTATCATTTGTTGCAATTTTATCTTTGGTCACTCCTTCGTCAGCTTGAATTAAGGCATACAATGGTAATGGTCGTATTGATGCGATTTCGGTGTAATCCAATTGAATTTCTTCCGCTACAATCGGAGCATTATCAGCATAGGAACTATCATTAGAATGAGCATCTCTTGGCGAATGTTGAGCTGCCACTGATAATGCACGTGTTCTCGTCCATTGTCTTGGACTTCGATCAGATAAGTCGAAACTAGCATGTTGTTGCTGCATATTTGCTGGATGATGAAGATATTCTTTAACTGAATTGATTGAACATAATGAATAAACCAAATGTGAAAGAATGGCACGAACACGATGAATTTTTCCAAAAGCCAATAATTCCATCAATTGTTTGGGATGATATTGTGGAATAACAAGTGAAGAATTGTGAAATGATTCGAATACACCAAAATCTTCAAATTCATCGGAAATGATTTTATCGCCACTTTTAACAAGTGCAAAACTAGTTTCTGAAATCGGCTGTTCTTGTTGTTGTTCATTAATTTTGTTTTCTTTGCCAGTGAACATTCGATCAGATTGAATGTCAACCGAATCGAATGGATAATAAAAAGCTAATGAATTTCTATGAACACGTGATGTAAGATTTTGCTCGAAAATGATAGGCAATGATGTTGGTAAACGAATTTTCCATTGTGAAAATATCAACATTTCATTATCCATACCGACAACAAGAATACCGTCGCGTACCCAAGATAATTGCATCGGTAAGGGAGGCAAACCATCAATAGAATTTAATTCGGCAACTCTAAGCATCATCCATCGGGTAACTGGAACAGTACTTAACGAGAGATCTAAAATGTTCGTTCGAAAACTATTTGGAGATGCAGCGGCAGCGGTTGACTGTTGTGGTACTAATGCCGATGGTGATGGTGAGATTATTTTTTCAATTCCAGCATCAACATTCGCTGGAACAATAGTATGTGAAATCGGAGCAAATAAAATTAATTTATGTCCAACCGAACAAGTAAGCATATGGCAGCCATCTTCGGTAGAAACCCAATCCAATATGATAGGTGATTTTTGGCAAAATGTGAACTGATTTCCTTGTTCGGCAATAGTTTGTTTCAATGATTGAAGTGTAGAACAACTGGGCACAGGATGAATTTTTTGTTGTTTATTGTTTTGCAATTGAGCATTTGGATCGGGATGCAAATCAGTCATGAATGGATTGGAAGCTTGAATATTTGGTGATATTTTTTGTGGGGATTTACGATTACGTAAAGTAAAATCGATTAATGATCCTAGATTTTCTACCGATGATTTTCCGATCAATGGAATTCGATCCACCCGAATCGTATCTTCTAGAACCCATTCTGAACCACCGGATGATTGACATTCATAAATGGATATACCAACATTGATGAAACGACATTCTTTTTTAGCTTTTATTTCATCAAATGATTTGATTTCTTCTTGTTCATCAGAGAGATCGATATAAGAGTGACCATACTTGAAAGCACAAGCAATGCGTGCAGAATATGCACACGAAATCTGCAGAGGAGATCCAGGTAATTCGATTATGCTTGAAGTTGATTTATTAATCGAATCGCATTTCGATAAGGATTGATTACCAGTGATGGCCATTTCCCATTCAATCCATTCAAATTTTGGATCATTATAATTTACATCGTAATCGGATGTTGAAACTTTACAACTCCAAAAACGGACACGATTATCGCTACAAGCGGTGGTAATCAAATATGGAGCATAACAAGCAGGATAAATGTTTGAAGAGCTAAGATGTCCGGCCGATGGTGTAGCATGTATGATTTCGACATCTGCTGGCAACGATAAACGTTGTGTACAGACTTTTTTAGTTTTGATACGTGAAGGGGTTGTTTGATTCGCTTGATAATGACCAGCGTTGTGTTCGGGTGAAACACTTTGTGAACTATCTTCATCAAAAACATTTGACTGTTCACTGAAATGTGGTAATGTCGATGATAAATCGTTATGATTAGTCGATCCAGATGAGATAGTTATTTGCCACATGTGCAATGTGGATATTACACCGGTTGTTTCGATCACAACTAAATAGAATACTTCCTCAAAACTTGTTGAACCAAAATCGACATAATCATGGGGATTAAAATTAAAAGGCAATTTATCGGTTTTATTCGAATCAACACTGCGAGGAGGAATGGAAGAAGTTTCACGAGCAGAAACAGCAGTAGAATTATCTATTCGAATTTTACGATCACCAATGATCAGTTGTTCTTGAAACAGATGTAAAAGTTGAGTATTTTGCCAATCATGTCGTGCATCGACAATTGGACTCAATTCAAGTACACAACCAGGTCTAGCGGTTGATTGAAGAGACACAATTTTGAATAAACTTCGGAAAGCATCATGATCGATTTTATCTGTATTTTTTCTCTCTCTTGTTGTTGTCATTTCTTCATCTTCGTCGTCGGATGAATCATAATAAAATCGGCGTTGATCTTTGGCACAAAACATATAACGTTGAGCTTCCGCTAATAAGGATCGAGCATCAATTACTACTTGATAGATACGTAATTGACGACCATCTGAAGCAACAAAACATGCACTTGGAGAATTAGTTATTGGTCCTAATGCTGAACTTGGTAATAATGTTGGAATCCAAGCCACATTTGCAAATGATGTAGGTTCAAGTGAATTTATACGTGCTAATTCAGTAACACCACCGGATTTCATTAATGGACCGACCGGTTCGACTTTCCAGAGAATCAATTCTGAACAGAAACCAGTGTTTGGAAAGGTTCGCGATTCAACCATTATTTGTTGTTGATTAGGCGTCGAAGGGGAAACCAAATATGCTGTTGAATCTGGTGTGTTGGGTGTATGATCAAAAGGTGAAACTGAATGTGCACGACTGCGAAATGTTCCGGGAAGATTGTGATGAGAAGTCGTTAATAGCAAAGGTAAAACCGGATGGCAAGAAATATCGTTAACACGAAAACGATGACCACATACTCTAAGTGAATGACTAATACTCAACAACTGTGTAAAATGTCCTTTCTCACTAAACGATAATTTCCAAAGATTCAATGATCCATTATTATGTTTAGTAATCATACGCAATGTGGGTGTGGCATAACAAGTAGGACCAAACAATGGTTGTTGCAAATTATGTTCTTGATGAGTTTTATGAGCTAAATTAATAGGACGATTTTGATCGGTGGCCGTTGCTGCAAAATTTGATTGTAATGCAGCATCGATCATACTCGATGCGGATGTGCAAAATATCGTTTTCAAATTCAAACAACAATATGGTGAATAAAGAGAAACGTTATGTGACATGGTCGAAGCATCGCCCAAAGGCAAGGAATTCGGAATACGAGATGAGAAGCTGATCTGAGGTTGACGAAATACAGATGGACATGGTTCATCCAGCCATTCGACTAACCAAACTAGTAAACTGCCATCCAATGGATGAATACTGTAAAGCAAATCAGAACTTTGATTCCAATGACGCATTAGTGATTCAATTTGACGATCCAGAAAATCGGCGACAGTACGACGATTTTGTTGATCTGTTCCTCGATCCTGAAGCATTGCCGATTGATCTGGACCGACAGCGGTCATAAGTGATACGTTTGATGAGGAATTACGAGACGATGATGGAATTGCTGGTTGCGCTGAACCTGGTTGCTGATGTGATTGTAGCGAACGTTTTGTAACGAATGATTCAACAGTATTTTCGCTCAATGCTTGTGATGCTTCGGACATTTCATCTTGATCTCGTTGTTGATCAGCCTGTTCTTGCTGTCGTTTTCTTTGTTGTTCACCCTCAACGATGCTTGCGACTATTTTATGCAAAATACGTTCAGCACTTTGTGTGAATGTCATTTCTTTATTATTAAGCCAATTAACAACAAACAATGGTTTATCTGATTCTTCATGATGATGTCGTTGCTGATGGCTATGCCTATTAGCTGATGAAACGTTTCCACCAGGAGAATCGAGACCAACAGTATCATTTTGACTGACAGTAACTTTTGGACCAAGATTACTTTGTGAATGTATATCGCTGTCAGAGGGATGTTGTGTTAAGCTCGGCACGAGTGGAATATCATTTTCAGCATTAATCGATGCGGTTAAATGAAAATGAACACCACCGGGTGTAATTGCCGTTCCATGAACACCATAGCCATGAAAATCGTGACATGAATATGTTGATGGAAGATTTAGTATAGGAGTATCATTGAAGCCATTTTGCTGTAAGTTATTGCTAGAATCTTCATGATTATCCAAATGATCATCACTTTTATTATGATGATGATGATGACGACGAAATGTTGATTTTTTGTGTCGAAAAAAATGAAAAATCTTTTGTCGATGACGTTGTGTTTGAGCACGTGGTGTAACCATATCGGAGACACTATCTAACTGAGAAACATTGACCAGATCATCTTCGGGCAAAAAGGTTTGTACCCATAATCGACAAATATTATCACGACATGAAGTGACTAACATGTTGGCTACTGAACCTTTTGGCATATATTTGCTTACTTTTCGCCAAGAGATTCCAATGACAGCACGTGGATGTGGAATATAAATAAAACTATAGTTTAAATTCGAACGATATGATTTGCCATGGCCAACATGAGGAATCATGGATGATGTCAACGAATCTGTTGAGCCTTGTGAATCGAACAAATTCGATGGATAGTTTGGCGTAGTTGTTTCATACCAGATTTTGACCAAACGATCAGCACGGCCAGTGGAACAGAACAAAGTACCGTCTGGTGAAAATGACAGATGACAAATGGGTGTTGATGTTTGACATGACCAAACACAGTTCCAGCTATTTTTTTCTTTTATTGTTTCTTTGATTGGTTTCATACGTATACCTTCATCACAAGATGATTTTTGTTGTGATTCATAGCTATTATCATTTGAATTAGTAGGATTTAATGATGTTGATGATTGCCAAAGTTGTATCTGCACACCACCAATCAATAATTTCGTGCCTTCGATGTTCCAAGATAAAACACTAACCGAACAATTTGGTTCAATTTCACCGATTTTCACCCATTTATAATCTAGATGATGTTCAGAAATCTGTTCAGCAATAGGTATTGGTTCGAAAATAGCTATCCGATTTGATATACCAGTGTTGGTTGATGGTACCAATTGATTAGATTTGATTGGACCACCATAACAGGCGGCAATTTTTCCAACATCGGTCGATGCATTAACACAATTAACTTGAACATTTCCATTTAATGTTCCTGGTATGATTTGTACTGGTTGAAAATCACCGGATAATATCACTATATTACAGCCAGAACAATAAACAGTAAAATTAATGCCATCAATACAGCCAGTTGAATAAGTATTATCGCCCGAATTGACAGCACCAGTTAATATCTGATGACATTTCATTATGTTGTGTTGAATTTAAAATTATTCTTTTAAAAATCAACATAAACAATTATTTATGACATTGAATGTTATTTTTGATGATTTTCAATTGATGATCACTGTAACGAAAACAAAAAAAAAAATAAATATTTTTGTTTTTTGAAAATTTTCAAGTCAAAAAAAACAAACAAACATTTATCACAATCGATAAAACTTTTAGGTCTTATTATTGTAACGCAATAAAAAAAATCTATTCGATTAACATTAAATCCAGAAAGTAAAAAAAATAGAATCAAAAGAAAAATATCAACAAAAAGGGAAATGAAATGAATAACAATTTGTGTAAAAGTAAAAGTAAAAATATAAAATCACAAAAGAAAAACCTGCATTCCTCCCACTATATCATCGATTACAATTAAGATAATATTACATTTATTAATAATTTTATAATACCAAAAAATATATATGGATATAATTGCAATTCAATTACGTGATAATCATATTATTTTTATTGCCTATGGAAATGATAATGATTACTCGGTTATCATTGAAGATGTTGTCGTTATATTAATCATTATCATCAACAATAATAACAACAACAACAAACAAACAAACAAATGAAAACCAGATATCTATCATTGAATACAAGTGATATTCAATTCAACATAGAAAATATATCATCGTCACAATTCATTTATATTTTTATCAAAATTTTTTGTTGATCTCCCTTTGATATAAAAGTTAAATATCATTTCAAAAAAAAACTTACAACAGGATGTAACCATGAAAATAAAAACACATATAATATTGTAACCAAATCTTGTTCAAAAGATATTTATACAAATTTTACAAACAAAAACACGCACACATAACAATTGATCTTTGGAATTTTCCTTTTTTAATTATTAATTTCTATCAATTGAATCACAAGTTTATCTCATGTTTTTATTTTTCCATTTTTTTGGGAATTCCGAAAAAATCAGAATAAAATTATCAAGGAAAAAAATATTAATGATATTAAAGAAACCCATAAAAATTGGAGCATGCGTTTAAATAAACAATGGAAAAAAAATAGAATGAGCAATGAAAGTTCCAATATATTGGATCGAGTTCACATTCTATAATTTGGACACTGCCGCTCCAAATGAAACTAATTTTAGACATTTTTTTATATAGTCGCCTCTTGGTAGTATGTCTTCTTTTCATGCTCATTTTTTTGAATAGTCTATCCAAACACCGAAACCAACCTAACGGTATCTGATTAGAAACAACTAATAATCGAAATGACAACTCAGTTTACTGATTTTAAAAAATGATCCAAAAATTTGCCGTAAAATGAATTTCTCTATTATGCATTGAAATTTAGAAATCAAATAAAGAGACAAAATTTAACTAGAATATTTCAAATTCGTTCTTTAATTTATTTGTATTTTTATTATTATTATAAACAATGTTGGTAAAATGAACTTTATTTTACAATTAACATCAAAAGTAAATTTCAATTAATCAGTTATTGTTGATTTCTTATGCTTATTACGATATATAACGGAATTATTTTTGGAAAAAATTGTTACCTGTTGCGACAATCAAAACGGAATAAATTAAATTGTTTTATTATGCGATATATTAAGATGATAGAGAAAGAGAACAGAACAATAAATCAAAGATTGAAGAATTGGATTTTTTTTTTGTAATTCATCAAATTATTGATTATTGGTGAAAAAAAATTGTTGACGCTTTATAATGATTTTTAAGGTGTAAACAATTTGACAATAAAAAAAATATTACAACTCGACGTATCAATATATCCAATTAATGGATACAATTAAAAACAATATCACATCTTTTATGACGGGCAAATTCGAATTCTTTTTTTTATTATTGAAATATGCATGCGCTAGCCGTATGTGTTTGTTATTGCCACTGCCACTACCACTGCCAAAACACAGACGTACACACAAACATGCATGCATGTTGAAAACGGAAAACGTTTGTGTTCCTTTCTGGTCGGTTTGTGGCACGTTTTAGAAAAGTGTATGTTTGTGTGATTTGAATTCTTTTCTTTTAGATTTTTTTTTTTGACTAAATTCTTTGTGGATCTTTTTCGAATAAAAAATGGTAATTTTAATTTTAATTTGAAATTCTATCTATTATTAAGATTATATATTTTCTAAAATACAGGGTGTTGATATTAATCATAAACATGATCGTAAAGTTCGACGATTAGCACCGAAAAGCAAAGATCCATACCTTTTGCTTCTTGTCAAAGTTTGTATTTTCTTTTGAATATTTTTTATATTTTGAAAAATTTATCATGCTTTTATACACAAAAAACAGCTTTATAGATTTTTGGCCCGACGTAGTGGAAGTAAATTTGCTAAAATTGTCTTACGACGTTTGTACATGAGTAAAATTAATCGTCCACCACTTTCGCTTCGACGATTGGTGAGTCATTTTGATTGAAAAATTAGCTTAAAGGTCAATTTTTATTGTTTTCAGGTTCGACACATGAGCGCTGAACAACGTCAAGGCAAAATCGCTGTTGTCGTTGGTACAATTACCGATGATGTCCGTTTGTTCGAAGTACCAAAAATGACCATTGCCTGCTTGCGTTGTACCAAACGTGCTCGTGCTCGCATTCTTAAAGCTGGTGGTGAAATAATTACATTCGATCAATTGGCTCAACGTGCTCCGACTGGCAAAAATACTGTATTATTGCAAGGTCCACGAAATGCACGTGAAGCTGTCAGACATTTTGGTCCAGCTCCTGGCGTACCGGGTAGCCACACAAAACCATATGTTAGATCCCGTGGCCGTAAATTTGAGCGTGCTAGAGGTCGTCGAGCATCAAGAGCATACAAGAAATAATCGAGATTCGTTTTATGTGTGTATTCATGGAATTTTTTTTAATTGACATCTAATAAAATTAACTTGCACACTATGATGGTTTGGATTTATTAACATTAATTTGGCTATTCATTAAAATTTTAAGAAAACGAGTCTCTTCGGCTAACGCAGCCGAATCTTTTTGAGCAGCCATTTGCCATAGAAGCAATGTTTTATCCTCATCTACGTTTCGATTGTTTACTGTTGCGGCAGTTGGTACACGAAAACTTTGCCATGGACTTATACTGTGACTATTATTATTGTTGTTGTTTTTGTCCACATTCGCATGTGACTGTTGATATTGACGCATTATATATCCGCCATTGATGAGACTGTAAAATAATCCAGATCCAATATCCTGCTGATGTGGTCCAGATTTAGCCATCATTGTCCATGATGTTGCATTTCCACGATTCAATGCTTGACCACAAAGATTACAAACGATTGAATCACGTAATTCTCGTAACATTTTATACTGTTGTTCAAATTGATTTCGATCTATCATCAATCTTTGTTGATCGATTTGTAATTCGGTTTTCGATTTTTGTAATTCTATAGTCTCTTTTTTCAATTCCGATCGTAATCGTTCGATTTCATCCATTGCATTGATACCGTCCATTTTTTCCTTCAATGCCATTTGACTTAATTTTTCCAGCTCTTCGGCACGTTGTTCCAATGTTTTACCCAACATGGACAATTGTTCTCTTTCCTGATCAAATCGTAATTTTTTCGTCTGTAATTGTTGTTGTTGATGATCAAGATCTAATAATGATTTCATTAATTGTGATTCTTTTTGATCTAATTCGGTCTGTTTTCTAAGAATTTCTTCACTTTGTTTTGTAATTCGTTGTTGTTCATCGTCGAGCATTTTTTTACGTTCATTATAAAGTTGTTCCAAAAGAGATCGGCGTTCTTCGAACAATGTTAATTCTTCTTTCAATTTTTTTCGTTCTTCATGCAATTGTTGTGCTTCGATACTTTCTTTTTGTCGCCATTCATCAACTTCAGCGGCAAATTTCTGCCGCATTATTTCCAATTCTTTTCGTTCTTCATTAGTTTTTTCTTCAATTTCTTTTAAACGCAATTGTTCTTCGCTAAAATACTTTTCATGTTCATCTCTAATTACTGTTTCCAATTCTATTCGTTGATGTTGCATATCATTTAAAAACGATTTCCATCTATCTTCAATTTCAGATACTTTATTAGCTAGAACATCATCACTATTGTTTAACATTTGTTCCCTTGCCATTTCCTCTTGTTTAGCTATTACTGAACGTTGTAGTTTTTCAATTTTAAATGCACTTTCTTCCCATTTAGCCATCAATTCGGTAACACTTTTGGCCTGTTGTCGAACAAGATCGGATGATGTTTGCAATGAAGATTCATTTTCCGAACGTAATCTTTGTTCTAATCGTTTCAATTCATTTTCATGTTCTTCAATCATTTGTTTAGTAGTGGCAGTATATTGTTCCTGTAAATGTTTATTTTCATTTTGATATTCTTGTTCAATTGTTAATAAACGTTCATTGTATTTATCACGAATTGAATTCATTTCCTTTTCCGATTGTTCCAATTGATTTTTTAATTCAACAATTCTACGATCACGTTCTTCTTGAATCCTATAAGAATCAATATGAAAAAAATAAGATAGATTATTGTCATTCGAATTGAATTATTTTTTATTAGTTTTTTTTCAAGCCTAATTATAATTAATTTACAAGAGCAATCAACCAATTTCCGAAAGCCACACAAAACATCCTGTGTAATCCTATTTATACATCAATCTGTGCTGTATATATTGTTTTCACAATTGTATTTGAATGTTTTTCTTTTTTTTCTCCTATTTTCGCTATTTTTAGTCGATAATTTTCTTTCTTTTTTTTTATCGATAATAACAAGAATTAAACTTGTCATTATCATTTCATAACATTGTCTTGGTTGATTTAAAAGCTTATATAAATGGATATCTGGTCACAAAAAAAATGCTCTAATGTTTTAACATTTGTAATCATTCAAGCCATTAACTTTCAGTCTTTCTCATATCGTAGCCGATTTTTTTTTGTCTTTGTTGTTACTAGCTGTAGCTGATGTTTAATGAAAAATAAAACATCCATTCGATTGTTTAGAAAGTTTTTTATTTTTCTATTTCTTCACCCACTCATCAATAATTGTATTTCGGAAAAATAGATGAAAAATACTATCTTTGAAGATAGTTTTTTTGATGATGATTTTTGATGGACAAGCCATAAATATAAATACACTAGACACGCACATATATTTCTTCGATATTCGTGTCTGTTATTGTTTGCATTTAATATTTAATTCACGTTGTTTTTTTCAGAAAAAAATAGTAAGGAAAACGAAAAAGATATTGAAAGAAATCATATTGGCTAAACCAAAAAAAAAAACACAGCAAAAAATACTAGGCCGAAAAAAAAACAAACATTAAACGAACGTGTTCATGTCATCGAAAATCATTTAGAAGCAAAAAAAAACATGACTAACAAAAAAAATATATATTTGACCGGATATTATTATTATTTTATTGTTTTGCAAAAATTTCGATTCTAAATCGATTGTTTTGTTGAATGATTCAATATGTTCAGTTTTTTTTTTTTTTTTTTTTTTTTTTTTTTTTTTTTTTTTTTTTTTNAAAAAAAACAAACATTAAACGAACGTGTTCATGTCATCGAAAATCATTTAGAAGCAAAAAAAACATGACTAACAAAAAAAAATATATATTTGACCGGATATTATTATTATTTTATTGTTTTGCAAAAATTTCGATTCTAAATCGATTGTTTTTTTGAATGATTCAATATGTTCAGTTTTTTTTTTTTTTTTTGATTTTCGATTTTCGTTTCATCGTTATTCAACTCATAGCTCACGAATGTAACAAAAATAATATTGTTGAAAATGGAATAAACATCAATGAAAACTTACATATTTTCATGTCTTTTATACATTTCCGATGTTAAACGCATCTGTTGTCTGTATACATTGCCGGGTACGTTGGGTATTGTGTTGCGTTTAATCAAAACGGAAAAAAAATCGATGGCGTTATTCCATTTATTATTTGATATTCGAGATATTTTTTTCCCCACGCACACATTGTCAATGATAAATGTTAATATGTTTATAAATAATAAAAAGAAATGAAAGAAGAAAAAAAGAAAAGAAATGAAAATTTCCAATTATCATAACATCGATTTTCTATTAATAATAATGGATGGTCATTGATGATGAATAATGATAATGATGATTCTTCGAAATCATATTATCATCATCGTCATCATCAACAGCAAAAAAAAAATCCTTGCAAAACCATTTTAACTAACTCATATAGTGAAACCATAGCTGTCAATTCATCCTGATGATTACGTTTCATCTGTTCGACAGTCTGTTCAAGAAATGATTTTTCCAATGTAAGCATACGTAACTAGAATAATGGAAATGGAAATGAGAAAAAAACGAATATCCATTATTTATTGGGAATATTAAATTTGAGAAATGATATTAACAATCGTGGCTCTGGTCACCATACTTTAGTTTGTAGGACAGTCAATGAAGTTTGTTGTTGTTGTTGTTGGGTTGCTGTTGTTGTTGTCGATGTTACTGTATTTGTAATTGCAATTTGTTGTTGTCCATCTTGATTTATTATCGAAATAATTTCATCAGTAGGAATCATCATTGAATTTTGTTCAGACATTTGTTGTGGTTGTTGAAAATTTATCGTATTCAAACTTTCATTGTTTTTTGAAAATCCATCCAGTTGATTTTGTTGATGTTGAACATCAGATTTGTTTAGAATTATAGCCGATTGATTTTCATTTGATTGTTCGGCATCTGATTTACGATTCGTAAATGTTTGTTCATCTCGTTGTTGAAGTTGTTGATGTTCAGATTCACCAAATCTCTTGATACCGCTTAAAGGTGATGATCTTTCAACATCCGATAATAATTTAGGCTGCCAATTTCTATTGACAGTTGTCGATGACAATTTATTTATTTCCTGATTTGTATCGACAACAATTGCCGTTGTTTGTGACGTTTTTGATGGATCTGTATCCAAAAATGATGGTCGATTCTTAGTTGCTGATGCTGTCGTACTTTGTCTTGATTGACGAGCTTTTAATCCGGATGTGATCCAATCAGGCTCATCTTGACTTGATGAACTAATGTTTGTTTTTGTTGTAGCTGATAATGTCGATCTTTCATTGGATTTTTTATGAGTAGTATAATTATCATCCTCACTTAAACCTCCACCACCAAGACCTAGCCAATCGGATTTTGAACGATTGGATAATTGAGCACTTGATTGCTGTTGTGAAGTTTTAGTATCTAATAATGAATCTAATGTTGAACTATGTGGCCGATTTGATGATCGCAATTGATTTGTTTGTGGTAAATCATCAGATCCTTCATCAAAAAATCGTACTGATTTACGTTGTCTAGGCGATGTTCGTGATTGTAAATCATTGTCATCAGGGCCAAGTAGATCATCAAGAAATGAACGTGATGAACCAGCCGATTTAGGTCGAGATGCCATTTTGATTGACAATAAAATTCTACTCTCTAAATAGATTAAAAATCGATCATTATTTAATTTATAAAATTGAAATAATGAGAAATTAATTATTATCACGAAATTTTGGTTACATTTAAAACATAATCAAATGATTAAAATTAATCATTGATTATCACGACAATCCAAAATCGATGATGTTTTATTCTTTTACTCTATCTCTATATATAAATCCTTCTCAAGTATTGTTTCAAAACTAAATCAATATGAAATATCGAATTATGTGTTTGTGATGTGTGTGCGTGCATGTGAATCGGAAAAAATACTAACCAAAGGAAAAACAAAAATTTCCAATAATAAAAACAATAATGATGGACGGAAATTGAAAAGATGATGTTAAATTCAAATCATCATGATTACATCTTATAAATAGTAATATGATTTTATAAATAGAATTTCAAAAACACAAATTACAATTAATGATTGAATGAAAAATGAATGAATCGGATATATTGGCCATGGATCGATAATATCAATAAATAATGTTTTTTTTTGAAGATGTTTCTTGAGAATTATAGCTTGAATTGAACATTTCATTTGTAACATTATCCACTAATAATAATAATAATAATTTTATTTGAAAGGAGAAATCACGAACAAAAAACAAATAACAATAACATATCAACAATCACCATGGTAACCATGCATAGTGAAAGCCGAATATAGACGAAAACATCGGGATAAAATTTTCAAATGACAAATTTTATTTTATATAATCATTGTAGCTAAAATTTTTTAGCAGAATTTTTTTTTTGACTTTGGATTCCACGAATAGACAAATGGATGTACATTTTCAATTTGAAAAATAAATATAAATAGTGTTGACAATTTTCTTCATCAATGATTGAAAAAAAAAATCTTTATTTGGCCGGTTTGGCCTTTATTTTATTTTTTACTTTTTTTTTGATGGATGTCATTTGCATCAATAATTTCATTTTTTTTGTCGAAAATTTTATTTATCAACAAATTCGACTTGTTTGTTCAAATAATAAAAATGTGTCGCGATGATAGCAATATTTAACGACCGTTAGACGATATTTTTTTTCCTTTCGAACCACATTTAACTATTGAAAATTTGTTGATCGTTTCCTTTTCCTAGATCAAACATGATTTCAAACAGAATAAATTTAAAATTTTTGAACTGAATTTGATTGATTAAACATTTTCAATATACAAAACAAATTATCTTATTTATTTATTCTGTTAACTTTTTACGAAATAATTCCCCAAATTCAAGTTCATTAAGGAATTGAAAATTTTCAATTCAATTTAAATGCCAGAAAAAAAACGAAAGATAAATTCAATAATCATTCATTATTCAAATAGAATTTAATTGTATTGAATCAATCATCATCATTGTCATTTGTTATCAAATAAAACATACATTTTGTTTGCCAACCTTGCACAAATTTCCATCTAAACATTAGGGATCAACATTTTTTTTGGATTCATTATTTTTACAATTCACACACATGATGTTGGCTGGTGGTAGTGGCCTTAACACAATCAATTTTTGTAAAAGTAAAAAATAAAAATGAATACAATTCAGGTGGAAAAAAGAAAATTCAATTTTCAATTATTTCCAATAACAATGCTTTCAATAATCTTGCTTCGTATGTTACAGTATTTTTTCCCGGATGTAATGTTTCCAATTCTAATGGTGCTTCAACAATGGCTTTGACATTTTGACCATATTGTTCACACATTGATAAAAATGTAAGACATTCTTGTAGTACAGAATCTTTAATAATAATAACTTGTTTTGATAGATTTTCTAACATTGCCAAAAAACAACGTTTTGCATAGAACCATGTATCGGTACCCAATTTTTTTGGATATGGATCTAAACTTTTGATCACGCGTGAAATACCAAATTCATAATTACCTTTTGAACAATATAATGTACCAATAACAAGATTAACAATACAAAGATGAAATATTTTTCGATCAGGATCACTATAAATTAATTGTTCTTCTTCTTTTTCAATTTTTCTCATCAATTCTTCAGCATCTTCATTCTGTCCAGTCATTATATATGATACACAAAGATTTGCTAAAACAATTGCGCTTACATCAAGAATATTATCATAATTTCTTTTGACAAGTTGTTCATAGAAACCGGTAGCTTCTTTAAATTTATTTTCCTAAATGAAAATAATTTTTATTGATAATATTCATTTAGAAAACTAATCAGATAAAACTTACCTGCATAAATAGTACATGTGCAACATTTAATTTCCAAAGATCTAATTCATTACAGAATTCGGCCGATTTTCGAAAAACTTTTTCCACCTGTGCATAACATTCAATATCCCAGTAGATTTTTGCCTGTGCCATTAATACCGGAACATAAAGTTCTACCACTTCATCAAATGAATGTTTTAATTTTTTTAAAATCTCATTTTGTTTTGTCACAATATTTGCATCATCATTTTTAGCAATCTGATTTTTTGCCTCTTGTATCTGCTTGCTTAGTTTACGTAATGAATCTGTATGTCGTGTTGCTATTTCATCGAATTTTTGGTAAGCATCTTCAGGCGAAGTTTGCTGTGTAATCAATGCATCTAGGAATTCATATAAATAAGGTGATAGATAACGATATGTGAATGAAGCATTTTCGGCCATTAAATCGGCTGCTAATTCAAAATATTCATAACGGCAATATAATAATAATAAATTGGCAAATGTTTCCGGCTGAAATGTTTCCTGTCCGATAAGAAATTGTAATTTTTCGAAACCATCAGCTGGATTTTGATCCATTGAGATTAATGCCATATTATGTAATGTAACCGCATCCAATTCTTCTTCGGATCTTGGTGGCATATCAGTCAATGCTTCTTTAGCTGCTTCGAAATTTTTTAATTGATATTCTATAGCTGCTTTTAGATTGAATGATTCAACCAATACAGATTCATGCAATACTTCAGTATTACCAACACTACGAACTTCTAAACCTTCAGTATTCATACCGACTGACAATTCGGGATGTTCACGAATTCCTTGTTCAATTATTTCGCCAATATATTTCATTGCATCTGAATATTGACGAAGATGATAATAACAAACTGCTAAATTATAGAGTAAATCAGGTTTCTGATTCAACATTGAAGAAATGGTTGTATTACTACTGCCGCCACTGATGGCGTTATCATTTTTATTCGTTTCGGGTTTTCTTTCCATAGTATTCATTTGTCCACTGCCAATGCGATGAAAATTGCTACGAGAATTAGATAGATTTAGATTTTCCATCTGTAATGCATTACGAAACTTTTCAATTGCTTCATCATAACGTTTTTCTTTGAACAGCATACAGCCAAGATTTGTTTCTTTGTCAACATTACCATCAGGTATTTGATCGATTAATAATTTTGCATTAATATTATCATCATCATTCGTATATTTAATTGCTGCTTGAATTTTAATCAATTCATTTTGTGCAAATTGATCATATTCATTGTCGAAGGATTTTTTTCTATCATCATTGTCAATATGAAATTTTTCCGAATATTTTACAATTATTTTCAATGCTTTTTCGTGTGCACCCGATTGATATAAACATTTTGCATAGTTAAGATAATAATGTCGTTCATTGGGATAGATTTCAATCAATTGTTCATAACATTGTTGTGATTGATCAAAATCTTGTATTGTATAATAACAATAAGCAAGTAATGATAATGCTGCACGAGAATTTCGATTTAAACAAAGTTCATCATTCAATGCAGCAATGGCTTCTTTGTAGTTTCCTTTATTTTTTGTAAATAAAAAAGTCAAAAAAAAATTAATTATAATATCATTCAGGAATAATATGTTTATGATGAAAAATCCAAAAAAAAACAAAACAACAACCATACCTTCTTTGATCCAAGAATAGATGGTTTTTGTTTTTTCTCCCGATTTCATTTGAGCCAAACTAAGTCGATGTCTTATCATGATGATGGATCATAAATGAATGAAAAAAATAAATGGACAAAAAAAATTTCTTCTTTTCTTTTCAAGATAAAGTCTTAAAAGTTTTTCATTAATAATGAATAAAAGTGAAGATATGAGTTGAATTGTCAATTATTTGTATACAGTATAAAGTTCTTTTATTGTGTTGGGTTTTTTTTGTTGTCATTCGAAACAATTCCATCGTTACCATGGTAAATGTGTTAGTATGTAATACCATACCATACCGTAATAATGGTTACATCAGAATTTCTTTCATTCATTCTCAACAGATATATTATTGTTGTTTTTATTTGTCCCCGAAAATAAAAGAACTGGTATAGAAGTAATATTAAAAAAAAATTCATTCAAAACAAGATGTTTTTTCAATCTAAACAAGTTTTTCTCTTCATCATTAAACCTCGAACTAAACCAATTTTAAAGTTTTTCTTTCATTTTTTGTTTTTTCTTTTAATGAGAAAATAGCATCTACATTTTTTTCTGGCCTAAACATATTGAAATCGAAATTTGTGAACCATTCTGACAGTTCAGTGAAAAAAAATTAGTTGTTTTAGTATTAAATCAAAACTTTTTTCCTGCAGGATTCTATTCAAAACTAATGACAATTTTTTTTAAATTAAATAAAAAAACCTAGAAAACTTTATCGACACATTGCTATAGAATTAAATTTCAATGGATTAAATCTAAATATTTTTTCTCATGAACAATTTCATAATAATGACAATACAGAAAAAAAAATTCTTGGTGAAACAGAAATGAACAAGTGAAAATGAAAATCATAAATTTTTTTCTTATAAACTCGGTCAAAATAATATTTGAAACACGATGAAAGGAAATATGATGGATCATGTGGATTCAGTCATCAATATTGAATTAGTGTTACACATGTGTAATGTTTAAATAAGATTTTTTTTTCTACCATTCAAAAAACAACATTGATATATTTAATACATATAGAGAAGAATTTCGATTAGAAAACTTTCGTTTTGAAAAAAAATAATATTTTAGCTGCTAGTTTCAAAGTTTCAAACGTATTTGAACTACACATGGAATTCATTTTTCTTGGTAATTTTATTTTCAATTTTAATGTACATTTTTTACGGTAATCGGATAGAAATCACGGTAGAAAAAATCATTTACTTTTGCGCACACACAGATTTATATTTATTTCATCATTAATCAAAATGGAATAATTTCAAACGAATATTAATGAAAAAAATATACATAAAAACAATTGATAGATTCAAAAAAAGCAAAATGCAATCATAAAATAGTGTCGAAATTAACAGAAATTGAAAAGCTCTTTTTCATTGTAAAAATCAAACAGTATATTGTGAGTGAATGATTCAATTTTCATCATAATCATCAGTATTATTAATAATAACGATGATAAAAATTCAAGAATTTGAATTACATTTTTTTTTTGTATCCACTATATTTATACTGGAATTCATCATTCACACTATTGATTGTGAAGTGTTTCAATTTCTTCATTTACTCTTCACATAATATCATAATAATTTATTGATGAACAAGATTCACCGGAACTCTATATCTTTTTTTTTGGATTTTTCTAGACTTGAAATTTTCCAAAATATTAATAATATTTGTAAAGTTTGTTCAGCTTCATAAGCACTCAATATTATTAAATTTTTTTTCCATTTTCATCATAACTTTTCTTTTATATAATTCTCAACACACTGTTGTTTCTGTTGATGACGATGACTTTATACTTATATTTTGAAATTTTTCTGAATATATTTTTTTTTATATTGAGAATATCAATTTCTATTGTACATCGATTTTTATTTGAACAAATCAATCTTATGATGATGAATCGATTCTGGTTTTTGTTTTTCATTTTATTCAGGTTGAATAAAATTGAACAATATCAGTCTTTACTTTTTAAAAATTTAAATATCATCGATTTATTTTGAATGATGAAAAAATTTATAAACAAAAAATCCATGGATATTTTCAGAGTGGTGGATGCAAAATATTTTGCTATTTGGATGTGAAATTTGTAATCCCATTACAAAAGTTTACATTTTTTTTTATTCATCCTAAAATCAAATCCAAATTTCTTTTGTTTTTCTGAAACTAATCAATCTTATTCTATGAAAACGAAAAACAATGACAATATTAATATTGTCAAACATGATTTGAACATTTTCTTTTTTATTCTTTCAAAAATGATGATTTATGAATGAAAAAATATTTCATTAAAATTGTTTTTTGATCTTCAAAAAACAAATTCTGTTGATTTAAAAAATGATAAAGTCAAAATGATGATTATGGCAATGGAATTTGTTTATTCTTTTCATATGTAAATTAAATTTATTTATTTATTTATCTAATCATATTTATCATCATTATTGATAGCAATAACATTGTGTAAATAGTAAACTTTACAACTAATGAACATCATTTTTAAGTAATAATCAGAAGATTTTTGGGAATCGAATAAAATATTTCAACAGGATTCATTAATAAAATGAAAATCTCTAATTTTTGACAAAATATTCTTTATTATTAGCATCTAATTCTATGCAATGTTTGAATCATCAAAAAGTTTTTCTTTGTGATGTTGAGCATGATGTGAATTTTTTTTTAACAATTTTAAATAACGTGTGAATGACAATCTAAAATATATAATATGAGTGAAACATAGCAAAACAAAACAAAACAAAATACGTCATTATGACAGTTTTTTTCTGTTGTTATTGCTGTTGGTTGTCATCGCTATTTTCGTGAAATTTTCGCTATCAAGATCGTTTTTTTTTGAATTTTGTCAAAATATACAGACAAATAAATAAATAAAACAACAACAAGAGAATGAAGATTAATGATATAGAAACAAAATGAAAAAAAGGCCATCATCAACATCATCATTTATGGATCGTTTCATTGACACCGGAAACATACAAAAGCGATTTATGTTTATTGAGATGTTCGATGTACATCGAACATTTATTGAATGTTATTAAGCTGCTATCGTGGAAATTGTAAAAAAAGAAGAAAAAAAGCCGCCGCATCAATCAACAACAAAAGTTCAATTCTATTATTAAAACGTAAATATCGTTAACAACCGATCGGATGGATCGGAAAAAAACGATATCCAACAGGAATATCGTCTTTTTTCTCTTGATTTCACAATTTTACGATAGAAAAATAGTAATAACGTTAAATTGAAGGACGTAATTTCCGTTATGTCCAAGAGTTGTTTTGAGATTTAGCTTGTATCACATCATCATAATAATCATTTTGGAAACTTTTTCATTAACCACATTTATAGTGCAGTACGAATGGTGTGCGTTGGTGTTCATTGCTTATTGGATCTCTTTTTCTTGTCACACATAATCATCGATAACATTTTCGATAAAATGTGCGTTCACTATCAATATTTGTGTAAATTTTCGAGTAAAGAAATTTTCCAGAATCTAAAATATTAATAAAAATTTCCGTCAATATCCTGTAAGATTCAAACATTCTTGTCTTTTTTCATGTAAATTTTCAATACCAACAACATTATGACTGTAACAATAATATTTGCAACTTTTTTGTTTTCCTGTTCTTGAAAATTAATATGAATTCTATTTTATTCTGTGGGCTATAGAGAAAGAAAATGGAAGAAGAAAGAAAAGAGAAAACGAAACAGGAATTGATGTTTATTTATACATGCTTTGCATTTGTATTTTTTCAACAAAAGAAAATTTTAATGAATCAAATTCAATTCAAATTCTCTAAATAAAAGAAATGAATAAAGGCAAAGGTGAAGTTTGTTGAAGTGAATAAGAATGATGATGATAAGAAATTCAATGTTTATCATCATCATTATTGTTTATTATTATATCCATCAATGATCAATGGAATCGGCAAAAAAATAAAAGAAAAAGAATTCAAAATTATTTACAAATCTATATCAGTTTATGAGATTTCAATCTTTTTCTTCAATTAAAAAAAAGAATAAATATTTTATTTTGGCTACTGTCATTATTATTATTATCGATAATAAAGTGAAAAAGTATATATACAATAATTGCTGTTCAAAATTCTTTATCCCCCTGTAATTTCAAAAAATATGGATATGTTTTTTTCTGTCTCTTTCTTTTGGTACATTTTTTTTCGGTACAGGTATCATCATTTACCCAGATAGAAATAACCATCCCGGGACATAACGAAATAATCTTGCCGACCATGCATATATACAAATACACAAACACAGAAACACAAATAATGTATTCATTTCAAATTTATTATTTGCAATTCACTTTGATTTCCCTTGATAATTTTACTATTTCGTCTTTTTCTAATATCCAATAACAATTGTGTATCTGTGTGTTTTGCCCATACATTATCTAGACATTACAGTTTTGTTGAATAAAGTAAATCTTATAACATATGGAATAATTTTAAATTTTTTTTTGTCATTCTTATTTTCAACTGTTAATAATAATGATAATAACCTGGGAAAAGATGCAAAGAAATGGAAAATTTCGATATATTTTTTACAATTAAAATTTATTTAATGTTGTTTTGAATTTTATTTCTATTTTTTTTGCATCTCGTATTAGATGCACTTTCAAATAGGAAATAATAATGTGAAAAAATTTCTCAACTTGTTTTTGTAATATTATCTAATTTTTGTTTCTCTTTGTTTGATTACCAAATGAAGAAAAAATAGAATGATCTATTTCAATCATCCAATTCGTTAGCAATATAGAGAAAACGTTACATTCAGCGATTGTAATAGAATTATTTTTCTCTCAATTTCAATGCCAATCGTATAGATATTATAGTTTTCTTCTCACATTGTTAACTTTGATAACTATAGTTTTTTTTTCATTTCTTGTCGGACCAAAAAAAAATTCTCTTTCTTTCTTGCATCATATACACATCGGATCGGTTGATTGAAATTGACAGGAAAACAATAATAAATTACATTGAAAACAGATGATAATTAAATTAACATCTTGTTATATATATAGAAGATGTATATTGAGAAATTGTTGTTAGA